AATGTATATTCACAGCAAGAAAGTCCCCTCTTTTATTCTATATTTTTAAGAAAAAAAAAATCAAAAACTGGCTTATCTTTTTTGTGTATTCTCCTAAATGTCACTCAACACGATAAAACAATTCTCATTTTATCAAGTAAATGTCACGAGAAAAATATCAGTCACCGGACCAAAGTTAATTGTTCAGGGAAAAGTAAATGAGGGCTGTATCAAAGATCTTCAGGTTTACAACAAACAGCTTGGAGATCAAAAATTTAAACAAATTTTTCTGGTTAAAAGATGATGGATTTTTTTCAACTGCCATCTTTTCAGATTGAGGGCACGGACGGCCTCAGCACGGAAGTTTTTTTAAGCACTTTTTTTGGAACTTAACTATATGTACGGAGGAACCTTGGATAGGCAGCTTTTTAAAACAGAGAACTTCCCTGGCAACCCAGATTGTTCAATTTCCTTCATCTAATGTTTTTACTTTGGTTCTCTGCACCCTGAGGGTTACGTCAATTTGCAGTAATAAAATTTGTAATCAAAATAGTTGAGCCTAAATGTTGTGTTAAATTTACTAAAATGATGTATCATGTTCGATGTTTTCGGCCATTTGTCGAGCGTCCTATGAAGAATTTTAGAGATAGGTCTGTCAAGTGGCTTTCTGGGTTAAGGAAAAAACTGGAAATGAGTTCAAGAGCCTGGTGGTGCGCTGCTGGGTTTTCTGAGTTCGGGTGAGATTGTTCCTTAGTGCAATATTTATAGATTTTATATTTTTCTGTGAAAAAATTTTTTGAAAACTTTTTCTTTATCTATAAAAATCCAACATTGTTATTATGGATAAGCTTAGACCTATATATCTAGTCAAACTCCGTTTTTTACCCTTTTGCGCCCTGTCAAGATGAAAAAAAACAACACGGAATTTTTAAGCAAGAATAAAAGCTGGCATTTCTATTTTTCGAGTACTCTATAGAGTACCTAATGACTCGCGTGTTCCCTTGGCGAAAAGACTTCTAGATGAATTGAATGATAAATTTCTACAATGTAGAAAATGTTACATATTGTTTGATTTTTTTTGGAAACTTTTTTGCAAGAACAATCCAAAAGAAGGAAGGGCTGAAGTGAAGCGATAGCTATGAGCTCTGTATTGAACCAAAAAATACGAACTAATTTTTTTTCACTGCCTTAACCCCTTCCCCAAGGGTCAAGCCCGCCCCATAACGCCTCGAGTAGAGGAAAGAGCTAATCCACAGCAAGCTCGATGAGTGAAATATAAAGGGGCGAATAAGGCTTGAAGCCTCAGATGACAAGGCTGCACCTTTTTTGATACCTTAATTAGAGAAGTTGGTATCTAAGCACCTAAAACGAGCTGATACAAACCAGGAGACGTCAAGAGCTTTTTCTTAACTGAGTTTGAAAAAAAAAACGAAAAAATTTAATTTACCAAATGGTTCAGGAGCCGGCGTGAACATGATTTTTTTCCCAAGATTTTAAAGACTTGATTACTTAATAAAACGGCAATGCTCCAGTTTTCTAGGACAGAACACAAATATACAGTGAATTTCAAATATAGGTCAATTTAAAAAGAATTTTGCCAAAATCAAATTCAAAGATAAACTTGTAGTAATGATCTCCTCCATAGGCGAATTTTTTCTCAAAGGACTGATTGCTTAATAAACAAAAAACTGAATTGGAAAAGGTTCAGGAAATTATTGAAAAGCTGATTGCATATTATGGCTTCTAACTTCTGAAAAATTGCTCTGTCATATCTAAACTCCTATTTTTTGCGTACAAAACACTGTTTTGTGCAAATTGATTTTCTGAAAAGATAACCGAATTTCAAATTTTTAAATGAAAGATGAAAAAAGTAAAAAAAGATTCAGGGCCAATATTTGCAAGCAGATTTCCTGGCAGCCAAATGTGTCATGGGTGTTTTATCCGATCGCCCACTAGCGTAACCTGTTTTTTAAATTCTCAGCATAAGAAGAGAAAGCAAGCGAGAGAAAAGAAATCAGTGCGCGACTAACATAGTTAATTGATTCTAATAGAAAGGGGACTTTTGAAATATTTAAAAGTTTCAGAGCTTTTATAGCTCGCTCAGATAAACATACGTTTTTCTCAAAAAGGTTCGGTCCACGAAATAACTTGAAATAATTTAAAAATTAGTAGCTTTAAGAGCTTGATTAGAAAAACTAAAAGTTTTTGCAAACTGATTCGGTTAATAAAATATATAAAGGTTGCATAGCTCGAATAGCTTCCTTGGATAAACGTGAAATTTTCGCGAACGGTTTCAGTCTACGAAATAACTTGAAAAATGCAAAACCTCTTATCTGGAATATTTTGCTTCTTCGCGACGACAATCCAAAATGCACTGTTTTGTTAAAACTAGATTTTAAGAATGCCTTTAACTCTCTTAATAGAGAAACAATGCTGAATTATGTTTTTTCAAATCGCGCCGAATAGTATAATGCCAGAAAACGGAACTCAACAAGGTGATCCTGAAGCCCCACCCCTTATAGCGGAAACAATTCAGACACTAGTCAAACAGTTAGAGTCGAAAATTAACATCTGGTATTTTGATGATGGAAGTTTAGCCGACGACTATAAGGTAGTACTCCCGGACCTTAAAAATATTCTGAAATCGGAAACAATTTACGGCCTGAGCTTGAACACGGCCTGAGATGTGCGAACTTTGTTTTTTGGGACCGACTACGAGTACACAGTATAATTCAATTTGAACGCAATTTCGAAAAATATGCTCAAAATAAAAATAAAAACAAAAGAAGAAATCCTCATTTTAGGGTCTCGAATCGGCGAACTTTGCCGAAAAGAATTGCTCGACGAAAAAATTAAGGAGCTTGAAAAAGCCTCGGATGTCATTGACAAACTAGACGCCCATTATGGTTTTTACCTCCTGAAAAACTGCTTTAGCATTCAAAACTCCTATATTTTTTGCGTACGAGCCCTTGTTTTTTGCAAAAAGATTTTTTGGAACGCTACGACAAATTACTAAGAAGTTTGTTATGCAAGGTGACTAATGTGGAAATGGATGATAACCAATTTTTACAAGCAGTATCCCGGAAGCCAAAGCTGGCTTGGGCGTTTCTTCCGCTCGTCTACTAGCTTTACCCGCTTTCTTAGCATCAGCAGTAGGAGCGAAAAATGCCTTAAGCGAAATCTTTGGTTTGGAGCATGTGAATAGAACCTATGATGATGCGCGTAAACCGTGGTTTGAACTTGGAAAGATTGAAATGGCTCCGGAAATTGAAATCCAAAAAAATTGGACAGCCATTTTTTGACAGCGAAATTGCTGACTTGATTTTACGTCTCGAACCAACGGACGTAAAAAGATTCAACGCGTTCCAAGATAGATTTGGCTCCCAATGGTTGAACTTCATCCCGTTTAAAAATTTAAAATTAAAACTGTCGAACCAACAACTGAATTGCGATAGGACTTCGATTAGGCTCAAAAATATTCGAACGGCATAAATGCGTGTGCGGAAAAGACTACCAAAGATGGTTGACATAGTTTTTTTTGCCTCAAAAGCGCATGGAGATTCTCTAGGCATTTAAACCTGAATGCCCTTATAAAGCAAAGTTTATCTTCTGCTCACATTCCGTCTGTTCTAGAACCACGACACCTCTACAGGACAGATCAGAAGCGACCAGACGGTTTGACATTTGTTCCATGGGCTGTTGGTAAGCAGCTCTTGTGAGATGTAATGGCAGTAGACTCCTTAGCTCCTAGTAGGATCAGTACCGGGTCTGCTTGTAACCCTGGTACGGCTGCCGCTGAAGCGGAAGAGCGAAAAAATGACAAGTATAAAGATCTAGTAGATGCTGGGCATCTTTTTCAACCGCTAGCTTTTGAGATTCACGTCGCGGCCGGCTCCAGCACAGAATTTTTTTTGAGTAAATTTTGTTTGAACCTAAGCATATGCACTGAGGAACCCAGAGTAGGCAGCTTTTTAAAACAGAGAATCTCCCTCGCAATACAGGTTGCGAACGCCGTTTGTGTACTCGGAACAATAAATGACATAATAAATTTCGACGAAATTTTTCATTTGTAACACTTGTATATTATATTTCCCCGTGCCAAGTTGCGTGTTCTTTGTGAAGAAACGTAACCCGTATCGATTTTAATGGTAAGGACATCAACACTTGTCATCGTCTTTTATCATTATCACTTCCATATCTAGAAAGTTCCAAGGATTTTGACTGGAATACTTGATGAAGGGACTCCTGACTGTAGCCTCGGTTACTATGAAACTTTTGACCTTCTGATTAACAAAAAAAAATTACTTGCTTCTAAAACTGATTCGGTTTATGAAATACTTCAAAGTTGCATAGCCATAACAGTGTCCTTAGATAAAATAAAACTTTTCGCGAACTGATTCAATCTACGAAATAACTTCATCAAAATTTCATATCTTGCTTGGAAAAATCTAAATTTTTCGCAAACTGATTCGGTTCATAAAATAACTTCAATAATTTTCAATTTTTTTTTAAGCTAAAAGGGTTGATTAGAAAAATTTAAACCTTTCGCAAACTGATTCAGTCTATGAAATAACTCGAAATATTTCAAAGTTTCCTAGCAGGAATGCCTTGCTTAGAAAAATTTCACTTTTTTCGCAAACTGATTCGCTCTATGAAACTACCTGGAATAATTCAATGTTTCATCGCTTGAAATGCTTTCATAGAGAAACCTTAAGTTTCGCCTTCCGATTTGCTTCATGAAATATTTTGAATTATTTCAAAGTTTCAGCTGGAATAGCTTGCTTAGAAAAACTTCAATTTTTCGGGAACTGATTCGTTCTATGAAACCTAAAGATTTTCAAACCGATTTACGATATTGCTCAACTTGAAGTTGTTCAAAGTTTCATTTCTTGGATAATTTGATCAGAACAACAACTAATTTTTTGCGAGCCAATTGAATATTGGAGGCGGACTTGTTAGTAGATCGAAAATGTTTTCACATTGATTGTTTTCCTGTTTTTTTTTATTACTGATTCTAGGCTTTTTTCAGAGTTATGTCTGAAAAATGAGATCATGAAATGGACTGGGGAGGGTTATTAAGTAGCAGCGATGACTTGAAAAAAAGAAAGCGGAGCAATCTATTACTGTCACAAAATCACTTGGTGCCTCACGTTGCAGCTCCACTAGCTAAAAGTGGCCATGTAATTGAAATAGAGGCCAACAATTTTCGCGGAGCGAAAACAATGGTGAATTTTCCTTATGAGCCATACGGAATACAACGTGATTTCGTGAAAAAATTAGTCCAAACTTTGGAGTCTGGTGGAAATGCTCTTTTGGAATCTCCAACTGGAACAGGAAAAACAGCTTGTCTTCTTTGTGGCACTTTATCCTGGCAGAAGCAGTACAGTGAAAATTTGGATGCATCAGAGGTGCATCAAATTCAGAATGGTAATGGATCCAAGCGCCAAAAGACTGATATCGCCAACTCTCGTCAAGATAGCGGAAAGTCTTCTTCTGGTGCACCGAAAGTGTTCTACTCGTCAAGAACCCATTCACAGCTTTCCCAGGCAATCGGAGAGTTAAAACGTGTGCAGTACCAGAATATCAAAGCTGTGGTAATTGGTTCAAGAGATCAGCTATGTATTCACCCCGAAGTAAAACAAGAGAATAACGCAACTGTAAAAACTCATATGTGTCGTCAAAAAGTCAAAAGCAGGACATGCAACTTCTACAATAACTTCGAAAAGTTAAGAGAAAGTAAGTTTGAAGTCTTAGTTATTGGGTTTGCGATATATAGCAGAAAATATGCGTTGTGTGATTTTTAAGAAAATATGCGGTGCGAGATCGAGGTTTCTTGTTAAGCTCAATGGCATAATGGTCAGTCAACCGAAACTGTGGGACCTGGTTTTTACGGGTCTTCCACCTCTCTCACTTCCTGGGTGCCTAGATGCGCGTTTCAATTGGGGTATATTGATACAAAGTAAGAACTTTCGCTTCGCCGGTGAATAGTATACGAGTGTCAAAACCTAGTAGCGTATCTCAAGGCAACTGATCTTGCAAGTTTGACAATAGCGGCAGCAATTGTATAGCAATCCGAAAGTTTTTTCCCGGGAATTGAAATTTCCTACAAGAAATTGAGTGTTGTGAGTTTTTCTACCACAGACATATTTTCAGTTGAATGGCCAATCCATTCAAGATTTATAGTTTTAAGTTCAAAGAACGAAGCGATTGTCGCAATAGAAGCGCATCATCAAGAATTTGTTGCTAAATTTTCCGTCAAAATCAGAAGGTTGAAGTGATATATGTTGGTATCTTCTCCGCGATAGTTGAAAAGTTCCATTAACTTTTTTTTCTGTTTCCTGTTATTTTTTCGGTGAATGACTAGGAGATGGGTCTGATCCAGGCAATAAAGTTAAAGGCCCTGAAACGCACGTTTATGCATGTCTCAGGTCTTCCCCCAGCATATTTTGATAATAAAACCAAAAACTTTATAAATTAGTTTTATTATCAAAATATGGTGGGGGAAGACCTGAGACATGCATAAACGTGCGTTTCAGGCCCTGAAACGCACGTTTATGCATGTCTCAGGTCTTCCCCCACCATATTTTGATAATAAAACTAATTTATAAAGTTTTTGGTTTTTTTATCAAAATTTGAGACGGCGATTTTGAGACAGTAAAATAAACAAAGTAGAAGCAAAGCACCCAATTAGAAAAAATATTATTAGCCGAATGTTGAATCACTACTCAATACAGCAGTTAGTCTTGTTTTCGTTCGATTTGATGGCAAGCTAGTTGTGGAACAATTATTCGTTTACCCGCGAAACCCGCCCTTCATTTTGTTTGTTTTGCTCTTTATAAGTTCACTGTCTAGATCAGAACCGTTTCCTTATTCACCAATTTTTTCAACCATCTGTTGGTGGTTTACACTAGCCAGCTGCCAGCGTAGTTTATCACTACGAACCTTTTTTCTAACCTAAATCGCAAATAAAAGCGTTCATTAAAAATGTTCACTTAATTGATGGCACTTATGCTATTCACCACGAGCTGTAGCAGTGGAAATTTCATAGCATCTGTTCTACTTTATATGTGCAGATCGAATTCGAGACATACCCGAATTTTTACTAATTCGAGGCTTATTGCTATTTATCTTATTGCACTTAATTGTTTAATTGGCGTTTCACTTGAGACATGTTTAAGAACTCCCTATGTTGACATATTTAAGCTTTATCGTATGTTGTAATGGTTAAGAAAGTTCACTTGGCACATGTTTAAGAAGACGCTATGTTGGTCTGTTAAATGGCCAAAATATTGCAAAGGTTAAAATGCGTTTTCTAGTCTACGTTTTAAAATCTGTTGCCGGGCGAATGCGAAACGTAAAACTATATTCGAAACGTAAAACTCAAGTTTTTGTTTCACAATTTATTTAAGAAAATATTATTTTCCCAACGTTATAGTGGGGTGCTGTCAGGGTATACTCAGGGGTTGCATATCTGGCGTCCAAGTAGGACTGCTCAAATCTTTTTGGTTTCCGAGACATTGCGTTTTTTGTGATTTTTTCAATTTTTTTTTCAAAAATTTAATTGTAAAAATTTAAATCGAACTTGAAGTTCTCTAACCTAAAGAGGGGGTGCTGTCAGGGTACCTAAGGATTGCAAAGCTGGCGTCCAGTTTTGACTTTTGAATTTGTCGGTAAGTTAGGAATTGAATCGGTTTTTCGCATTATTAGCTTGTCATATGCTGACAATCATTTTTGTTCCAATCACTGAAAATGGGGAGGAGCTTTGTATTTGGGTGTTTTAACCTTTTTGTTTTCCGCGCAAAACTAGGTACCGCAAATAATCAACGGAATTGGTCGAGTGATATATTATGTTAAACCCTTTTCAGTCTTGATTCGAACTACTTTATAAAAGTTTGAATATTAAACCGTTTGAAATTTTGGTCTAATTTCGAGCGAAAATATTGAGCGAGAGCAGACTTATTTTGTTTTTCAACCAGAAGAAGTTAACATTATTAATCATCGGAAGGAAGTTGTCCCAGTGTTGAGAAAGCGATCTATAATGCGTGCAAGCAGGCTTGTTATATACGGATGAGCCGTTAAAAATTACGCCCTTTATTTTTACGCCCGTCCGGAAAAAAGATTCAAATATCAAAAAAAAATCTCTGTAAAAAATGAGTTTTAGAATTTTTTCATGTTTTTTACCATTTTTTTAAAATAAAAACTGTTGCCCAATTTGTCAATTTTACTGTGACTGTCGAATATTTCTAAGTTTTGGGCTTTCGTCAGATAAGTTCATCTCGACACGCAAAAAATGACACTAATTTGAAAAAGTTAGAAAAAGCTTCTTTTGTCTTTATTAAGAATATGGTTGGGGTGGTACAATAACTTTTTCTAAAATATAATTGACTAACAAACGCAAGGTCATAATGCCCGTTGAGGCATTTCGGTAAATCAATTGTCGCAATCAGAGAGTAATCGGCAGAACGTTGTTTTTGTTAAGTAAATTTTTGTGATAGCAACTGGCATCGCCAATTGACCATCATAGACCTGTGTTTTACGTTTTCAATAGATAAAAGATTTTTGCGCACCGATAGTTGCTACCTAATGGAAAGATTGATTTTGCCATTGATTCGTATAAGTTTGTTTTTGCTGTTTAAGAGTGAAAGGGCGATTTTTTTACAACATAAACAAATCATTGATACCTTCTTGAAGTCTGTTTGATGTGTTCGGTCCGTTTTAAACCATTGTAGATAATTATACCTAAGTCTTTCTGCCGAGAAATCTTTTTGATTACATTGCCGGAAAAGTTGAAGGTTTCGGGAGAATGCTGTTATTATTATTAAACTACGAGTGAAAGCCTACATCGAAAGTCATTTTTTCGGCTGATGGGATCAAGTTCTTAAAGTGTGATTAAACAACCTATCTAATCTGCTGTAGGTGGACGTGGACTTGCGCAGTCAAGCAAGGAAGGCGGAGAAGTTTTGGACATAGAAGATCTGGTGCAGCAAGGAATCAACCAATCAGTTTGTCCATACTTTTACAGCCGTGAAATGAGTGCTACAAGAGCTAACATTGTTTTCATGCCCTACAACTACATCATTGATCCATCCACTAGGAAAGTGAGTAATTGCACATCAAATTTTGTCACGCTTAGTTCAATTTTGAATTACGGCCTCTTTTTTTGCGTGGTTTTGGGTACCTCAAAGAAGTCCAAATATAGGATCGAATGTGTCTTTTTGAAGCGCTTTTAGTCCTGCATCCGAGAGTTGATAATGGAACTATAACTGAGGATTATTTTTTGTTCTTGGGACAATTTGTGGTCTGGGAAGATTATGTTATTCTTACTCAGCAACCGACTGCTCTTTTAATTAGCTAAGAAACAGCTGTGTATTGAACCTATCTGCCAAATTGTTATTAGCCGATGCTATTTGTTCAGGCACATAACGTGGAGTTAATGAACAATGTGATCATTTTCGACGAGGGGCACAATATAGACTCGCTGTGTGAGGAGAGTGCCTCTTTTTCTGTGACGTCACTGGAGGTGGCAGCTGCTTTTAAAGAAACACAGAAGCTACTGGAGCGAATGGCTGAAACGGATAAAAGTCAGTTTGTTTGTATTTAGTGGAAAGTTTTTTGCTCCGATTTTTCGAATATCGAACTTCAGTTTGTCGAAGGACGATGTAGCATTTCAGCTTTGAGTTTGGAATTAAGTACAGATTCTTAACTGTTTCTACTTCACAATGGAAAAGAGGCGAATCCGTTACTGGGTACAAAATTCGCTTATGCTTTAGCGTTGAATTTGTTCTTTATAGGGGTGGATTTTTTTTACTAGGTACTACGGGGAGGAGAACAGTTCGTAATGCAAATGGCAAATGTTACATAACTATTGGGCACTCTCAAGCTGCAGAATTTTTTTCAGCTTTATTATATCGTTTTATTTTACAGACTATAAAAATGCATCAAGTTGAATTAAATCGTGATTTTTTTTTTGCTGAGCAATCTTGAAAACAGCCTGGAAAATTGCTCGAGTTTTTTTTCAATCATTGTTTTAATCAGGGGGTGGATCTAGGATTTTCTCTAGGGGGGTTACAAAAAAATTTTCGAATTTAAATTTAGTATATATAGGCGCCTTTAGATAAATTTTAGGGTCCATCAGCCAAAAATGGATAGCTCAAAATAGTTCAAAGGGGGGAACCTTTGGGTCGGCAGGGATTCAAATCCGTGGGGAGGGGGGGGGCGTCCACCCTCTTTAAATCCGCCCCTAGTTTTAATTGGTACAGGAAAAAATTTTGGAAACGAATTCTTGTCTAAAGATGATCCTTTGAAGTTATATGGTGAACAAATCATAATCATTTTTTTAAGGTTGAAACAATTGGTTTTCCCGTATTGGAGCAAAATTCACTAAAGCACTATCAAAGAAATACATTTTTTTTGAAATTTTCAGAGTTAGATTACAGTTAAATGACTGTTCGTGTGGTATTATGGCAAGCATTATTGACAAAACTGAGTCATCTTCAGATATACCACTTTACAACAACAATCGAGACAGATAACATGTAGTTTTTATTTTACAAGACCATTGAAAACAATCAGGCCGTTTTAAACAATAGAGTTATTCATCGGGGATCATTTATTACATAATAGAGTAGGTGCTTTTGCATCTTCAATGCCACTTTATGGTACATACTTCCATCGTTGCAAAACGAAAGCTTTCAAAAGCGTTTTTTTTCTTATCTCCCTTGAAATACTGCTGAATATAATGGCGCATGTGGCTTAATTAGACGCGTTGAATTTTTCATGGCGAATGCTTGAAATGTGTGATGGTGAAAATTCGCATAAATTATTCATGAAGTTTCTTTGTGGTATAGTCGCTCCTGCTAAAATAAAATTGCGATCTATGAATTCTGAATGATGATTTTATGCTTTCTAATGAAAACTGCCTCCAACAATGGGAAAGAATTACGCTGCAACTGTTGCTGAAAGAAAGAAAAATAATGCTCTCCACTAGCGAAAGTGCAAATAGCGTGAAAAAACGTGATCAACTTTTGGGTTGAAAATAGATTTCCCAGCGGAATAGAAAATTACCTATTGACGAGTTGTTTGTAATTGGGTTAGTTATGCGAGCAGAATGTCAAGCATAAAAGATTCTTGAAATTGAAAGGGCTTTAGCGTAATGTTCTGCTTTAACTTGATGTGAAGGTGAAAAATATTCTGAAAATTCTGTTGGCTTTCAAAACTTTTTTCTTCAGAATTCCAGGGCGAGTCATCATCCGGGGTGAATCTGAACGAGTCTGATGTGTATCTGGGCGACGAGCAGCTCACTCCCGAGTTCAACACGAGCGAAGTGGCCGCATTGGCAACTATATTTCACAATCTAGAAGCCACTCTCTTAAATGTCAATGTGAACAACTCCAACACGGGCAACTCAAATTCCGGTGTAAGGAAACTTTATTTATTTCTCATTTTGGCTGCAACGATTGGATTTGAGTAAATTGTAATCAAATAACTTAAATATGGACTTTTTGGTTTATCAAAAGCGGAGACTGAAAGGGCTGTATTTTAGCAAGTGGCTCATGTTTTTTTTTTCAGTTTAACAATCAGAAGAGTGGCTGTGTGTTCAAAGGCAGTCTCATCTACTCGTGGCTGGAGGATGCGGGGCTCAAGCCAGAAGTCACACCCGCCGTTATCGCCACACTCGACAAGATAGCCTCGTACTTGTCCACTCTGCAGACACACAACGCATTCAATATCAGGTCAGGTCAAATTGTGGTTTTAATGGTGCACAAGTTATTTAAATGGTAGATGCGTAGAAAGTTTTACTTTATGGTCGCTTGATGAAAATTTGTCGCAAGTATCAATTCGTCTCATGCGACGATTCATAGTTTTCTAGACTATTCGCACCATGAAATGAATCATAGCAGGCAAAAGTTAGTTGCAATAAAATTTTGATCAGATCAAAAGAAATTGACAGGAAAGTTTTAAGTTGAAGAACAAAAACAATTCTTCGTATCAAGGCTGAATGTTCCGTCTGCCTTTAAAGAACGACGCATTTTTTTTTGGTTTAAAAAATTGTTAGAAAATCTTGAAAAAACACTTCGAGCGTTAGTGCATTTGTACGAACCTAACTCGCAAATCTAAGTGTTCATTATTTGGCGGCAAGTTGCTCATTGGAAATGTCACATCATCTGTTAACAGCCTTATATGATGCTAGTGTTTGTGAATAATTAAGCGTCCATGGCTGAGTGGTTAGTGGCTGAGACTAACATTCTCTAGGTCGCCGTAGATCGCAGAACGAATCGGAGCTCTAGCCGAATTTTTAATAGTTCGAGGCTTATTTCTACTTTTTGTTGCTTTTTTAGATCTGATTTTTATCGTGTTATCGCTTGTGTTTGCGAACGCAGCTTCACCTCGTGTTAAGATTTATCCCAGATACGCTATGTAAAAAAGAAAGTGCTATATAATGCATTTCGTTACTTAATCATAAGAGCAAACTGTTTGCCTCAAATCAATTTGGAATGATTACCCTTTTGATAAGCAAGGGAATTGCAATCGGGTACTAAACTTTTCTTCCCGCAAATCATTTTGTTCACAGGACTCATCTCCTGGACTCATTCATCTACTGGGCCTTTCTGTTTGAACAGGCATATTCTGAGCAGACAATAATTTTGATTATAGGGCTTAATTATCATAACTTGCTTTGGAAGTTGGTTGTAAGTTAACCAACTTGATTGGTTAAATTTTCAATTTTTTCAATGTTTTTTTTTCGGCTTATTTACACTTGCGAAGCTAGTGTATTAGTACGAACCTTTTTTCTAACCCAAGTCGCAAATATTCGTGCGGCACTTTTATGGCGCGGCAACCCAATAATGGTAAGGCACCTATACAGCTTTTTGATAGCATGTGCTTTGACAATCGAATAGTCATATATTAACACAGTTGATGCCTTTTTATTCATTAAATGAACCGAAAAAAGATATTTGTTTCAAACAACATCACATTCATAAAAACTCGATTTCAGGACTTTTCTAACTCAATTTTTTGAAATGCATAATTTATACAAGGTGGTTTTATGCTTTGCGATTTAATACGTGCAAAGTTAGTGTGGATGCCTTTAGTTTGTTATATTCCGAATTTTTAATTGCAAAACTGAGTCTATTTGTATTTGGTGCCCAAAAGCATTGGTAATTTGTTGGCATATGTAGCTGCTTTATTCATGGTGAGTGTTTTTCGGTTATTAAGCCTGAGTGGATAGTGCGTGAGACTCAAAATCTCTTGATTGCAGAAGTTAGCAGATTCGAATCCTACTAGTAGCCGAGTTTTTGTTAATTCGAGGCTTATTTCTGTTTTTCTGTTGCTTTTACCAGAGCTAATTTTTATCGTGGTATCGCTAGTGTTTGCGAAACGTAGCTTTACCTCTGTTAAGTTTTATCCCAGATACGCTATGTAAAGAAGAAAGTGCTAAAATGCATTTACTTAGGTAATCATGTGAGCAAACTGTTTGCATCAAATCAATTTGGACTGATTACCCTTGTGATAAGCAATGGAATTGCAATCGGGTACTAGACTTCTTTTTTTCCCGCAAATAAGTTTGTTCGCAGGACTCATCTGGACTCATTCATCTACTGGGCCTTTCTGTTTGAACTGGCAGATTCTGAACATACTAGAAATTTGAACATCGGTCCTAATTATTATAATTTGCTTTGGAAGTTGGTTGTAAGTTTACTAACTCGATTGGTTAATCTTTCAATTTTTTCAATGTTTGTCTTTTTTCGGTTTATTTACACTGGCGAAGCTAGTGTATTAGTACGAACCTTCTTTTTTTCTAACCTAAGTCGCAAATATTGGTGCGGCACTTCTGTGGCGCGGCACCCCAAAAATGTTGGGGCACCTTTGCAGCTTTTTGATAGCATTTGCTTTGACAATCGAATAGTAATAATTTAACACAGACGCTTTTTTATTCATCAAATGAACCGAAAAAATATATTTGTTTCAAACAACATCACAATCATAAAAACTCGATTTCAGAAATTTTCTAACTCAATATATCGCACAATTTTTTGAAATGCATAATTTATGTAATATGTCTTCATACTTTGCGATTTAATACGTGGAAAGTTAGTGTGGATGCCTTTAGTTTGTTATATTCCAAATTTGTAATTGCAAAATTGAACCTTTTGGATTTGGTGCCGAATCGCATTGGTAATTTGTTGGCATTTTTAGCTGTTTTATTCATGACTAGTGTTTGTCGGTTATAAAGCCTGAGTGGCTGAGGGGATACTGCGTGCGACTCAAAGTTTCGTGATTGCAGTAGGTTGCAGTTTCGAATCCTACACGTAGCCGAGTTTTGCTAATTCGAGGTTTTCTATTTTTTAAAGTTGATAGAGCTGCTTTTTGGTCCTGTTCTCAAGTGTTTGCGAAGCGCAGCTTCGCCTCTGTGTTTATATCGAGTTACTGGCATGTTTTGAGTTTTTTGAGGCCTTATTTTTTGCGTGTGAATGTCGTCTGAAGGGTAAGGACATAAATATTTTTAAATTTGTTCTCAGAGTTTTTTTGATTTTGCGTTGTTGCAGAAACCCTTCCGGCTAGTTTGATGGGTTTCTGCTGAGATTTTTTCGGCTTTGTTACGCTAGTTCGTTATAAATTCAAGTTTAATTTTTTTTGCGGCTAATTTTCGAAAAATTTTCTTCTAATTTAGATTATAGTTTGTGTGCTTATTTTTGTCAGCTTTTTTCCTCAGAAATAAAATTTTGAAAATAATGTTTAACTATAGCATTTCGAAAGCTCCTTGTAAATTTTGAAGTGTTGTAGGTTTAATTTTTTCCCGAATATTTTTCGCTTTTGTTGTAGTTTCTATTTACTAAAACGTTTTTGAAGTTTTTTTTTCTCCGTTTGGTTTTAATCGTAGTCATTCATTTTGTTATCGCAAGTAATGCGAAGCTAAGCTTCGCCTCTGTGTTAAAGTATCCGTTTATCCTTCAATAAGACAACATATACTGCGCGCTAGCTTTCTCGGATGAAATGATAGTGGACAGAGTTGTCTGAATTCAATCCCCCATAACAGATGGTCCTTTGTAAAATTTCTTTTAATTCTTTGGATCCAAATATTTTTCTAATGGTACATATATTTTTGCAAAAATTTCGTTGTAGGTGCTTAGACCGAAGTGAGAAATATCTATGGACTAGGTGGATAGGTACGGTTGCATAAAAATTGTTCGGTGCGTTTGGTTTGCTAAATGTATGATGATCGAGTATGATATCAGACTCTTATAGTCGCGATGTTCTTTTTTTTTCAGTAAACTCGATTGGTTAAAATATCCTTTTTTTCAAGGTTTGTTTTTTTCCGGCTTATCTGCACTTGCGAAGCTATTGTATTAGCAAATATAAGTTTTGTTCAGGCTCAAACTCGCGGCTTAGCTTTTGATTTCATTTCCTTTGTTAAAAGGAAGGCGAACTTCACTATCGAACAGCGAAAGGATAAAAATCACGAAAAACGTGAGCGACTTCTAGTTTCGAAAATGGAATTTATTTTTCAGATTTCCCAGCAAAATAAGAAAAATCACCCATTAATCCAGTTTCCTCAAATTGGGTCAATTTTATCGAAAAAGTGCCACTCATAAATTGTTCTAGAAATTTAAAGAGATTAAAGGGCATCTATTTATTCTTTGAAATTCGAAATTGAGATTTTTTTAAAAAGAAGTTTTTTTTCTGTTTATATGCGTTTATTTACCCTTTTCCAACTGTCTTTTGGCTATGTTTTAGATTTGGTTGCTTACCATATTCCTTTAATTAAGTCGCTCACCTTAGAGAAAAAAATGATCTGAAGATTTTTTGCTGTGTAAGATTTTTTAACAGCAGGTTAAATTAGACAACAGGCATACAGCCAGGTCTTCTTTATTTTACTTCGTTTTTTTCTCTTATTTAAATATTATCATTATAAGGTAAGAGTAAATTATAAGTTAAATTATCATTATAAAAACTTAAAATTGAAACAAAAAGTTTTCGTTATTGAAACTACAGATTTAAATTGGTGCCTGCTTGAAGGAAAATCAAACGAAAAGACCACGTTATTTGTCCCCGCTCAAAAATAAAATAGATGTTCATTTGTTGAAAGTTATCCATAGAAAACGCATGCTAGACTGTTTTGGGTTCCGTCTCTAATTTTGCGGCAGCGGCAGTGATCAGCCTTAAGTCCTTGTCATCCGAATGAATTGAAGAGGATGAAATTATCTCTTTCGGGGTCTTTGTCAAATACAAAGGTACTGCATTGTCTTTTATAAAGTGGAGACGTAGTCAGTAACTCGTTGACTCTGATCGGTTCGACTAGTAATTTTTGCTTTCCAAATTCAAAACTGTTTCAAGGTTAAAATCAATGGTATTAGCGGCTCAAATGGTGCCGGGAGGCTTGGGAGCTGATATCGTTCCTTAATTTCATTTTAGAATTTCAATCAAAACGGGTGCTAAATACATCTTTTTTCCGTTTGCTGGATTTAAGTGCAATAAAACCAACCCAAAACTTTTTTTTCAATTTTACCTCAGGTAATTAAGCATACATGGAATGGTTGCTTGCTACAAATTGACGTTCGGTGCGAACTGTCGCCTTTGAAAATTGCTAAGAATTTCATTTGTTACCCTTGTGATAATGACAAATTTTTGACTTACACCCTGTTGATCAGTTGTGCAAGTTCAATTTAGGGTCGCATAAATGCAATGGAAGACAAATACATGTTCTTTGATGCTAAAGCGTTTGTCTTCTAGCTTCATGTAAGTGACTGGAATCTGGATTTGTGAATACTTTTTAGACCTTACGGTATAATGAAGATGGCCAACATTCTCAAACAGCTCTATCCGGACCAGGGTCAAGATGCATATGCGAACTTCTTCCTCCGCAACTGCAGCAGAACAGAATTCAAGATGCACGTTTCTATTCTAGAAGAGAAAGAGAAAGGGACATCAAATGATCCATGGGCTAAGAAAAACACTTCAGCGGGTGCATTGAGTGGAGGGGACGAGAAACCAAGACTGGTCAACTATTGGTGCTTTTCGCCAGCTTATGCACTGAAATCTGTTGTGCAACATCGTAAGACTTTTTTTTGCTGAAGTGACATCTTAAGACAGGTCAATATAGTTATAGAATTAATGCAAAGAAATATTGAAATACTGTTTCTTTATTCTCGAATCTTCCAGGATTTCTTTGTAGTTAATGACCTGTCAGGTTTTAAATATCACCAATACAAAATTGAAATGATTTAGCAGAGCAATTGGTTTATTTGAGACGGTTGCTCAGTGATATGCGGATAACTACGAAACTGTTAGCCTCACCGAGTGTCGTGTTTTTTTTTTCAGAGGTGAGATCGGTGATAATCACGTCAGGAACCCTGTCTCCCCTTTCTTCTTTCGAGACCGAGATGCGCATGTCGTTTCCTTGGCAACTGCAGAACCCTCACATTGTCACTCCTGCCCAGTTCTTTGCCGCTGTGGTCCACTCGGGTCCAGTTGGGGCTAAGTTGAGTTCGGCATACAATAATAGAAGTAACGAGATGTACTTAATTGACCTGGGATCGTTGATTGCCAATATGAGGTGAGCTTTTTTGATCTGCTCCATGTCTAATATGTTTTCTGACAGTGTTTGTGTTGTGTAATTCCTAGTGTATCGTAATTCTACTATTTTCTAGTACCGCAGTTTTTGCTAACTTTCAAGAAGCATTCTTAGGAGTTTATTTTCCTCAGCGTAAATTTTTGTTTGATTATCGTTGATTGAAATTTATGGGAATGTTTGAAATAATGTTCAACACTTCTTAATACCAGTTTTAATTGAGCTATTGAGATAATTAATATTTGGTTTTAGCAAAGTTGTTCCTCATGGAATGCTGGTGTTCTTCCCCTCTTACACGGTCATGTCCAGCTGTGTGGACTTCTGGAAGGGCAACCACGACATCTGGACCAGGATCACCCAACACAAGCCAGTCTACATAGAGCCGAGAGATAAGGCGGCGTTACCAGAGGTCATTGCACAGTATAATTTGGATGTGAGGACGAGAGAGGACAAGAAAGGGGCTGCCTTCTTCGCTGTCTGCAGGTCCGTTGTATTATTTGCGTTAATACTGATTGGTGCCTTGGACTAGATGAAATTCAAAAATGTTTGTTCGCTTGTGCGTTTCTTCATGCCTTGAGTCTAAATGTTCATTTTTACAACAGCCGCTGCAATCGGATTTGATAATATCATAGCAATTGATGTTTTAGGGGTAAAGTAAGTGAAGGTCTTGATTTCGCAGACATCAACGGACGAGCTGTCATCATTACAGGACTGCCATATCCACCTCAATTCGACCCCAGGGTCAAATTGAAAATGGAATACCTAGACACAGTCACATCAGCCACCAAAGAAAACAAAATGAACCCCATAACTATGGGTAAAATAGCCAAACCCCAGACTCCAGTAGTTCCTCAGACGCTGGATGGAAAGTCATGGTACCAGCAGCAGGCTATTAGAGCGGTAAACCAGGCAATTGGAAGAGTCTTGAGGCATAAGAACGACTACGGTGCTATTTTACTTTGTGATGAAAGGTTTGCGTATTCATCTAACCGGTCGCATCTGTCTTCATGGATTAGATCGAGTAAGTGTCATCCAGAAGCTACTTACCCTTTTAAAAATTATTGATTTTTGCTCCTATCATTTGCAAAAAAAGGAAACCTATCGCGGAAAAATGTATCGTTTTTGTCAAAGACACATTTGCCGTGCCTTAACTATAAGAAGTATTTTCAGGTGTCCGCGACTACAGGTCTTTCCAAGTTTTGCCGAAAGATCTGAAATCATTCTATCGCATAGCTGAAATGAAGTATCCTTATAGCGAATCAAGTAGTGCTGCTGCAATGAGTACTAGCAGATCGTTGCATACGTCTCCCGAAAAGAAAAAGACTAGCGCTATTTCTGGTCATTACCAACTGAAGGACGCTAGACCCGGGTTGAAAAAATCAAACGAGGTCACTTATCATGTAACGAAACCCGATTGGATGACAAATGAACCAATTAGTGATAACCTGACTACGTATCTGAGTTCGGAAAATGAGCCGAAGAAAGCTCTAAATATAGGAAAAAGTGTATTATCTCAACTTCTGACATTCGAGGACGAGACTCAAGAAAAAAGTAGCAGTCAGCAGGTAAATATTATAAAAATGATGGTTGAGTAATTTTGATTAGTTAACATAAAGGGATGGGTAGGCATGCATAGCAAAGAATGTGATTTAATTCAACAAATTTATACGCTCGAATGATTTTCTTGTGGTTTTTGAAGAACCTGTCATCTGATAAGAAAAAAATGGCAATAGAAACCATTCACGAAGATTTAAATTAACGTTGCATTCAAAGGCGTTGCAATGGCAGTATCCTGTATCTGTCACCCTAGATTTATGTTTTTGCAATTGCACCCGTAAATAAAATTTAGAGCTCGACGACTGATGATATTTCTTCCCAAGTCTCGACATTGTGTTCATCTAAGAAGAAAATCAAACTGGTGCGATCTTCTAGAACGTCACAAGAGGCTATAGAAGACAAAGCTGTTGCGAAAGTCACTTTGGTGAATTGTAAATCATCTGGAATCTCAAGTAGTCAGGCGAAGAGTGAAATTACACTGAGCTCGAATCAGGTAATTCTGCTGCCAGTTTCAACTGCAGGTTGCATTTAATTCTTTTTATATTAGGTTTTGACTTCTGTTACATAAGCAATTTCTCTTGGAGAATGGAGTCCCTTTTTATTCAATATCAGCCAAGTCACACGTATCATTGCACAAGTTCAATTTTGAAATTTTTTACAGCATAAGCCATATAGCTTAAAGAGACTGCATTTTTTGATTCCTGAGTTTTTTTTACAAGCGTTCGATCCTAGCCAGGCAGTTTGAGATAGTGTTTAGCTGATGGCTCTTAAATAATAAGAAGGTCGTGGGATCGATTTCAGATATCGTCATATCTTTATTGGCTGATATGCTCAAGCACATCTTCAAATTCTCCTGAACGTTAATTAGTTCTGCAATGTTTTAGAAAGCAAATCACACCAAGTTGAATTCGGTCTCAGCACAATTGTTTTCAATTCTTCAACGAGAATTGCCCGAACTGGATTTCCGAGACTTCAAAAAGGCGGTGCTTAACTACATCAGTGATGACAGCAAAAAGCCGAACGCCAGTTACAATTACATTGCGAGATTTGTTCAGTCTAAAATGAGCTCAACAAAATTTTCAGTTGCTCGAAAATTAATGCAGAAGTACATTAGAAGTGAGCATAGAGATCATTATTCCAAATTGTGTGCTAGCTTTACCAAGTGACGAAGTTTGATTAATTATGATAGTTAATGAAGGTTAAGTAGACCGTGTTGTTTTTTGAATCATTGTTTTAGCGTTTCTAATAAAAATTTAATTGTAATTAAAATAGTTTCCATAGCATGCTCATCATAATGACTCGAAGACTTATTTTTCTTTGACATCAGTTTTTTTCTTCAAAAGTGGTTACATTTGAAATAGTAGTCGAATTTTTTCCAAAGATTATGTAATTTTTTTGGTACAGAGATCAGCGCTAGAAGATTGAGAGATTCTCATAATGCTTGCGACTAGCAAGCTTTATAAAATAGGAACATAGACTTCTTTAGGTTAACAACATAATTAACATTATCGTTTGATAGCTTGATTTATAAGTTCAGTCCGATCAGGCCTGGAACATCAAAGGTCCGAATCCAACCAGGAGCTGTTTACACTTGCGAGCATAGTGTATTAGTATGAACCTACTTTTTTGCCTGTTAAAGCTATCAAAAATGCTAAATTTGGTGCCCATAAAAAAGCTAAATTTGGTGACGTTTTGCTATAATCACATCTGTAGCATTGGAAACTTCATAGCATCTGCTTAATTTGAGGCTAATGTTTCTCGATCTTTGAGCATCCGTGGCCGAGTGGGAACGACGAACAGCTCTTAATCTCGAGGTCGCTGGTTCAAATCCGTCGCATAGCAAAAGTTTCACTAATTTGAGGTTTTTTCTAATTTTTCTTCTGTCAATTTATAGAGCTGTTTTTTGTCGGTTTCTTGCTAGTGTTTGCGAAGCACAGCTTCGCTTCTGTGTTTTACTTTCATCTTCTTGATTTTTTTGAGCAGTTTTTGACGTTTTCTCGCCTGTGTGAAGCACAGTTTTGCCTCTGTAAAATATCAAACGCTGGCAATGCTTAGAAATAACAAAAGACTCTTCTAAGTAATGTAAAAATTGTTAGCTCCAAATTGTCCCGTTTGCTATCTTGCTAATAGGGGTGTGCTGGCAACAAATCAGTAAGAATTCAAAAATTGTCTGTAATTACGTATCCGTGCATACTTTAGATCGGTTTTTGCTTAAATGCAGTTTGGCGATTTTGTTCTATATTTCGACCAATTTTGGCTCATATTTATTACCATTGCAAAAACCAAGGGTATTGCAATCGGGTACTAGACTTTTCGGTAAATAACTTTGTCAACAGGATCTTCAATTTCAGAAGCTCTCCAGTTTCACGCAAGTTTCTCTTTTAACAGCTCTAGTTGTTGGTGTAGAATTTCTGTTTATAGTTTGGGAAGTAGTGGGTCTACAACAGAAAAACATTTCAGGTAAAAACAGATTTTTTTGTAGTTCCAATTGGTTTCGTCCGAATATTTGTCTACTTATTTGCCGGGTGTTGTTTCTTTTAATAATATTCTTTTGAATTCAATTGTTTCAATCTATCAGTTTTAAATATAACTATATTTTATATATTTTTGAAAATGAAAAATGTTTTAAGTGATTTCTTGTTTGAGTTTTTTTTTCAATATTGTTTTTTTAATTTTTGTTTTCGATTTGTTTTTCTTTTTGATAGTGTGTGCAGCTAGCTCTAAGTAGCCTAGCGTCATAATTTTTTTTTTAGCAATTTCATTGAAGTACATTTAATAAGATAGCACAGCGTGTTGTTTTAATTTGTAATGTTTCATTTTGTAAAGTTCAACCAACCACCTGGCTTTTTAGTAAGAGAACTGCTCGAGATGTCAAAGGCTTTTGATTGAAATCCAGCCGGGACTTGTTTTTTTTGTTTACTAGAGTTTTTTGCTTTTTCGGAATAGCGTCTGTTTGTTCATCTTTGTTGCCTTAGTTCTCGTTGCCCATTTTTTGAGCTTCTAGCTTTTCTTCCGGTTGCTGTAACACTCACTTTTGGGACGTTAAAGCTCGAGGGCTTAGATTCCTGTCTGGACCTTTTTTTGCAATTTTTTTTAGGCTATTTTAGACCGAATTATTATCATCGGCTTATTTTTTCAAATTTTGATTTCGTTTTTCAGTTGATGTTATTCGTAGTCATTCATTTTTTTTTATCGCAGGTGGTGCAAAGCCCAACTTCGCTTCTGTGTATTGCTTTTTTTTGGAGCTCATGGAGTTTGTGGGAACACACTTCTAAACGAGGTTTGTTTTGGGAAACGTTTGGAAGCCGGAACTGATATATGTTCGTTTTTACTAGGCTAAACAAATGTTAGGATATGCTTAGGCATCTTCCATTCTTAATCAGTTATAACTTTTTGGATTTTGGGGCTCAATTTTAATGTGTTGCTAGAGGATGTAAAGTAACCTACTGATTCAAATTGAAAGAATGCAGGCAAAAATACAAAAAGGTGTGGATAATCAAGAAAAATCAATAGATGTTTTACTTAGTATATATATTTTTCAAGATCAACACTTGGAAAGGATATGTATGAGGCCCTGTTTTTGAGATGCATTTTAAGTTAATGCAAGAAAAGCCAATGAGTTCATTTTTTTAATTTTTTTTTTACAAAACTATCGCTTGCTGACTATTTTTTGGCCAAGTTTTGTGAAACGCTAAGAAAATATTAGGATCAGGTTTGCTCAAAAAAACTAAGCATGTTTTAAATGCATTGCCAATTTTACAGACGTTAATTGGAACATGCTTATGAGCGCAAAAATGGCCCAATAAAGCCAATGACTTGTTGTAAATGTGATTTTTATAAGAAAATATCCATCCATTCATTTTTCTCAAATGGAGTTAGTTTATCAAAGAATGTTTTTCAAGATTCGTGAAATTCAAAGAGCTGGAAGCACGTTTATTTTTTTCTTTGAGGCTGCTTTTTTCTTTCAATATTGTCAAACTCTGTTGATTACGCTATTATTCTGTCCCGGAGTTGTGATATAAGCTTAAACATCAAGATACATGAGAAAAATGGATTGCGATTGTTTTGCAATCGCTGCGTCAGCAATCCCAAAATAAGTTTAATTCACTTGTCTCAAAGTTTTTTTGTCAAATTCGCATGAATTGAATAAAATTTAAAGTTTAAATTACTGTGACAAGAGCAGTAGGTTGCTTAAAAAGTGCAAATAGCACATGCTATTCAGATGACCAAATTAATCACCGAAAATTAAAAAATAATCAAAAATCCAATTTTGGCGCAAAGCGTAGTTCTTTTACCCTTGCGATTAGAAGAGAAGTAATTAACATTGTTCGTAGGACTCATTCATCTACTGGGCCTTTCTGTTGCAACAGAAATGTTTTGAGCATGTTAGCAATTTAAGTGTCGGGTCTTCTCGAAATTTGTTTTTATATAATTTGTCTTTTTTTCGCCTAATAAGTTTTGGCTCATTCTATACCGAACTAAAGGTCTCTTATTGCGACGTTTCATGATCGAGTTTTTTTTGTGTTCGTATGTGTGTTATCAGGGGGACTTATTTTCTTAGCTTAGGATTCTCTTCCGACATGAAGGTTTTCTGCTCAGATAATTTTTGCTTTCTTATCGCTTTATAATTATAAATTCAAATTCAATCAGCCATTCGGCGCATCCAGTGTAGAGTTACTAAAACAGCTGGAGACGGAAAAGGCCTGTGATTCGAACCCGATTTTTATTGCAAACTAGAGTTTAAGTGCATTTTCGGACTATCGTCCTTCTGTTTAGTTTTGTAGGCATAGTTTCTATAGCTCAACATTCCTTGAAAGTTCAGCTTTCATCCAAAATATGGTAATACCCATGCTTGAGACTCCAAATCTCGAGGTCGCTGGTTCGAATCCGACACGTAGCAAAGTTTTACTAATCAGAGGCTTATTTCAATTTTTTAAAATTCCTTTTTTGGGGCTGCTTTTTGCCGTGTTCTTGCAGTGTTTGCGAAGCCATTCTTTGCTGCCTGATATCTAAAAATCATGTATACGTTGAAATAGTCGCGCAGTAGGAGCAATGGTGAAGGCCAATGCTGAATGGAGATGGAGGTCTGTATTCGAGCTTCAGAGTTTTTGTATCTTAAGAATTTTTCAATATGTCTTTTTGCTCTTTTTCGTTTCATTCGCAGTTCAGGCTCTCAAATAGATTGCGATTGTTTTTATTCAAATTTTGTTTTTCGCGGTTTGCAAACTCCTCTTTCGAGCAGCAAAAGTGTAAAGGCCACGAAAAACGTGACCGACTTCTTGTTCTAAATTTTCTAGCAAAATAAAAACTGATTGATCCAGTTTTCTCAAGTTGAGTTAATTTTATCAAAAAACTGTCAATCATAGCTTGTTCTAAAAGTTCAAACAGCTTAAGGGCCCTAAATTTTTTTCTTTGAAGTTCGATTGTTGAGATTGTTTAAACATTTTTACTTGTGTTCATTTACAACTGTTTGTTGTTTGTTTTCAGCTTAGTTTTTTGCCGTTTTTGCTTCTATTTTTTAAGTTCAGATATGTATTTTTATTGTCGCAGTATTAGCCTGTTCTGAGTAGCGGGAAGAGATTCAAATTAGGCTTCAGCGATAAAGTAATAGCTGTTTGAATAACGAGAAAAACAATTGGAAAATCGGATATTCACTTCTCTTCACATCCACTATTTGGTGAAGTCTTTTTGACGCTGAGAGGACCTTTTGAGACCATTTAGAAACCGAATTTTAATTGAAAAGGCTTCAAAGAAAAACCTCAATTGATCTAAGTTTAAGTTCCTTAAGATTTGAGGTAACTCACGTTGTGCCATCGTTCCTTCCCTTTTCGTGAGTGGTCGGAAGAATAAATTACACGTATTAGTATATTAAAAGACTCTAATCAATTGCGTGGATACTCAGGACTAACATTAATCAGTTAGTTAAAATGTTTAAGTTGAAGAGTTCTCAAGTTGATTAAATATTTACAAAAACTTCTGTTATTTTTGGCAATTTGGTCAGTTTGCGATAATGAACTACGCCAGCCTCTAATAAAATCAGTATTTTAGGCTATAAATTGAGTGGCAGTTTAAAATGCGGTCGGATTTTGGTTAAAAGCTGATGTTTGTGCATGTTCATAGTATCCGAGAATCAGTGTGATAGACTAATGCTTTCAGATGCCTGAAATTATTTTACACTGATAACTAAAAGTTTTAGTCGGAATTTGAATTGTTAATTTTTTGTTTCTTCAATTATAATAGCATGAAATAGTCTTCAAAAACATATAATTTGATGGGAAGTTTTTCCAAAGATTTTTCCGGAATTTCTATCAGGTTTTTCCAATTAAAATATATTTTTTTCGCTTGCAGTTATCAAAACGAAATAGACTTTTCAAGTTAGCAACTTGTTTAACGAAATCACTTCAATTATTTGACACATGTGAAGAAAAAGGTATGTGGTTGCAATCCGGTCAGGGATGATGTTCTGTGAACGGGAGTTTTTCAGCGTGACAAAAAATCTTTATCTGGTTTTTGTTTCTCGACTTATTTTTGTCGGCTTAGTTGCCACAATACGGAATTTACCTATGATTTAAAAAATATTTACTGTGTTTTTGAATCTTCTCAATGTTTAATTTCTTTACACTAGTTGAAGTTTTCCGGAGTGGTTTTTCCGGCTGAAACTTTGAAAAAAGTAAATTTTCTGCTAAATTTCTTTTACGGGCATTTTTGTCTTTTTCATTGTCTTTTTTGTGATCTAGCTCTCTTAACATTGCTTATCAAGGTTTATGTTCGATAAGTTTAATGTATTTGAGTTTTTGGAATTGTTCAGATTTTCTACCAAGTCTTTTTTTGTGGAAATTGTCTGAAAATAAAGCAATCATTTTTTTTCTTTTTTAGGTAATTAATTCTTATAACAATTGCAATTAAAATTTTCCTAGATTGTTTATCCCACGATTTTTTCAACAGTATTCAATCAAGTTATCCACTTTTCGTTTGAGATATATCGTTTGAATTTTGGTTTTTTTATCGCAAGGGGTGTGAATCTCAGCTTCGCCTGCGCGAAAGTTTGTTTTCTAAAACCCTCAATGCAACTTCCAACGATCTATTGGTTGAGGTAATTGAGTTATCAGATTTTAACGTAGATTAAGATATTTTTGAAAAAATTTGAATTATTTTACACTTTTTTTTTGTAAATTTTTAAAATTCTTCTCCATTTATTAAAGTGCACGGAATTATTACATATTTGATGATTGTGCTTGCGATTAGCAAGCGTTATCTTTTCGGAACATATACTTTCTCTTCATAGCATATCCAACAAAATCAATGATATGATTTCTGTCAATCAGGGCAAATAGTTTGAGCATGTTTGCCTTTCAAATAACCGTTCTGCTCAATATATATATTTTTTCATTTTGGTTTTAAATTAACAGCTCCAGTTTTGTATAGTTTTTTCTGTAGTGTTTTTGTTTTTTTTGTTAACTCAAATTTAATTTTTTGGGCTTTACGTTGGATGAGCGAAACATGTTTTCTATGAGAAAGGGTTTTTTGAGGGGGATAATATAATAATCTTTTGGAATTTTGTTAGTTTTTGATTTTTTTTTGCTTAACGGGTGTGTGCTCATAGTCAGCTTTGTTTAGATGCAAATTGATTTTTCAATAGTCTGATTTGTCATTTAAAAAGTGAACTTTATTCAAGAAAAATATATGAAAATCTTGATAGATCTGGCTTTTCACGACATTTTCAAAAACAAATTTCGGCTTTGCGGCTTTCGTCTCAATTTCTGTCTTCTAGTTGGTCATGCTATGTTTGTGTTGTATCGCAAGTGGCTTGACACTCCTTTGCCTCTGTGTATTTTTTAGGAGGCTTTTTCGCATTTGTTTAAATATTTCTGCATTCTTTTATTCAGAAGAAAGCAATAATTTTCGCGTAAAATTTAGTGAATTTTGATTCTTTCTGTTTGCCATAATTCGAAATGGAAGTATGAAATGAAATTGCCATAATTTTATATATGGAGTACTACGGCGTCAAAAAGGTTCCAGTTTTCCTGATTCCCATGGTTCGAGTTAGTCAAGTGAGCATTTATGACTCATTAAGGTTAGAGAATGGCTTGAATGTTTATTTTCGAGTTTCTTTAAATGGTGAAATATAATGCTACATTTTAACGTTTAAATTGGTTACGCTGTAATTATGGCTGGTTTTTATATCGCAATTGGTGCAAAGCTCTGCGTCGCTTCTGTGTTAAATTCGTCTTGAGTTCAGAAGAAAGCTTGAAAAAATTAAGCGAAGCAAATGGTGTACCTTTTCTCGGATCGTAGTTGTCTTATTAATTACATATATGTATCATGAATAACGGTTATCCCTTGGGATACTCAGAAATTTCTTCTCTTTGTTATCTACGTTACTAGGGAACTTCAAAGGCAAAACAAATCCTATTTTTCGTCATTTGGGCTCAGTATGCCGCAGTTTTTGTTGCACTGAAATTTAGCGATTGGGGTTAGTGAAATGGAGTTTTGATCAGAAAATTCCATTTTCACCCGCTTTCTTTTGAGCGAAATTAAAACAGACATCTTTATCCGAAATAACTAAATCTAGTTATCATGGTAAGAAACAAAGTGTCTAAATAACTAACGACCGAGAATTTTGTGTTGCAATTTTACGAAATTGCTTCAATCAACCGTTTAGTGACCTTGTTTGACTAACTGTATTCTATCTATTCAGGTTGAAATGCAATCAAACTTAGACCCTGACTTCAGTGTATGATGAAATGCATTTAATAATACTGCCATTGATTGGTAGCTAAGAATGAGAAAGAGATCTGTTTGATATCGCTATCTCAGTTATGCAGAACTAATTTGATAATACGAAAAGAAACGGAAATTAATTGCGATAATTCTATGGACAATGAAATTGTAGTGGAGCCATTACAGTGCTACTATCTATTGCAGCACCAGAAACGTACATTCCATTTTTGGGGTCGTTTGGAAACATCGACTTACTGAACATACTGATGAAATTACGGTCGTTGTATTGAGTCGAAGGAGAGTCATAAAAAGGCCAAGCCATACAAACTGGTCATGGCATTTGATGGAGTCATGGCCAATTGGATACATCACACTGTATCCAAAAGAGAAGCAGACCCTCCGAATAGTCCTAATGATTTAAAGAGAAATAGTGGGGGCGGATCCGGTGGAAGTGGTGGGGGGAGTGGGGGTGCTGGTGGTGGTAATGCTGGGGGTGTGGCTCCTTTTGAATTCATGAAGAGTGCCTACTTCGTCGTCGTCATTTCTCTATCTATCATTGTGAGTCCTGAGTTTATTTAGGATGTTAATTTGATTAAATTACGAATTATAATTACACATGTTCAATTTAGTATTAGTTATGTATGAGTTTTGTTTATGCAACCATATTGACAGATGCTTGTTGCTATTTGTCTGAGTTTAAGTGATAATGGTTTGATCTTGATTCAGTTTTAGTGTGGTCTGATTATCCTTATCTTTGTCACTCGGTACGCCAGAAGACAGTACGCCAAAGGGCACCTCGACACTCATCTCGTCAAGAGAAAACACAGAAAGGTCAGTCAATGTTTTAAACTAAATCAATAACCAATAAAAGTTAGATGTGAAATGAAACATCGTGATGTTAATTAATCACTGAGCCAACCAAGGAAAATTCTGAAATTTTTATGTAGTTTTTAAGAGTCATGAACCTAGTCTTATATAGGTCTTGGCGATTTTTTGTTTCAGGAAAAAGACTAGAATTATTTACGCTCTAAATTGATTTTTAGCGGTTTGATTTCGGTTTTTTAAGTTCACTTCGTCTCCTTTGTTCAAAGGAGGGAAAACTCACTATCGATCACCAAGAGTAAAAAGATCAAGAAAAACTTGATCGACTGGTTTCGAAAATGGATTTTTGTTCAGATTTCCCAGCGCAATTAAAAATTTTACCTATTGATCCAGTTTTCTCAAATTGAGTTAAATTTCTCACGAGAATGACAATCATGTTTTTCAGGAAATTCATAGAGCTCTAAGGCCATCTATGTTTTTTTTGAAATTCAAAAGTTGAAGGTTTGTTAAAAACAGTCAGTTTTTTTGTTTTCTTGCGTTCATGACTCTTTTCCAACTTACTGTTGGCTATGCGTGAAATTAAATATTTGTTCTAAAATTTTGTTGCTTAATAGAGAAATTTTTGTTCAGCTATGTTGTCGAAAACGGCGGAAAGTAAGTTGAATGTGCTGCTAACTCTATCTATGTGTTGGTGTTCTTCTGTGTGTTTACCTACAATCTAAAATCCTTCTCTGAATATTTATCATTGAGGGGGCATCTGATTTTAACTTCATGTGTAAGCTAACCCCAGTTTGAAACCCTTTCAAATCCACTTCTAACGATTCATTTGGTGTCAGTGGAAATGCAAAAATAAGAATCTTGGCAGGTTGTATTTTTCACTCAAAACCTTGTTGACTATTTTTTTAAATAATTTTGCGTGTAAATGCTCTGTTGTTTTTAGATAGATATTTTGTGCGTGTTAAAGCCATTTGTTCTACCATATTTATCCGTAGCACACTCCTCTGTGCCACGTTTTTAATAAAACAAAAAATTTTAATAATACTTTGGCAACTCATTTGATTTCAACCAATCAGGTGCCAGCACGTATTCGAAAACATTTTCAAAATGAAAATATCTAATTGTGACCGGGAATTTGGAATTTCGATGGCATGAAGATGATGTTTTTTAAGTGGGTTCTGTACTGAATATTTCAAATAGTTACTACTCCGTGTCAGAAATGATTTGAAGTGCCGCTCTGTCTCCGCGTGAAGATATTTTTGATAACTTTGTTAATTGATGAGAAATTTATATCACAAGAAGCCTCCTACATAGCCCAACAAAGTTTAAGAAGAGTTAAATCTCCAAAAACCAGTATAAGAGAAAAAGTTTTTACTTGATAGCCAATAAATGTGATTTTTACTATATAAAACCCAGAATATCTGTTTAAAAACAAATTTTAAACAATTTGCGCAAATTTTTGGAGATTTAACCCTTCTTAAACTTTGTTAGGCTATGTAGGAGGCTTCTTGTGAAATAATTTTCTCATCAATTAACAAAGTAGTTTCAGTGTAATTCTTGATTACTTGAAAAAAGCCAAAATTATCCATTTTTGGGGTGAAATTTTGGTTGAGAATTTCGGAGACAAAATTGCACCATATTAATATTGATGAAATTCCAAGCATTTTTTGTTCTCTTCACTTTTTGTCTAATCTTAACCCAATTTGAAAAAAAATGCGTTTGAAAATTCAAGTTTTGTTTGTTTTGTCCGGATAATTTAAATCAGCACTGTACTTGAGACCTCAAAGTGACAACGGTTTTAAAAAGTAAACGGTTGTTGTGATTTTTTAAAATATAATTTGATGTCACTGTTTTTTCAACGATTCGATTCTAATGTGTTTGACTCGTGTTCTGATTGGCTAGGAGTTGACCCAGGAGATAGCAGTGCAGCAGTTGAGGTCTCACGAGGAGGTGGACTGTGACCCAGTGCTACTCACAGAGTCTCTCAGTGGAGTTCCTGTCAACGAGGAGACTGAGAAGAGTTACTACTTCAGAATGAAGGCACTTGACCAGATACACGATCTAGGTAAATCTAATGTGGAAGCACCTATCGATGTGCGCGACATGCAACTTATATTAAACAAGTCGAAATTATATATCTGTAAGACGATTATAGAAACTAAAACGATGGTTTTTAGACTATCAATTCCGTATTCCGTATCATCAAGCATTCTGTATTGGTTGTTATAGATGACTGCATAGTTCGCAGTTGTAAGAGCGACAATCCTCAAGTACTCAAACAGATTGCCAGAGCTCCAAGGAGTGACCTAAAAAACTACTTCCGCAAAGTCAGGGAACCCATCCATATTGATGATGACCAGAGTTCAGGAGGTAAATCCTTCTCCTCTGGCAAGCGAAAAAGACGCAAGAGCAACCCTCAAGGTCTCTTGCGGGGAGATGATAACAGGAAGTCAGTAGCACACCCGGGTATGACGACCCAGGGACCCCTATGGGGAACAAATCTGGAACTAACCAAGAATTTCAGAATCGAATATGACGTCGCAAGATTTGGTCCTGCAGTTAGTAAAACTAAAACTAAATGGTTGGTCACAGATTGTTCGAAATGATCAGACATTGACTATTTCGTTTTTTGTTTCAGCCATTCAACGCCAACCGATATTCCCAGTACACAGAAGCTTTAAACCAGCTCAAGCAAAGGTTAGATATCCGTATAATGTTCAGGTGTTCAAAACTATGGGTCGACGTATTTAAAGAAAGAAAAAATTAATTTCTCCCAACAAGTACACAACATAAAACAAAATCAAACAAGTTTTATTTATCAACGGCGCTTAGACTAACGAGAGGATAGACAAAGGGAGTCTTAAAATCGTTCTGAGAGCCTCCCCTATTTATGTTTTCCTATTTAAGTTTTCACTGACTATGACTTTCTCTTTTTGTAAAATATTTGAAAATATCTAACTCATTTATTGAAAAGAATGAATCCAGAAGGGCAGTGCAGTTTTTATATGACGTAATTGCATGCTTTTTCGATTTCAAACGTTGTTTGGTCTCCAATCGGTTTGTTGTTTCAGTATAACCAGTCAGTCGAAACCCCTGAAAAACAAGCGACAAGGAGCTGGAGGATCAATGATGGGGGGATCCAAAGCAGTGTCGTCAGTCTCTCACAACAAATCCACATCCGGCGGCCAGAGCTCCCTCTCCAAGGGTCTAGGCGAGTCGGTAGCTTTCGCATCGATATCAGGCGCACCTGTTAAGTCAATCAACAACCAACAGACGTCACATAGAAATCAACATCATAACTTGACCTCAACAGCACAAGCGTTGTTAAATAATCCCAGGTCAAACATACAACACAGAAAACAACAGCAAAGGTCAAAGTTACAGGTCCAACCTTCAGAAGAAGAGTATTTTCAACTCACACCCACAGCATCGGTTAGGTCAGATATTAGTGCAGCTAATGTGAATTCTCTGTCAAGAGAGGGACTGAGGTCATTTCAGAATACAAATTCGAACACGAAGAATAGTTTGAAAGAAAGTCGACCATCAAATAGATACACAACAGATTTGACTACAGGGGTGGCAACGAGTAATACAGTTAATAGTGGCACTGAGTTTCTTGAAAGTAGTGTGGAAGAATCTTCAGATACAGACGCTACAGTGGAAAGGCTGCCTCTTTTGCCCAGAAATGAGTACTCTAATTCTAGTCAACCGAGGGGAAGTGGTATGACTACCAGTACTCTAAACCCTAATCACAGTGTATCTCAAACGCACAAACAAAGATCAACAGGAAGTAGAAGTCATAGCAATTCGAGCAGAAGACGCGAGTCAAATTTGTAAATTTGGAATGACACTGATTTGCAACAAAATTCCTTAGTAATTTCATTTTATAATCTTTTTCGTGAATGCAGTTGCGCGAAATTTTTGAAGTAGTTTTATACAAATTAAACGTTTGATTTAAGCTAGTTAAGTTTTTCATTTACTCGTTTTAGCCAAGCTATATACACCGAGCGCTGCTATTCCAACGAATACGCGATGTGAGGATTTCTGAGCTTGGCCGATTTGCTTTCTCAACATTTTAGTCAAGGCAGTGAAGCGTTTTATAGGGTTAAGTTAGGTTCTAGATTTTTTTTGCAGACACGTATTTTTGAAAAATTCTAAATGATTCCCAAAAAATTTGAGCCATAATCCCAATTGTTATTTAGGATTCGAGTCCCGGCCCAACTGTATTTTTGTCAGTATTTATGAAAATTGCATTGTCGGCCTTTTGTTCATCTGTTTATGTTATGGCGGCTTATCTGTACATGGTCTAATCAGGCTCTATAGTTTTTACAGACGTGGCTTCTATTCCTAAGTTTATAATGGGATTCAAGTCCCGTCCGAACCTTAATTTTTTGAGCATTGTCGGCTTATTCTTTGTCTGTTTATGTTTTGCTTAGTTGCCATTTCAGGGATTTTTTGTGCTGTAACTGATTTTCATTGTATTGCAAATGCTGTTGATTCAATCTGTTATTTATTATTACTAACACAATTATAGTTTTTTGTTTTTAAGAGTCGATGAACGTAGTTCAGACTTTTATGTAGGTGCTGATGATTTTTCTTGTTTTTTTTTTCAGGGAAAGTCTTTAAGTTTGTTTAGGCTCAAATTTACTTTTTCGTGGTTTGACTGTTTTTTTTTTCAAGTTCATTTCATTTCCTTTGTTAAAAGGAAGACAAACTCCACTTTCGAACAGTAAAAGTGAAAAGGTCACGAAAAAAGTGATCGACTACTAGTTTCGGAAGTGGATTTTTTTTCAGATTTTCCAACAAAGTAAAATTTACCCATTGATCCAGTTTTCTCGAAGTCAAAGTGGGTTAAATTAATATTTAAATAATGTCCATAGTAAAATTTTGAAGAGCTTGAAGTGCATCTATTTTTTTCTTTGAAATTAGATGAAGTCACATTCACTTGCGTTTGTTGACTTTTTTCTTGGCTGTCTGTTTCTTTCCCGTTTGTTGACTGTCTGTTGGCTATGTTTTTTCGGTGCATATACAAAACAGTCCCATACAAAACAGTCCCATACAAAAGAGTCCGAAACATCAAAAAAAGGTTCTAAAAAACAGTCCCATACAAAACAGTCCAAAACCAGTTGAATTTCATGACCTTGATCTTTTGGCGCCGACAGAATTGATCTACGCTTTTAAAACTCAAACAGGGGCAATTAAAGATCAAAGAGCCAAATTTGGAACAATAATTTGGATGAAAATCAAAGGACTCATGGTATAGTGGTTAAAGCGTTAGTCTCAAACTCTAGAGATCAAAGGATCGAATCTCCGGCGGCACAAAAAATTTTCTAATTTTCCGAAAAAAGTTGAAATTTGGGTAAATATGATAACGGGTATATCTAGGGTACAACAAAGGGTTCAACCTTAGAGGGTTGGGCGGAGGGAAAAGAAAAATCAACACCTTGTATGTATTCATTATTTTGCCGGTTTCAAATCGACTCTAGCTCAATTTTGAAAAATCAAGGAAATTAATTAACTTGGAAAAATTTTATTGCTTGGCAATATGGAATAAATGTGAAAAATGAAAAGAAAAATCTGATTATAATTTAATATTATAACTGCATCCTTTCAAAAACCCAATGATATCGTTGGGTTGATATGACTTAATCATAGTGATTAAGTTTTTGTCGAGTTTTTGGTATTTAGCTTTTTTGGGTCTGGCTACTTTTTGTCCTGCGCACATTCTTTCCAACAGTATTTCCGCGTTTTTTTGCTCGTCCTGGAACTTCTCGATCAGTTTTGGGAATGATGGATGCTTACTATTGACCAGTTTCACGAAGTTGCTGTTCCAACCTTCTACAGCGTTGTTGGTGCGGGGAAGGTCGTCTTTTACTCTTTGATGGCAACTCCATTGCTCCATATCAAATCTGGGCTTCTGTCGTCCTTGAGAAGTCAGTCTACCAATATATGTGTCCTCGAAATAATTGAAAATCGGTTGACTTTCTTCAGATGCCATACCTTGCAGAAGCTCGAAAGCTGTGGGGACGTCCTCTACGGGTAGAAATGCTGTTGCGAGAAGCATTCGAATAAGTTCGCGAAAATTAAGGTCATTGTTGTAATTGTGAGTATTGCCTGACGACTGAACATGTCGCCAGACACTTTGACTCATATGGAAAAAACAAAACTGAATTTGAGCACTCTGATGGGTAGCTATTATTGAGTTTCGCACAGCTACTTCAAAATCAATTGTGACGCGTCTTTTTTCGCGTCGAACTCTATTTACAGCTTGCTGATTAGCAGAATAACTAGGTAAATGAACAGCTGTTTCTCGGTTCACATCACGTTGGGCTGCGAAAATAGTCTGTCGCGGTGTTACATCGGATACTGCTGCTCGATCTTTAAGTGTTTTTCTGAACTTACGTTTTTCGATGTCAGCTGGATCGGGGAAGTGGCAGTGATCTTTAACGATCTCAACGGAGTCGTCCTTTGTACGCACACGGCCATTGCAGCTACTTTGTCCGCAGCGCCAGGAAAGGGAATTGTCTGCCAGTGTTCTGTGTTTAATATAAGCATACCCTTCAAAAATCAGTAACTCAGAATTTTTGTTTGTAAGTATGATTTCCATCGATAGATAGTGAATTTCGTTTCTATTGAGTGTTGTCAGGTGTTTGAAAATGAAACAGATTGAACAACCTGTCTCTTTTTGCTTAGATTAAAAAAAGAGTCCACTTTCTTAAATTGCGTTAACTTTAATGTTTCGAAGGTTATTGCTCTTATTGAGTGGCCGCTGCTGTTATCTAGGTTGTTCTAATTTCTCTACTATACTACCTATTGTTATCCGGATTAGTTGGTATCAAAATGTGTTTAATATGAGATAAATTTACTTATCAGCTTCTAGAACAATTATCACTTCGATCAATGGGACTGTTTTTTGGACTATTTTTTGGACTATTTTTGGGACTGTTTTGTATGGGACTGTTTTTTTGTACTTTGCTATGTTTTTTCGGACTGTTTTGTATTGGACTGTTTTGTATGGGACTGTTTTGTACAGACACGGTTTTTTCGTTTGAAAGCTTTATTTGGCCTACATGGATTGGGCTTATGTTTTATTGGCTTAATTTGTTCGACGAACTTATTTTTGTTGGAGGGCAGAAATGAGTGTACAAAAATGATGGGTCGGTTGTGGTGAAAAATTTCATGGCTCAAAATTTTTTAGGGCAACACTTTTTATGGCTTTTTCTGCTCAAAAGCTAACCTAATGCTGGTTTTGTTTTTCACTACAGTATCCTGAAATTGAATTTTTCATTTATTCAAAAAATCACGTCTTTACAATCTTTTTTCATGTGTTTGGACATTCGATTAGTTATAAGTTAACACAGTTGATGCATTTTTGTTTTGTCAGATAAACCGAAAAAGATATATGTTTCTTACAACAACACTATAATAAAAACTCGATTTCAGAAATTTTCTAACTCAATATATCTGGCAATTTTTTTGAAATGCACAGTTTGTTCATAATTTGTCTCTATGCTTTCCAATTTATAACATGCAAAGTTGGTGTGGATGCCTTAAGCGTATGATTTTTCAATTGAATACATGCAAAAACTGTCTGTTTCTATTTGGTGCATTTTTTACTGGATAGCATTGGAAGTTTATCAGCATATGTAGCTGCTTTATCGGCCGCTAGTGTTAGTAGGTTTTAAAGCAAAACGCAGCTTCGTGTCAAGATGAAAAAGTGTTAATAATAAAAATTTCCTGAAATTAAGTGAGCTTCAATGTGATATATTTTTTTTCTTTGTAATTCTAAATTTCAAAAAAATCAATCATTTTTTCAGTTTCACCTGAGTTCATTGAATCTTTTGAAGTGTTTGTTGGCCATGTTTTGATTATGGTGCGTTATTTTAAGAAAAATTTGGTAAATAGGTTAATTTCGAGAGAAAAAAAATGGTGTAAATATCATTTTATTGACTCTACCTGAGGTTTTTGCTATTGTAATGTCGAAGGTTTTCGGTTGTAGTCTTTTTTGTGATTGCACCAACAGTGTATTGTTATTCGTCTGTCCTTTTTTCCCGATCAAAGTCGCACAATTTCTTAATTGTTTCTGTGCTAACTTATCGAGTTGAGAGATCGGTGACCTGACTCAGCTGTTGAAATAGTTTTTACCTGCAGTCACTTTTCTTAGGTTTGGAATTTTTTTTACTGTACTAAATGCTGCGCGATTTTTTGCACAAATATTTATTGGTGTTCTATATGTTGGTGTTTTGTTTTTCAGAGTTTGGATATGCCTGCACAGATCTACCTAGGGGACATACCCTCCGAATGCAAAGAAAGAGACGTGGAGGACTTCTTCAGGAAGTATGGCCGCATCGAGAAGATCAGCATGAAGGGCACTTTCGCATTCGTCGTAAGCATGTCATGTCAATTGTTTATGAATCATTTAAAAATATAATCTATTATATATTTAAAGGCGGGCTTCGCTATCTCGCCATGTTTAAGCTTTTTCAACGTATTATTTTTGCATTTTTAACAAAAGAGTTTTTTTCACGTTTAAGCTATATCGTATATTGCAGTGGTTAAGATTTTTTTCGATTTTCCTGTTTGAAATCAGTGTTGATTTCACCAAGTTTGAAAGTAGCAACCCAATAGTTAGATGTTTCAGGATTTCTCCGGATATTGTGATTTTGGCCTCTATATATCAATAAGCAAATCCTTTTAGGCTACGAGATACGGCAGTTTTCGAGATTTTTCAAAAATTTCTAGAAAACTTAATTTTTAAAAAATTCAAGTTCTCAACCCTGTAGTTGGAAACTGTGAGGGTACTCTCAGGAGTTGCGAGTCTTGCCTCTGAATTTGACTGATCAAATCCTTGTAGTTTTCGAGATTTGATGTTTTTTAGGATTTTTTCAAAATTTTTAAAAGAACTTAGATATGAATAATTTCAAAAATTTTGAAGACCCCCCTTTATAGAGAGGCTCTGTCAGGGTACTCCCAGGAGTTGTGAGTTTTTTTTCCAAATTTGACTGCTCAAATCCTTGTAGTTTTTCAGATGTGACGTTTTTGGTGATTTTTTTTTCAAAAAGTTTTCAGAAAACTTAAATTTAATTTTATTTTTTTTGTGAGTTTGATTTTCCGAATTCTGTTGTTGGCAGCTGTCAGAGTATTCTCAAGCTCCCAGGGGTTGCGAATCTTGCCTCCAGATGTGACTGCTCAAGTCTTTGTAGTTTTCCAGATATGACGTTTATCGTTAATTTTTCAAAAACTTTTCAGAAAACTTGTTTTTTTTTTTGAAATCTTGAAGTTTCTAACCCCCTGAAGTTGGGGGCTTTCAGAGTGCTCTCAGGGATTGCGAATATTGCCTCCAATTGTGACTTGCTCAAATCTTTTGGTTGTTTTCAAGATACGACGTTTTTTTCTGGTTTTTTCAAAAAAGTTTTTTTCTTAGAAAACTTAATTTTGAAGTTCCCAACGCTGTAGCTGGGCACTGTAAGAGCTCTCATAAGAGTTGCAAATCTTGCGTCCAAATGCGACTGCCCAATAATTTTTAGATTTCGAGATGTAATGTTTCTTAATTTTTCAAAGATTTTGAAGTTTTTCAAAGAACTTTGATATAAAAAACTTCATGGTTTTTAAAAATTTGAATTGAAAAAACTTGAATAGAAATTTTTTCAAATTTTGAAATTACCAACCCTGTAACTCGGTGCTGTCAGAGTACACACAAAGGATGCTGATTTTTTTTCCATTTTTGCCGTTTTTTATGAGTTGTTGAAAATTCGAAGCACCGTAGGTGCGTTACACGTTAGTGGTATTTAAATACGGAAAATTAAGTACATTAAACAGCAAGATTAGCTGGAGGCATTGCGAGTAGAGCAAAATTTTCCGACCACAACTAATGAAGTTCAAAAAAGACACAAATTAAAAATCGAATGAAAAATAAATACATTTTCTGTTGATTTTTTTCTAGCAAGGGCGACCGAGTTAGGCCAAAAGCTGCAAAAATTAGACTTAAAAATAGCTTAACTCGATATTGTACGAAATCACTTAATTCGATGTACGATATTGTACACGTTATACGATATACGGCAAATTAAACGGAAAAACACTTAGAAGATATGAGATCATCAGTAGCGACCTAGGGTTAAGAGGGGGGGGGGGGGGATTTTCGACCAGAGGTTCGATCCCTGCCTACTTTTGAAAATATCCATGTTTGGCTGAATGACCCAAAAAGTTTCAAGGCGCCTTTGGCGCCCATATATGCTAAGGTTACGGGGGGGGGGGGGGGCGGAGCGGGCGCGAGACCATGATTTTTTTATTTAAGGCTGCTTGATTGTTTGATATAAGAGGCGGCTCAACTCCAACATAAAAATGTTCTCGGGAGTGCAATCAAAAATTATAGTCGAGCAGCAAAAAAAATCTGAGAAGCTTTGAGTGGTTGTTGTAATTGAGTAAGAATTTTGATCTGAAGTTGTACGATTGTACTTTTTTTAACGAAAGCCAAAACTTCCGATTATACGTTTAAGATAGTCGGGTTTTACGATAAGCACGGGTATTGCAACCGAGCTCTAGACTTTTTCCCCATCAACAACTTTGTCCACAGGACTCATCTGGACGTCTGGACTCATCTCTACTTTGATTCGTAATGTATTCAAATTTCTTAGCGTTCCTGGCCAACTTAGGTTGGAGGCAACGAATATAACTGGACGGCAAAGGTCTTGGGTTAGAGTCAGACCAGGACCCCTTTTTTTCAAACGGGAAATATTCTGTTTAAAAAAAAATATGTCACAGAATTATTTGTCTGCTTATCTGTTTTTGTCTTAACTGTCATATCTCGGAATTGTTTTTTTTCTACGCGCATTTTTTAAGTTTTTAGTGTTTTTAGCGTTGTTTTTAGTGTTTGATTCACGTCTACATTTTGTAATTCTATTTACCTTGACTTCATATTTCTTTTGTTTTTTCGCTAATAAAATTCCATGGCCAAAATTGTTTCGGCCTTTTTTTCATTGGCTTAATGACCTTAGTTTGGGAGATTTAAAGATCAACACAGTTTTAGTGCTCCCCTTCGCTTTTTTCAAGTCTGTATTTTTATCAATCTGTTTGTTGAAATTTCATTTTTTTCGTTTGGAAATTTTTTGTCACTTTTTACAAAAATTTTAGTTTTTCTCTGTAAGTTTTCTTAATTTTCAAAATAGGAGTATCGATTGAAAGACCGCTTAATCCTCTGTGTGTCTGCACTTTTCCCTAAAGTCTTTTTTCACTTGACCCCTCTGTCTACAGCCTTCGAAAAGTGTGGAGGAATATTTGACCCATATTTTTTTCGTATTCTCGAAAACTACTGCTCTCAAATATGAGTTTTTGGTTTAAATGGATAGAACTGTTTTGAAAAGCTCCCCTGCATAAGTGGCTACGACCAATTTTTTTTGACACATAAAGTTATGGCCCTCGAAGTAGTCAAATTTTTGATTTTTGACCGTTTTTTGGATCTTTTTGACTTTTCTCGGTAAATAACCTCTCAAATCTGATATTGTGAGTTCGATGAGATTACAGATAGTGGGAAGTTCCTCTGGACTAATGGACTCAAAGACTCGCTAAAAGTTTTACTCAAGAAGTTATCGCGATCTGAAAATTAAAATTTTTCATTTTTTGACCGTTACTGAAACTTTAAGTATTCTCGATAACAGCTCTGCCATGTTTGAGATTTTGGGTTAAACCCAAAATCTCAGATTTGGGAGGGCAGTTCTCGAGAAAAGTAATAAAAAACAATCAAAAGTTCAAAATTCCGACGGCCAAAACTTGTGGTGCCAGAAAAATTTGGGCGTACTTGCCTAAAAAAATGTGCTTCCCACAAGCCGTTCATCGAATAAATGAACGGCTTTTGGGAAGCACATTTTTTTAGGCAAGTACGCTCAGTTTTTTTTGACACCAGAAGTTATGGCCGTCGAAATTTTGAACTTTTGACTGTTTTTTATTACTTTTCTCGAGAACTGCCCTCCCAAATCTGAGATTTTGGGTTTAATCGAAATAACAGGTTGCGTGAGTTCCTTCTTTTTAAGCGGCTACACCCTATTTTTTATTAGAACAAGTTATGTTTCTTGGAAATGTCAAATGTTTGATTTGTTAACGGTTTTTTGGAAATATCCTGATAAATCTAATATAGGTTTAATCGAGCAACAGGTTGTTGAAAGCCTACCTTGAACCCCGCTTCGGTCACGGCTGGAGGGGTCCTAGTGTCATCCGCCTCCTCAAGGTGGGACCGGCTGCGGCAAAATGGATGACATCCCCCCTCCCCCACGGTTGGTCCTGCACTGAGCAGGCCGGGGGCAAATAAAAAAAAAAAAAAGCCTACCTTTATAATTGGCTATGCTGTTTTTTAAGAAAGAAGTTATGGCATTCAAAGAAGTCAAAGAAACTTTTTGACTCAGCGAAAACTACCGTGCCAATTCTCAGGTTGTGTTCAATTAAGAAACCCGGATGTGGGAATCTTCTCTGCTTGAGCGGCCACTGCCTATTTTTGGGTAGTCTTGACCGTTTTTTAGAACTTTTGACAGTTTAAAACTTTTTGATTTTTTTAAATTTACACCATCAAATCTGAGATGAAAAGTTCAATTGAAAGAACCGGAGGCGATAATTGTTCTTGCAAAAGCGACACCTCCTTAATTTTTTTTGTAAGAGAAATGCTATCTCCTTGGGAAAAATGATTATCTCAAAATTTTTTACGCTTCTCTTTTATTCTACTAGAGAAACAACTAAGGTTTTGTGCAAAGTCCAATTTTTGAAATCACATTTTTCGTGCAACATCAGTGTAGCAAAGACATTCAATATCAAACACGTGCCTAGAGCTTTAGCTGGGCACCTAGTTGTTTTTTTTATCGAGCCATACCAAATTTTTGGTTCGCCTAGTTTTAACATTCAAATTTGTTTGATCTATATTTTTTTATATTTGTTGTATCGCAAGCGGTGCGAAGCTCCGCTTCGCCTCTGTGTTTATTATATGTCAATTCACCGAGCTAAATCAATGTGAAAATTGCCTTAGATTTGATCTGAGAGTTCAGTATCGTTCGTAAATTTCTGGTCATTTAGTCCAGAAAAACGGGAAGTTCAGACCCGTTTTTCTGGAACGAAACCGACAACTTGTTTTGGAATCTGAATCACGGCTGAAAGGGCTTTAATATGATAATCCTTACTTGAACCTCTATGAGCTTTATTTTAAGTAGTCAAATTCAGAGGTACAAAAATCTTATTTTGCTCATAGTTCCTTCCCATTTCGTGAATTGGGCGCAACAATAAATTTCTAATGCGTGCTAAAAATGAGGTTCTAAAAATATTGCCAATCAATTTGGTTGATTGGCATTATTTATTGCAAAGTTTTACCTAGTAATGCTTTTTTGCTCCTAAATATCAGCTCAAGTTAAGTAGCGGTTCTCTGAGAAGTGTTTATAGTGGTTTTCTTTTGATTCGATTAGGCTTGCGAAGTTTCAGCCATAATCTTTCAAATCCCATTTTAGGATTTTGAGGACGGACGTGACGGCGATGATGCCATCCGAGACCTAGACGGCAGGCGACTCCTGGGAGTGCGAGTGAGGGTGGAGCGGGCGAGGGGAACCCCTCATGGAAGTGACAGATACGAGTACGACGACTACAGAGGGGGCGGAGGAGGAGGAGGTGGACGTGGCAGAGAGAGAAGGCGCACCCCCATTTGGCTCGACAAGTAAAGCCCTTTTGTTAATTTCTCGCGGTGACCTGGCTTTTTTAGGTCTCAAAAATCAAAATTTACCAATTCTATTAGCAAAACTTAAATGACTTTTCTCAACGTTTTTTTGACGACGTCTGGGTAAAATTTAAGAACTAGTTTCAATTTTTAGTGTTTTGAAAACTTTCCAGTGGCATGCATCCTGTGCATTTTGGCTTCTGCCTTCTTATTGTTATTTTTCTGACGTTGTGTCTGACTCTAGTCTGTTGTCCGTTTAGATATGGCCCTCCTACAAGAACCAAATACCGAGTGAGAGTGGAAAATCTGTCGTCACGTGTCAGCTGGCAGGTATATAAATTTAAGCGAGGTCGGATCCCTGATCATAGTGAGTCTAATATAATAATATTCCACGCTTTGAAAAGACCAATTTAATATTTGGCTTGGTTCAATTTTTTTCAGAAACAGATTACTTTTCAGCAGGGGCGGATTTTGGATTTTCAAAAAACTTTCGAGGGTTTTTTCAACCTTTCTTTTTAGGTTGACCAATTTGATTTTCCGAGCTCTCCCAACGTAGTAAAAAGACCCTGGTTTGGTCAAATTTTCTGCGCCCAGGCAAAATTTTAAAAAACAGGCCGCCAAAAAAAATGTTCTTCGGCACTTTTTGGAAATTTTGGCAGGGGGTCGAATCCCTGAGGGGGGGGGGGCTAAATCCGCCCCTGCTTTTCAGGCTTTTTCGCTATTTTAAAAATTTCTGTGTACACTAAATTTAGATTTAGGTCCATCTTTTGACGAACAGTTCAATTCAAATTTTACTATGATTGTTATTAGCAGATGTTTCGGAGGGTTTTAAAGCTCAAAATGAGGCTGACTGAACTTAAGTTATGAATTAGCTGGGTTGGTATTTTCGATGATTAAATAGTTATATATCTTCAGTCCTCGGTGCGAAGTCACTTCATTCTCCTCGAGCAGATGAGATGAGATGATATAGATGATAGAGTTCTTCTACGTACAAGGCATCGATCATCATCTCATCCTGTTGCTTTGCCCCCGCGGAGCGTAGCGACAACAGGCCGCAGCGCTCCCGCGAACATAACCTCTTAATTTGATGTCCACTACATACTCAAAATCAATCCAATCATTTCGATTCAATTCAACCGGTTCAGTTTGGTTTCTTCGACTTTTTACACGGAAGATGTTTCTCACTCTCGAATTTGTACTGTGAGCTGATGATGATGTTCGTGAGGTGATGTGATGTAAAATGACGTAAAGAGTTGAACAAGGACATTAGTCATGACGTCATGAGGCTGTAGTGATAGTGATCGGCAGGGGCAAACTCACGTTCAGTCACATGTAGACGTTCAAATCGCTAGATGTTCTTTCAAACGATGTTCTCGGTCGGATTTATGATGGGTAGAAGCGATATTGAAACACTTTTTTTTATCAAAAAAGGAAGTAGCGCTAACATGAATGGGGTTTTTAATAGTTAAATTCGACCTTTTAGGTTTTAGGGTTTAATATTTTGGAAAGTATTTCACGCTGGGTTATTTATTGAATACCAAACCAAACTTTTGTTATAAAACAGTTATCGCAAAAAAGATTGTAATTTTTTTTTTCTGTTTAAAAGTCATTGTAAAGCTTCGTTTACGATGACTGGTCGTGTTTTGATAGTTCATGTATCTAAAGGGCTTCTACGATATTAGGTTACCTTCCGAAGCGGTTATAGATGATTATGAATTATGCCAGTTTTGTACGTAATAGTAAAACGTGATATGATTAAGTTGAACTGTCATTTGATTTCAGGACCTGAAAGACTATTGTCGCAAGGGAGGAAACGTGACCTTCGCCGAGTGCCACAAGGGCGAGGACCGCACCGGGTAAGAATACTGAGATTCTAAGTATTACATAATCCCCATTAAGTGTCATTAAAAGAAGTTATTTATCGTTTATTGCTGCTTGTGAGTGCAAATGCTTGTTATCAATCCGGACATCCTTTAAACAATTTTTTCTAGGGAAAACTAGACTTTTCATCCTCTAAACATCTTTTCTTCTATCTTTGGGTCGTTTCATCAGGTTGCTCATTTGTGGCATTTTCAATTTAGAGAACCGTTGTTATATCATACCCGTTGTTATTACGCCCTATTTCACTTGTGGCGAATTTTGATTAGGGTAAATTAATTACCAGTTCGAGCAGTTACCAGTTCGAGATAAATTTTGAGTCTCACTAATTTCGTTTTTTTTTTTGGCTGAAAATATCGGCCTATCTCTATCAGCTTTGTTGCTTCGTACTTGGTGTTTTAAAAGAAGTAATGATGTTTTTGCATGCGAGAGCGTATGGACAGGTAGGGGGATTTAGAAGGTTTTACAGTTTTCCAAAATTGTTGTACCACTGACAACTCCGATTTTGTTTTGGTTCAACGAGTGTCTACGAAAGATGCATCGCTTCATTAGTTTGATACGTCATTCACACTAGAATGCTTTTACTTTGAAAACATGCTGTGGCTGAAAAACGTGATCTATTTCTTGACAGTCTAATGTTCATCCTAGCATATAAAAACAAAGATTTCTAGCTTTACACGAAGCAATCATTGTCGTTTGTGGTACTTGTGTGAAAATGGAGTCTCGACTTAGTAATATAGAACAAAATTTCAAATTTGCTGGCTTTCTTCGGATAATTTATGTTCGAGCTAGAAATGAGTTAGCGATTGAAAAATGTTTCCATAGGTTTGGGTTTTTACCTAGATTTTTTTAAGTCCTTATAGAGAAAAGTCTCATCATACATTTTTCACTCATGGAAACTGTATAATAAGCATTTGTTTCTTCATTGACACTATTAATGGAATTGTTTGAAACACATTTTGCTTAAACCATCGAAAATGGGGAGGAATTTGTATTCGTTTCTTTTTTGGTTTGGTTTTTGGTTTTCACGCAACATCAGTTAACACGAATAAGTATCGGACTATACATTTAAAAAATTTCCAAAAATTCTGCAATTTCGAGAAAAACAGGTTGAAAATTTTTGATTTTAAATCTAACTTGCAGCCCTTCTCCAATAATCAATCGAATCTCAAAAAAAATAGTTGTCTAAGCAATGAAAATTCGAAAAATTTCAAGTTCAGTCACATCGTAAATCGGATTGAAAAAATTTCAAATTTCAAGCTGCTTAAGCTACAAAAGTCAGAAGTTTTTCAAATTATTTCATAGACTGAATCAGTGTGGGAAATTTGTAAGCTTTTTAAATCAAGCTAGTCCAGCATTTTTTTAGCTCGAATCGCCTAGGAAAATTTAGTTTTTCTAAGCATCGTGGTTGCTGTTTTTAGTTGTTTCATTTCAGACTGAAATGAATCTGTAATCGCAAAAATTTAGACTAAACGTGGACAGGTACTGTCTAGCTTTGAAGTTGAATTGAACTTATCTTGCTTATGCGTCTAGCTTTTTGACTTCTAGAAACTTCCAGACTTAAGAATGATTGAAAGTTCTGGCCTAATACCTCCTGAGCATTTTGATCCAAGACTTCTTAAACGTTGTGCTCCATAGAAAAGTTGAAACGTTGCGCTCTTAGCGCATTAGGACTTTTTATCTTGAGCTTTTTTGAAGGCTCTAAGTTTATGAGAAGTCAAAGAATTTTCTAGATCTATACAATATTCTTAAGTTTGGAATATTCCAGGTGTTTTTCTAAATAAAGAACTCATTGGGCAAGATGACTCGATTGAACTGTAAGCTTAGACAGTACATGCCCATTTCTGTTCCAAACTTTTGCGGTTACAGATTATTTTCAGTCTGAAACTAATCCACTAGGAACAGCTCCCTCTATGCTTAAAAAACTAATTGTTTGGGAACGGATTGAGTTGAATTGAAGTTGAATTTCTGGTTTGAATTTCTAAGCTTGAATTTCTGGTTTAAAAAAACATTTTTAGCGAAACAATTGGTCCAAATTTTTTGAATCGATTCAGTTATGAAACATTTTGTTACTTTGAGGCTTGAAAAGCTCGCTTACATCGAATTTTTTGCCTGCTGATTTGCTTCAGGAAAAAAGTTAAATATCAAATTTTCGTAGCTTGAATAGCTTGCTTAACAAAAACTGCTTTTTGCTAACCAATTCGCTCTATGAAATAACTTAAAATTTCCAAAGTTTTTTCGCTTGGCCATCTTTAATTTTTTGCAAAAGGGCTCGATCAGATAACAATTTGGAGTAATTTGAATTTATCTCTCGAAAAGCTCGCTGTATAAAACTGAGTTTGCAACACGTTTCGGTCTTAAAAACAACATGAATTTGTTCACCGCTGGATGGCTTCAATAAGAAAAACTTCAACTTTTCGCAAACGATTCGGTCTTAGAAACCCTTGATCTATTTCAAAGTTTTTTTTCAGCTGGAGTAGCCTGCTTGGAAAATTTAACGTTTCGCAACCGATTCGCTTCAAGGAGTTACATGAAATTTTTCAACGTTTCGTAGCTGGAATAGCTTGCTTAGAAAAACCTAAACGTTTCGTCATCCGATTGGCTTTATGAAATTACTTGAAACATTTTGATGTTTCCTAGCTTGATCATTGAAAGCTGTAAATTCGGTTTGGATTGTTTTTTTTCACTGACAGATATTGTGAGTTCTTGCTTTTCTTTAAACTGGTGGCTTGAGCTTGTTTGATAAAAGATTTTGTTTCGGCAAGGTGCTCGCCGTCTTTTAACACTTCTTGAAGTAAGAGTGAACTAATTGTTTCGTCTGTTGTACTTTTCTGTGGTAGATAAGTAGCTTTTTGAGTGAATCAGTTCCTTTTTACGTCTTCTGCGCAGGAAAATTTGACTGCTTGACCTGCCAGCCTCAGATAAAAAGCTGCTTATTGTTCCGACTATTTGAAAAATGTGGAGAAACTTTGTATTCGAGTGTGTTTTCTTTTTTCTTTTTGTTCTCCTCGCAAGACGAATGGATCGACTGATATATCATATTAAAGCCCTTTCAGTTGTGATTCGAACGACTCAAAAAATTTGCCAAAATGTAGACCCAGTATTGAGAAATTCAGGTTTTAATTTTTTGGATTTTCGAGCGAATAATGCTAGCGAGCAGGCTTTAAATAGCTTATTTTTGCTAAATATAGGTCTTAAAAAATTAGTTTTACTCAAATAAAGTTTTTGTTTGAGTTTTTAAGCGCCGATTTTGAATTAAAATTTCCAAATTTCTTCAAAAAAAAATTTGAAAAGAAAGTATTTTTTTTTGATTTTTTTCTTTTCTTAGTCATTTTTTTTAGAAAAGTGTTGTTCGATTTGCTTTTTAGTCTTCTTGTCGAATATTCCTAAGTTCCAGTTTCTCGTTTAGATTTTTTTTGTCACACCACGCAGAAAAAATGACACTTATTTGAAAAAATTAGAGTATCGTTGGAACATTCTGTGCTACTTGCATAGTAACCGTCTATCCTTGTTTTTTTGCCATTACTTGAATTATACAGGTGCATTATTAAACGATGTTGTCTTAATCATTTTTCACTTAGCGCTCACAATTAGTGGTGCAACATTCGATCGAAAGTTGAATTCGAATGTTCGTCAGCAACATTCGAGCATTAGTCGAACGTTCGAACAATCGATAGTTCAGCGGTTTTTTGAGAAAACAAATGAAACCCAATATTTTATTCCAAATTCCATGCAGAATGGTTTGCATGTTTACACGATCTCCAATAACTGTTGCCCTTTTTTTGATGACAACGTTTCCAGCAGTGCTAAAACACCATCAGAAGGGGTACTCGAGAATGGTATACAGAAAATTTGCCTCGCCAAAGTGATTTATATATACTTTGTGTAAACTACTCAATAAAATGCAGGTCAAATCGGACCGAATGTTTGCCAGAGCCTTCGAAGGCTTATTGTCGAACGAACGTGCGGACATTCGGTTGGACCACTACTCACAAGCAAAAATTAAATAGAGAGTTTGAACTTGCCTGCGCGTTCTGTTGAAAGAATTATTTTTCCCTTATTCGTTTGTGTAACAAATTGTTTCAATTTGAAACCGCCGTTGTTATTTCATGATAATAGTTGTTGGGTTTATCTGGGGTCACTTTCGGCCTCTATCGTCTAATGGCGGCATTAATTCGTGCAATTATTTGATGCGGCTTTGTGTCAATTTTTTTTGAATAACGTCCCGGAGGAACAAGAAGAGGATCATTTAAATCTCAATTGTCTCCCGTTTGGAAAAAAAATGTCCACCCAGATATCTCATGGATTCGGTGGTTGATGTATTTTAGACAAAAAAAAACCTGTTTACTCGGCCGAAAACAGAACTTTTGCTATCTGAGCAATTAGGTTCCTGAAATTTCTCTGATTAACTCATGCGTAACCTTATTAAATAGTACAGTGGTGATTTAAATTATCCGGACAAAACGAACAAAACTTGAATTTTCAAACGCGTTTTTCTCAATTTGGGTTAAGATTAGAGAAAAAGTGTAGAGAAGAACAGTTGTTTAGAATTTCATCAGAATTAATATCTCCGAAATTCTCAACCAAAATTTTACCCCAGAAATGGGTCATTTTGGTTTTTTTAAATAACCAAAAATTACGCTGAAACTACTTGTTAATTGATGAGAAATATATATCACAAGACGCTTCTGACACATACCAACAAAGTTCTAGAAGGGTTAAATCTCCAAAAACGTGAGTAAATTGTTTAAAAATTGTTTTTAAGCAAAGATTTTGGGTTTTATGTAGTAAAAATCACATTTCTTGACTATCAAGCAAAAATATTTTCTCTTATACAGGTTTTTGGAGATTCAACTGTTCTAGAATTTTGTTGGGCTGTGTAAGAGGCTTCTTGTGATATATATTTCTCATCAATTAACAAAGTAGTGTCAGCGTAATTTTTGATTAAAAAGTTTTTTTAAAAAGCCAAAATGACCTATTTTTGGGGTAAAATTTTGGTTGAGAATTTCGGAGAAAAAATTGCACCATAATAATTCTGACGAAATTCTAAGCAACTTTTGTTCAGTACACGTTTTGTCTAATCTCAGCCCAATTTGAGAAAAACGCGTTTGAAAATTCAAGTTTTGTTCGTTTTTTCCGGATAATTTAAATCAGCATTGTATTGAGCCTTATTTGATGAGACAAGACCAGTTAATTTGAATAAGAAGAAGAAGAAGAAGAAGAATTAATTTCACTCAACAATCAGATACACTATTACATTAAACAAAAAGTATATTTTTTATCACATAATAAATGAATCAACAGTTTACCCAAGATTGTTAAGTGAGGATACGCAAAGGGTTTTCTTCAAACCCACTAGGAGCGTACCCCATAGATTACACAAAAGAAAAGCACATCAATGAGTCATGAATAAGTGATAAATATAATATTTATGAAACCAATTAGCAAAAAGAAAAAATTCTAAGTTTTTTAGAAGTTAATTAACGCCTCATCCACCTCGTGAAAAAAAGCCCTTAAATTCTCTAGAAATTTGGGCAGAGGAGTAACGCCCTCTTTTTGACCATTTTTCACAATTTCTTGAAATATGACTATGTCCTTTAGGTGCAAAGCATATTAGTCATTTTCAATAACAAGCGACCAAGTGAGCAAAGAGCAAAGCGACCAAAGTGAGGTTTACAATTTGATAGACAGTAATAACTTAGGCTATTTTTGACCATGGTTAACTACCGTTCCGAAGCTAAACTTCAAGAAAGTCTTGGAGTTTGTGAAATTGTAGATTTTGTGACTAAATAGCCATTGTCTTTTTGGTCGTCTAATCTACTACATTTTTATCTGTAATAGGTTTGAAAAAAAAACGTCTTGTTTTTATTCTTTCATCGCAAGTGAGGCGAAGCTTTTTATTGACCTCTCAGTGGGGCGAATTTACTTTTTATTGACTTCTCATGTGAGTTCTCTTGATTGATACTTTCGGCTAATCCTTTGGCTGCTGTAGCTCAAATTTTTTGCATATGTTGAAATTCACGTGTCATTCCACGTAAGCATAGAGATTTTTTAAGATTTCGGTTAATGCAGTTATATTCCCAAATAGTTTTTAGGCATTAGCACCGATGTTTCGATGTTTTTATAAAATGGAAACAACTACTAAAGATATGAAGAAGTTTCAAAAATATATCTGAAAACGATTTAGAATCGTGGAGTTTGAGACACGCGACGACATGATTAAAGCCATTAAAAAGTTGGATGGCACTGAGATCAATGGTCGCAAGATCACAATGACCGAAGAGGGAGGTGGAGGAAAATCCAGGTCTAGATCCAGATCCAGGACCAGATCGCCAAGGTCCCGCTCCAGATCAAGGTAAGCCTCCGATTAAGATGCGATTTATTTGTAGATCAATGATTTTTCACTCCATAAAGTACTCTCTATGCTTGAAAAAATAGAGAAAAAGGAGCAAAATTTAATCAAGCGATTTTACTTTTTCCGAACTTCGGTTTCCCATTTACTTCAGCTGTTAAAAAATTATTATTTTTGGCTCTCGCATTACTTTTAACAAATTTATTGGTGGTTTCGAAAAATATCTAACCAATTGGGAAAAATTTTAGAAGCCGTGGTTCGCGATCCAAGTCCAGATCCAGGTCTCGAAGTCGCACTCCGGCGAGGGATAAGAGCCGCGACAAAGATCGCGAGGGAGGAAGTGCAAGACGCAGTCGATCCAAGACCAGGAGCCGATCTTCCTCTAGATCCAAATCACGATGAGAGAAATGGAGAGATTTGGACTTAGGGACACCACTTAAAGACGCAAATCGGAGACGAAGCAACTTTTTTGTTTAGTTGACTATGTTTTTCTTTGATCTCTCCACTTTTCGAGCGCAATTGTTTGCTGAGTTTTTGATTGTCTGGAAACCCATATTGGCGTTGTTTTAATGCACTGGTTTTTTCAGCTTTTGATAAATAGTCGTAGTCAGTCGGCCAACGAGAAGTGGACTGAAGATTTTCTCATTTTATTGATGTTGTGTTTTCTAATTTTCAAACTGGAATGTAAGAATAAATTTCACTTTTGGACTCTTAACCTAAAAACTGTTATTTGATATGATGTCATTGTGAAATTTACCGTATTCTTTCTGTTTCTTTTTTCCAAATACAAATCATATATACCTAAATTGAAGCGCAAGCTGAAGTTGTTACAGTTACTCTTATGATTTGGCATATTTTTAGCGATGAGAGATGGAGACATTCAGTGAATGCAGTTGTTAGAATGTATCGAAAGTATAACTATGGAGGAGATAGATAGATAAATTCGCCTTATCAAAAAAATTGTCGTGTAATGTAGATTCCGTTTTTTAGGTATCTGATGGATAGTTTATGATGACGTTATGCATCTTTGAAGAGATTTATTAGAATGAGTGTTTCAATAACCACGAACAAGGCAATGTTCCGTAACTTGTGTTCCTTTTGCAATCGCAGTCTTCTATCGTCCCAGACACGACCCTTCAGTACACAATATTCCAAAACGCAGACTACATGGAATCAAAAAAATGTGAGATCTCTAGTATCTGTACCTGCTAACAAACCACAATTGATCAGAATTAATAAGCAATCGTCCCTTGGTTCGGAGGCTTTCCAGAGTCAATTATCAATTGACCACAAGAGTAGTCATGAAGAACAAACGAGAAGTACAACATTGGACAACGGATTGCGGTTAGTTACGTAGTTGTGAGCTGTATGTATATTAGCATTGTTTATTAGGCTTGTTATGAAGTTTACGTAGAATATTTGAAAGGATGGTGGCTGTGTAATTTTCAATCGCGTGTTTCTTAAATTGAGTTAAGTTTAGACCAAAAGTGAAGAGAACAAAAGTTGCTTAGAATTTCAGAAGTATGGCTCATTTCGGCTTTTTTTAGTGAATCAATAATTACGCTGAAATTACCGAGTAAATTGACGAGAAAGTTATATAAAAAGCCTTTACACAGTCCAACAAAGTTATAGGTGAGTAAATTCTCCAAAAGTTTGCGCAAAACGTTTAAAATTTGTTTTTAAGCAAAGATCTCGATGTTAATATTGTAAAACTGATCTGTTTTTGGCTAGCAACCAAAAAAATTTCTCTTATGCAGATTTTTGAGATTTTACTCGTCAATATCTTTGTTGGGCTGTGTAATAGGCTTCATTTGGTATAACTTTCTCATCAATTAACTCGGTAGTTACAGCGTACTTTTTGATTGACTAAAAAAGACAACTACATTTTTTTGCGGTAAAATTTTGGTTGTGATTTTCGAAAAATCAATTGCACCATACTAATTTTTCTGAAATTCTAGGCATTTTTTGTCCTTTTCACATTTTGTCTAATCTTAAGCCAATTTGGAAAAATTTTAGAATCACCATTGTGTTGAATGAAAATTTTGAATGCGCTATGATCCCAACGTTTCTATCGAGCACAACGTTTGAGAAAGCAGAAAGCTTAGATCAGAAAGTTCAAGAATCATTCAAAGCAACCATCAAGCTCAATATTTAAAAGAAGTTCAGGCAAGATTTTTCTAGAATTTTCAATCATGCTAAAGTCTGGAATACTCCAGTTTTTTTCGAGAAAAAATACTCCGAAACTCTTTTAATTTCAATTTCAAGGCTAGACTGTACCTGCCCACTTTTGTCCATAATTTTGCGTTTACAGATTCATTTCAGTCTAAAGATAATCAACCAAAAACAGCAATCTCCCATGCTGAGAAAAATTAACTCTAAGCTAACCGATTCGCGCTGTGGAATAGCTTGAAAAGTTTTCATAGCTGGAATAGCTGGCTTAGAAAAACTAATACTTTCCGCGAACCAATTCAATCTATGAAATAACTTGAAATTTTTCAAAGTTTCATATGTTTCCGCCATCCTTCCTTACGAGCGCGCACAGCGCGCGATTTCAGGTCTCATTTATCTAGCCACCCCTGGTTTTTAACGTTATGCGTTTATCCCGGAAAATAACTATCTCGCAGAGTTACCGCTATTTTTTCCTCGGGTTTTCATCCAGGAAGAATCGGAGAATAAGAGAATAGATTTTTTTTGAATATTTCTAATGTTCTTTAAATACCTTCATAGTCTAGCGTATTTATTTTGGTCCAACACACCGGATGACCAGGTTCAAATCCCGATAGGAGCCTAAAAGTTTTCACATTTTCAATTTTCTCAGCTCGCTCAAATTTTAACTGTAAAACGTTTCAAAAATAGTTATTTTCCTCTGATCACAAAGGTCCTTGATCCAGTGTATATGTCGCAGACCCCTAAATTGAGTGAACAGTTTCGAACTTCCATCCCAGAAAAAATTTTACTTTTTTTTAAATTAAAAATTATCATGTTTCGCTGAATTTGAATTGAAGTTTTCATATCTTCTTAACTATGAAACCTAAAGACATGCGGTTTTTAAAAGTATCTTTTATTTTGTGTTTTTTCGAGAAAAAAAATTAATTTCAAGAATGCTCATATGATGTCAACAAATTCACTTTTTTCAACTCTTGTCCATTTCATCAGTTTAATGACTGTCTGTCAAAACAGCTTCACTTTCTCATCGTTTCTTGAGTGCCATTAAGTGAGTCTATACCAGCAACTATTAATGAAACTGAGCTCCAAGAGAGTTCAGAATTTTTTCTTACTTCATACTTCAAAGTCTTTCAAAAGATTGAATGCACTCAAATATATCGAGCTGTTTCGCATCCCAGCAGGGGTTTGAGCGGAACAGCTCTGCTGTCAACTTTCATGTTGAATTTTACCTTCAATTGATCAGGTCGTTTGGTAGTTAAAAGTTTGCTCTTGCTGAAACGATTGTTAGCATATTTAGTACTGTGGGTGACTGGTCAGCAGTGCGTCAGGGTTCTACTCCAGGCGCAAATATTAAAAAATAGTTTGAAAAAAAAAGTTATGAGGAGGTGAAGCAAAGCGTGCAAATAGCTAGGAGCCAAGAACCCTGATTGCCCCTCGCGCCGTGACTCATAATGTATTAGCGTAACTGTCCCAACGACAACTGTAGCATATTTATTTAAAACTGCGTAGCCTTTTCGGCTGTTGAATTGGTCATTGTATGCTAGCTTATCAGCCATCAAACCTTCATATATATTTATGGTCTGGAGCAGTTTTTTTGTACACCTTTTACAAGATACGACAAGCTATACGAAAAACCGAAAACGATATAAGATTTTACGATTCTACTATGACTTTTTACAATTGTGCCAACTCGCCCTCGTAAATATAAAGGGCGGCTCATGAGAGTGCTTTTTAGTGCAATCTGAAAGCTTAGGGCATAAAATTATTGAGCAACAGACGACAATAACAATGTTCTCGGTGAAAAATGAATACCCACAGGTTTTTCAATGTTGTAACCAAATTTAGGTAAGCATAAGTTTTAAAGCTTTAACCGAGTTCAGTTGGTGTGTTTTTAAAGCTATTCGACAGAGATGGGATTTGAACCCACGCACGGATATCGTATTGGACTAGAAGTTCAACGCCTGAACCACTCGGCCACCCTGTCTGACCAGTTGGCAACTATTGGCAATCGAATCGAACGAATTAAAATTTGAGATTTGAGATGTTGTTTCGCTTCATCTCGTTTTGTTGCTCAAAACAATGAGACGTATCAAATCAAACCATTGTTCGATCAACAATAGACTTAGAGTCTGTGCATCTAAACTGGAAGGACGAAGTAAACACTCTTAGTCATAAAACGGTGCTAGTGCATCTTTGAACAGAGAGAACATAGTTGAGGTTTCAAACTTTCGACGTCGTTTTTGAATCAGCACTACCTGAGAAAAGCTTCCTGGCAGTTATTTTCATCAGTTTTAACATGGTCATTTAGTGTGATATTGCCTAATGTCAATTACCAACTGCATTAAATTGGTATACATATACGGACAAACTTTCGTTTCGTTTAGAGTGGTGACGGAGGATCTGGGTGGTCTGTCTGCGTGCATTGGACTGTGGATAGATGCTGGGTCCAGATATGAGACCAGTAGGAACAACGGAGTCGCACACTTCCTCGAACATCTCATCTTCAAGGGCACCCAGAAGAGGTCTCAGTATGACCTTGAAATTGAGGTGCGCGTTTTCGCTTATCTATACCATGAGTGGAGAGGTACCATAAGCCAATGCGCTTACGCCATGGTTTCAATTTGAACGAACTCTTTTGAAGGTTTTCTTTTCTTGATTCTATTTTGAAGGAATATCTTGATTTATTATTTGCCAGGCATTTTGCTTTACCAAATGATAAAGTTCAAAAATCAACAGTGTGTCGATAGGACTCTACTGCCCACTATTGAGATACCTTTACGAAAGCCATTACTGGCTGATTAAAACTACAAGGCGCATACGAAGCCTCTGTGTAATAAATTTGAGAGAGGATGCAAGTCAAAAAACGCGATATGTTGGTCCAAACCTTCCAAAAATGCTCAAAAACAGTATTTTCTTTCGAAAAAGTACGTGGGCCGCATAAATGTATATCCGTACATTCTAGGTGGAAAATATGGGTATTCAACTGAATGCATATACGTCGAGGGAACAGACAGTGTACTTCGGAAAGTGCCAGTCGAAAGACTCGGAGAAGCTGCTCGAGATCCTCTCAGACATCCTCACCAACTCAGTCCTCGACAAGGGAAGCATCAACAGGGAACGCGATGTGAGTCTTATTGCCACGTTTACCTGTGTGGGAGTGTACTGTACTTGATTGAGTGATTGACGTTTTTTTTTCGTGGTTCGAGTTTAAATCCCCTGACCCCCTAACCGAATTTTTTTTAGTTCTGATTGGGGGAAATTTTAAACTAAATGTATCTTGGTGCTTATAATAATAAGCAACAAGATGAATAATATCAATGAAACAAGTCGCTCTATGCTCGCAAGGTCCCATTTTGCTAGTGCTCCATGAAATTCGTTTTTGGCCAATACTAAAATGTCTCAGTAAGATCCAACATTATTTAGTAATACTCGGATAACTCTGTTACAGGTTATTCTTAGGGAAATGCAAGAAGTCGAGAGTAATCTACAAGAAGTCGTTTTTGATCATGTGCACGAATACGCTTTTCGGGACTCACCACTGGGCTACACGATTCTTGGTCCCGCGGACAACATTCGATCAATCAACCAGAGTATGCTAATTGACTACATTACCACTCATTACATAGCGTCTAGAATAGTTTTAGTGGCCGCTGGTGCAGTTGATCACGACGAAGTCGTTCAATGGGCAGACAAGTTTCTCGGCCGAATTCCAAAAGAGTCTCCTCTGAGCTGGACGCTGCAGCCGTACAAGTAAGAACTGCTTTGTGAAAGTTTTTGTTTCCTACATTAACATAAAGCTCTGTCACTATATGCAGTTTCTTTGAAATACAGCGAGGCAAGATGGCGCTTGATACTAAGTAGGTTGAGAAGTATCGATCTACCAGAAACCATTTTGCGCTTCAAGCGAGAGAAAAAATATCACGAGTTCTTTCTGTGTTTCAGTTGCTTAAAAAACTCGCTTTGACAAATTTGTTGTTTCAAAAAGTATTATCTTAGATTGTAGATTGACTAATCCAACCCTTCGGTTCATGAGTTTGATACAACATTTAATTAATTTTAATTTTTCTAGCTACCAGAGCGCAACATTCGGCAAAGAAGTTCCCGGCCTTGACATTGCCAATGTGGTGTTCACAGTGGAAGGAGTGGCATGGGCAAATCCAGATATAATCCCCCTTATGATAGGCAACATGCTCATAGGGGCATGGGATCGGGGGTCATCGAACCAGTCTGCGAATTTCTTGTCTCCGGAGAATAAACTAGCAGCAGCTTGTCTGAACGAAGGACTTTGCTACTCGTATCAGTCGTTCAACACTTGTTACATGGATACAGGTTATTTTTAATTGGCCTCTTTTAACATCTTTTAACATTTTCAAAAAGCACATGCCAGAGCGCAATTCTCAGAAATTGCTATTACTCATTAGTCGAAATTCGCATGTGCACTGCAATTGCAAGGTACTCCAACCTCTCTTATTTAGCACTTATTTCGTTGACCTCGATGTGTTAAAGAAAATTGCAAAATTATGCAATACTCTGATGATACCAGTATTTTAAGTGTAAAAGGAAGGGATTTTCACGCAAATAGATTGATATTTTTCAGGTCGTAAAATTTGTTCTTGTTCAATTTTTATTTTAGTGGTTTAAATTTTTCTTTTTAGGGTCAGTTTGATTTATTTAGGTTTTTAGATTTAGAAAATTTTAAAATCCTAAAATCCTAGCGGAATAAAAAAAAAACAATGATCCAGTTTTCTCAAAAATATATCAGTCATATCTATTTTTATCAAAAATATCTCAGTCATAATTTTTTCTTGAAATTCGAAGTGCTTCAAGGGCATATCTTTTTTCTTTGAAGTTCGAAAGTTAAGATAAAAAAACTCAATAATTTTTTTGTTTCCTTGCGTTCATTAACAGTTTTTCAAGTGCCTGTGGATTATGTTCTCGGTAGTCAAGTGTTTTATGAATTCTGTATCGGTATCATGAATATCGGTTATCGTCATAGAAACTTCTTCTCTTTTTAATCTACCAAGCTATTCGGAGTTTTCAAAGTAGAAGAAACCCAGTAAAGCCTCTCGCTACTGGGCGTGAAAAGTTTGTTTTTGTTCCGACCATTGAAAAAGGGGATGAGTTGTTTCCGGGTGTGTTTACCTTTGCGATAAGCTAGTGATTGCAATCGGGTACTAGAATTTTTTCACTCAAATAGTTTTGGTCACCGAATTGTTAAATGGTAATCACTATTTTTTATAACCATTGATTTGTACGCATCGTTAATTAGTTGCTTGGTTACTGAGTTTGCCTTGTGTTAACTTGAAGAGTTTCTGATTCGAAATTTTTTGGTAGATTTCTGCCGCTGAGGTTGTTCGGCTTTAAATCTGTCTACTTAATTTCCTAATGTTTTTACTCTATAAGTTATGTTGGGTTTGTAACGATTGATCTCTAACAAGACATTTTTCAAAAATCTAAATCACCCTCCTAAACCTTCCGTTTTAACATTAGAAAAATTAAACGTGAACATATGCTTAAGACGACAAAATCATGTGGTTCTAATCCAGCCGGAACCTGTTTTTTTTCCTTCAATACCAATCTCCAAATCTTTTGAGCAACCAATTCCAATCTACAAAAAGCCTAAATTTTCTCCAACTGAACTGTTACGGAGTATCAAGGAAAGCACTTAAAATTGCTGCACTAATGTGTGAATTTCGAATTCATATCGCTGTTGTTCAAGAGACAAAACTGACTGAATAAACCGCCTATCCTCGCTAGGTCCAAATGTTACTTTTATCAAAAAGGACCGCCCCCGAGAGGGAGGTGGACTTCTTACTGCCACACAGAACTGACTTATCCACGAAGAGTTGCAAACAGTGGAAAACGGGACTTCAGAGGCGCAGTGTTTTAAAATAATGGCCAGCAACCAAAGCTTCCGCTTCACTGATTTAAACATTCCCCCGCGCAGTAGCTGCCAAAAAGATTATAAGGCTTCCATTACGCAGCTGCTCGTGAAAAACAATGCAATTGTCAAGGGAGATGCAAATGTTCAATCCCCTCTCTGGTACTCAAACATAGCGGAGGACAACAGAGGCGCCTCTTTAGGTTCAAAAATTACTGAATCAAACTCACCACTTTAAACGACCATACTGAAAATCTTTTACCATTCAGCAACTCAAGCTCATCGTCCCCAGACTTATCCTTAGCATCATCGTCCCTTTTACTCTCTATAAATTGGAAACCACTTCCAGTGCCATATTCCGGCAGGGCGGCATCGTTGTTATGCACCTGTTCCAACAGCCGAAACTAAATAACTAGCACAAGAGCGCTATAAAATCAGAAAAGAGAGCCCCTCAAACCCTATTTTAAAAAATTTAAACCAAGATTTGATGAAAAAACGGCAAAAGAAAAAGAAGAGAAGAAATTGCGTCGTCCAGTAAGTTCTGCAAAGTGGTTCGCACTTTAGTAGCAGTATCAGTAGTATGATGGCTTCTGTGGTTGTCCCACATGAGGTTCAGGCCCCGTCAAAGTACACGTTTAAATGAAATCAAATCCGTTGCTGGATATCATCGAATCTCTTTTTATGGCAAAAAATCAGAAGCTAAACAAATATCAAACAATTTTAACACTCAGTACGCGAAACTCAGAAGCCATAAATCTAACAAACAGCAGAGAAAAACCAAAAGAAAATACTGAAACAAACGCTTAGCGTTTCCTTAACGTTTCTCCCATGTGAAACAGAAGAGGCAATCAAAGCAGCTAAACCGTCAAAAGCGTTGGGAGCAGACGGGCTTTGCATGGTATACCTGAAATATATGGCACCAACTGCTATCATTTTTTAAACACATACTTTTAACTTGTCCTTTTTTATAACAAAATACCGCAACTATGGAAGAACTCAAAAGTAGTCCCCTTACCAAAACAGCCAATTTCGGTAAATTATCGAACTCTTACCGCGCAGTCTCGGTTTTAAGCCGAGAAATTTTAATCTATCCTACTCTTACAAAGAATCTCCCTAAAGCTGACTATCAACACGGCTTTCGTTCACTACACTCCACCACTACGGCACTATCAACTCTTAAATTTTTTTATAAGCAATATTTTTTTTATCAAAATACCAGCTGAAATAACCGTGCCCAAGGCATTTGGCCTGGTCTGCCATCGCACTTTGCTGGAATTTATTTATGGCACCACTGTATCAGATAGTTCAACTAAATGGCTTGCGAATGATCTGAGCGGCAAGCAAGCCAAAACGCAATTTAGGGGCGCTTTGTTTTCTTCAAGGATGGTACGTACAGGCGTCACCCAAAGTTCTGTTCTCTCGCCCACTCTTTTAAAGTTTACGTGCATGAGGCACCCAACTACCGTCAAGAAGTCGCACGTCAGTCAAATGTCAATGATTTTCACCCCTTCGTCTAATCACACGACTTAAAACATGCCTCTGACACTGTAAGTAATTATCTTAACACACTGCACGGATTTTTTTTAACAAGCAGATCGCTCGAATTTGCTTCTAAAGAGGGAGCTTTATTTCTTTTTACGTCGCTTAATGAAGAGTTTAACTCTGACACTCAGGTTAAAATGTGCGAAAAAAAATTGCCGGTCGTAAAGCACCTCAAATTTCTTGGTGTCTTTTTTGACCCCTTCACTAAATTTTGCTGAACATTGCAAACGCACAACAATTGGAGCCATGCGCAGGATATTGGTCCTGAAGGCGCTGTCTTGTTCAAATTCGGGGTCAGTCGAAAGAGACTTTAAATATTACCTACAAAACTTTAATCAGACCAGTCCTGTACTACGCCTGTCCAGCTTGGTCTCACGACGCGAGTGATTCATCCATATGTAAAATGCAAATAGTGCAAAATGCAGCTCTGCGGATAGTGACTGGGTGTACTAAGATGAGCCCCATTGACCACCTACATTCAAAGTGCCAACTACTAATGTCAGAAATCACCACAAACTTTATCTCACAATTCGTCCTCAGGACCTACTTGCCAATAAGCGCCCTCCATTTCTACCATACTCATCCCCAACCGCCCCGCCAGCAACGGGTGAACATCTTAAACTCTTATAAATAGGAATTTGTACAAATTTTACTAGAAGCAAACGAGTGTAACTCTTTCTGATTGCAACCAACTCAAAGCGTTCAAAATCATCAATTTTAAAACACTTGTAAATAACATACTTACAAACCGAGTGTAGAAAGCCATAGACGAAGCCCCCCACCAATAGTTTTCCCCTTAAAACCCCGAGAAGTTAAAAATCGAACAGACCCTCCCGCGCTCGACTAGGCGCACCTTCGCCCAAATAAGATCAGGATACAGCCCCTACTTAAATACTTATATGAAAAGGATAGACCCAAATGTCCCTCCAAACTGTCCCTTCTGCCCTGCTCCTCACCTTACTCTACACTTATTAAACTTGACCACAATAGACTTGTGGCTTCGGCCGATGGAGGTCGCAACGTTCCTCGAACTCAGCGAGAGCATGCCGGACACGCCCCAAACTACGTGCAAAAACAACATTAACAACATCCTGATTTCCTAATATATTGGCTTAAGTTAGGTTCGCTAAGCTCAGGTAAGAATTTATGCTTTTAGCTATTTCGTTCGAACGAAATAACAGCTTTGCTTTTTGTAGGTTTGTGGGGTGTGCACTTTGTGAGCGGCGAAAAGAGCGTGAACAGGATGATAGAGGCAGTGTGTGCGGAGTGGGCAAGAGTGGCATTCCAGAGTTCGGATGAAGAAATCGAGAGGGCCAAGAGGTCATTAAAGACCAACCTCATGCTTCAGATGGACGGTGAGTCATTCATTGATCATCGGAAGTACATTTTGGAAGTAATCATCTTTTGAAGAGCTTTGGAGATACAATGCAATAACTGGCCCTGAAAACTTGAACATGTTGATTAACAATATTATATGTGCCTATGCTTGTACTACTAGGCGAATCTGATTGTATCTGAATACCTATTTACTATTTTTTCAGAATGAGATAGACATTTTTAACTGTTTGAATTCAGTTCATTGCAAGGTTTTGATCTTTTAATAGAAGCTTTTTTTATTGCTCTTAATTCATGTCGAAGTCAATTTGACTGATTTTGTTTCAGGGTACCAACCCATCTGCGAGGAAGTGGGTCGCCAGATCCTCTGCTACGGTCGCCGTATTCCCCTCGAGGAGATGAACAAGAGAATTGACCTTTTGACCCCGAAGCAAGTGCGTGACGTCATCGCCCATTATGCACTGGACGCAAAAAATATTAAACCTGTTGTAGTTGGAGTTGGACCTGTCGCAGATATGATGACAGCGAATGATGCAAAACAGATGATTCAAACTAAATGCTAAAACAATAATTCACTGTAAAACTTATGTATTCAAAGATGATTGTTAAAGTGAAGTGAAGTTGAAAACTAACATTTCTCAAATTGACGTAAAATATCACCGGTAACAAATGGTCTTCTCCCTGAAAGACAATTTGTAACGATGTATTGGTTTTTTATACTTCCCTGCGTTGACGTTTCAATCTTTGATGTTTTTAGACAGTTATGTTTGTCCAAATCAATCATATCATATAAAAAATAAAAGAATCCGAAAAGCGGTTACAAGACTTACCTCTTAGAACATATCAGGTTTCAGAGGGGCTTTGAAGGATGAAGATAGCTGTAGCAACATGTAATAGAGCAGACTACAGCAAACTGGCGCCTGTGCTTCGAGGATTGAAACAGGACACAACATTCCAGGTGAGTGCAGGTTATTTGAACCAATCTGGAAGCAATCAAAATCATCTGAATGAAGCATTAAAGGGGAAATATAGCTTGCAATCAACTTAAAGTTCATCCAGGGGCGGATCTAGGATTTTCTGGAGGCGGGGGGGGGGGGGATTTTTTTCGGTCGACTTTTTTTTAAAATTTTGTCGATTTTTTTTTAGGTCAACCAAATTCGTTTTCCGAGCTCTCCTAAGCACTAAAAAGACGCTGTTTTGGCCAAGTTTTGGCCAAAGTGCCCAGAAACAGGTCAAAAAAGCCGTTTCTGGGCACTTTTTGGAAATTTTTGACAAAAAATGCGTTTTTTTAGCGCCCGCTCCCCCTCAGAGTTAGTATTATTGGCGCCAAGGACGCCTTTACAAAAATTTTAGGGTCGGTCGGCCAAAAATGGATTTCTTAAAAAGTACCAAAAGGGGGGCAGGGGGTCGAATCCCTGAGGTGGGGGGGGGGGCGTCCGCCCTCCCCCTAAATCCGCCCCTGAGTTCATCTACATTGTGCATTAGGAAAATGACTTATAATCAGCTGATAGATTACATACATCTGGTAGTTAGCTGGTAGCTAACTACATCTAGACAAATTTGCGTCTTCATTTTTGTTTTTGCACTTGGAATTTTACACGCGATTATTTTTTTTATCAGGAAATCTTAAAAATGTCGACTTATGATTTCTTTTTTTGTGTAGTTCATTTTCTTTGTTAAAAGGAAGGCAAGCTGCACTATTGAACAGAAAAAGTGTTAAAGGTCACGAAAAATGTGACTGACGAAAGTGGACTTTAACTTTCAGGTTTCCCAGCGAAATAAAATGTTTACTTATTGATCCAGTTTTCTCAAATTGAGTTAATTTTATCAAAAAAATGACAATCATAAATTGTTCTAGAAATTCAAAGAGCTTTAAGGGCATCTATATTTTCTTCAAATTTTGAAAGCTGAGATTTTTTTCAGAAATCAAGCCTGTGTTGTTTTTCTGTTTACTTGAGTTCATTGATTCTTTTCCACAGTCTGTTGGCTATGTTTTGTTGACAACTTTTCTTGCAAACTTCCAGTCTCCCTCCCATTTGGTCTAGAGGTTACGCGGTTGCCTTTGCACCCTAAGGACTTAGGTCGTTTTTGATTTTTTGTGTTTAAGGAATTGTTCTTAGTAGTTGCATTTGCTTTACTCCTGTAATTTATAAATTTACTGCAATTTTTTTCGAGCATTTTTTGTTCTCGGGTCAGTGGGATCCCTACTCGAATTGTCGGCTTAGTAGGTCACCATAAATATAATTAACCTTGTTATTATTTTTTCGAATCTTTTTCTATTCGCTAACTTGCAATACTACGCTTGTGTTGTATGGCAAGTGACTCAACTAAAACGTCACCTTGAAAACGAAAAGTTAATTGACCCTAACCAATCCGCTGATAGGGCTCTTCATTCAACGGAAACATGCCTGCTGAAGACAACAAATGAAATTCTTTTCCATCTGGATAGAGATAACCTAGTCATAGTACTTGGTCTGGATCTATCTGCTGCATTTGATACAATAGACTTCGATATCCTCGATATCCTAGTATGTTTTTTGCTAAATTACACTGAGTTCAGAACGCAGCATGTCGATTCATTTTTGGATTAAGGAAAAACGACTCGTGTAAAGACTTTAGACACCACCTACACTGGCTTCCCATTGAACAAAGTGTTATTTTCAAATCAATGACTCTAATGCACAAAATACTACACGATAGAGAAATCCCATCTTACTTGATTGGTATGGCCTCATTTCAACGGCATTGCAACAAAACTAGAACACCTAACATGTTCAAAGCAGAATTGAAGCTAGCAAGAAAATCATTCGGAAACCGTGCGTTCTCAGTACTTGCTCCTAAACTGTGGAATTTGCTCCCACTTGAGCTCAGGAGTATTTTAGATCACTATACTCTCAAACGAACGTTGAAAACTTACCTTTTCAAGAACGCATATGGAGTGTAAAATAGTGGAATTAATGAAAGGTTTGCTTTCAGAAATAATGCAGACTGTTAATTTACGCAAAAATCGTTTCCGTGTTATTCAAAGATCACTAGCCAATCAGTGCTGTGTTGTTGAACGCAAAGACAGCCATTTTGGAGAATAATCTATACTTCTATCAACCGAGTGAACAACTGTGCTAGGATCCCTCGCTAGTATTTGGAGTATTCCTGAAGATTACACTGACTATTTCATGCCCAGGTGGAGCCATTTCCACAATGTGCAGCGACAATGTTCTGAGAGATATCAGAAACTCGGGTGCAAAAAACATAATAGTCATGGGAGGAACCAATAACCTCTTCGATTGAGACAATCGACGATTGATGGGACCAGTAGAAACGGCTGATCAAATGTACTATCTTATCTGATTCGTTATTTGAAATTTCACGGGTACAATGTTGGATTAATGGAACTAACGAGCAAAAGGGATAAATACTGCACTATCAAAGCACCAAACGGCTGCTATTGAGATTTAGCGAGGGAACTGAAAGTCCCTTGCTAAAATCACAAATGATTCAGATACCGCCATCACATGAGCACTGATGGCATCCATCCAGATGCAAAGCATGTCAGAGAACTGGCAGCAGATTTTTGGGGAAGCTTTTAATAAGCTGAAAAGAAAATCAATGACTATCAGATGAGACCAGGCCCAGATCAGGGCTGAGTTTTCAACTTTTTTAATTTTTAAAGTGAATCACATGCCTAGCTCTAGGCTGAAGACTCTTGGCAGCAGAATTATACAGGCCTAGATCAAGAACGAAGATATAACAACGTGGCTATTGCAGACCTAGCTCAAGGTCGAAGTTTATCTAGCAGACATCTAAAACAGGCCTAGATTAAGGCCGAAGACTCGCAAAACACACAGAGATAACCAGCCTAATTCAAGGCCGAAGACATTTCTCCTCGCCTCTGAGTTTCAAAAAGGGGTGAAATAATCAAACTACGATGATGATGCGAAGCTCTGCTTCGCCTCTGTGTAAAATGAAAGTTCCTGGCGGGAAAGAATTATGAAGATGGGTCAATTTTTTCATGCCGCCAAGCAAATTCTGCGGCTTGCAGGGTGTTGTCACACTTCAAAGTCTTGTATGGTGGTGATTTGGATTCCAAAATCAAGAGCAATTCTCCACATGTCCAATAAAACTGCAAAAAAAATTTTTAAAATATTTTAAACGGAAGCGAATAGATCAAAAAAGAAGTAATTAACCTTTTAAATCATAGTTTTTCACCTAAACAGTTTTAAAACTAACTACGTCCCACTCCACAGAAAATCCACAGATAATCTGTAAAGATAAATTGAAATTTTTTCCTTCAGTTAGGTTGCTTGGAATATTGTGGTCGGTGGTGGGACTATTCAGTGCTAACCGTGTTCTAATTATAGCTTTAGTCTAAAATCGGTAAGTTAATTGCATTTCCACATGATGGCTGTTGTAGGTGTCGATAGTGGTGATGGGGTCGCACCTAATTGACGACTACGGAAATACGTACAGATTCATTGAGAGGGATGGCAACCAAATAGACAGTATGTTGCACACTCTGGTGAGAGGGGAAACGGAAGGAGCGATGGTTGAGAGTATGGGTTTGGCCATGATTAAACTGCCAGATATCCTGAACAGGTTGCAGCCGGACCTTGTCATGGTAAGAATCAAATCACTGTCGGAGATATTCTTTTATGATTTGAGTTTTTCTTCGAGAAGTTAAAAGAGGATCGATATTAGGAAGAAGTTCTTTCTGTGCAAGGAGACAATTGAGGCTAGAAGCCATTCATTCAAATTGAAAGATCAGTTAGGAAATTTTTGAATGTTGTGAGCCGCATAACAATTTTTGAATGTTCTGAGCCGCATAACTCTACCTCTAAGATAATCAATGACACTTCGGTAAAACAAAAACGAAATAGGAAATTTTTTCCTCTTTACAGTCGGTAACTTTGTTTGAATAAACAGGTTTCTCCTACTGTAATGTTTCAAGGTAAGAAGTTAACTCATAGTTTGGCCGAGAAGCTGCATTAATCCCGCTGAATTCTGAAATTCTGGAATCATGTGTTTTTAAAATTAGAGCTTGAATGACTGTCAAGTACTTGTCATGTTCTGTCTGTGTCATAACTGTTTGCTTAATACTAATTCAGCAATTGATTAATTGTTCTGACCATTGAAAATGGGAAGGAACTTTGTAATCGGGTGTATTTTTTTTCCTTCTTTTTAAGAGAAATGAACGTAGTGAAGACTCTTATATAAGTCTTGGGTGATTTTTTTTCCAGGATAAACCCTTAAAATGCTCTAATAACTACAGATGTGCATTCATACATATTAATGCATTTGTGAATGCACTAAGGTATATATGCACTTTTAAGTTTAATGAAATTCATCTGAAATTCAATTGAAATTTGTGAATGCACTTAGGTATATATGCACTTTTGAGTTCAATTGATATACAAGTGACGTAAATAGCACTCTCCAAATACGAACGCGAAAATGGCGCAAGAAAAAACTTGAAAGGTTTCTACTTATGAAAGTGGAGTTTATTTTTAAGATTTCCAGCGGAATATAAACTATACCTATTGATCCAGTTGAGTTTTTTCAAAAAAGTCAGTATTTTTTTTGCGCTCATTACTCTTTTCCAACTGTCAGTTGGCTATGTTTTTTTTCCACGCAAAATCAACTATCACAATTGCTCGTCGGAGTGAGTTGAGTGATATATCATATTAAAGCCCTTTCAGTCGAATGAGCGAGTAAACGAGCGAGCAGGCTTATATTTACGCTTAATTTAAGCCGTAAAAACTTAGTTTTATTCGACTTTAACATTTTTTGGCGCCATTTTGTGAATAAGCCATTTTCTTTTTTTAATGATTATTTTTACACAAGCAAAGCTTGTATGATAGTATGAACTCTCTTTTTTCCCCAACATAAGTCGCAAATATTAGTGTTCATTTTGATCAATAACAGCTATTAAGTACAGCCAATGCTAAGGATAATAACACACACTATATTACAAATAGCACTTTAGATTCAAGGTATCATGGATATATAGCGTATAAGAAGGGAGGGAGACCCACAACAAAATAAGAGGGTTCGCTATTAACGGGTAAGTGGAGATTTAATCCGTCACAGAAATCGTTCCAAATTGGTTGAAGGAAGCTTATTTGCCATAATTGATTTGGTACTAGGAGCGAAATTTATCACTTTGTATTTAATATGGCGTGTGTGTGTGGGGGGGGGGGGGGTGATTTTCACAAAAAATCTCAAATGAAAAAAGTTTCATTTTATTTTTATTACGTTTAATTTGTTCATGTTATTACTATTCCATCGACTGCTCTATCAATTTAGGCATGTTAGTTACTAACTTTCTTTTGCTATCAAACTGACTGGTACTGGTAATGCGTTATATTTAGCTTGCGTCACTTAGCAATTATGTAGACTCATAATTGGCGTGTGTCACTTAAGAAATTTTGCAGACTCAAAGTTTTAACCAGTAAATTTTTCCCAGTAGCTTTATCGGTCATAGTTCTACTTGTAAGTGCGAAGTGAAACTTCGCCTCTGTGTTACTTTTTTAGTCATTTTTCTCCAAAAACTGCTGTCCAGCTCATTTTACTATGACTGCTTCCTTTTGGATTTTTTTAATACTATGTTCGGTACATTCCTTGATATTTGCACAGTAATCGGCTATACTTGTTTTTATTTTTTTGTTTTGTTTTCCACGAAAAATCAGGTACAAAAAACAATTATCGAATTGGTCGAGTAATATACCATTACTCTTCCGATAAGCAAGGGTAATTACAATCGGGTACTAGACTATTTCCCGTAAACAACTTCACAAAATCTAGTAAACTTCTAGAGGATATTCATTTCTACAGGATCTTTCAAATTTAATTTAAAGTACTATTAATCAAGAAGAAATTAGTTCAAGCCCGTTTCAGTTCTAATTGTCTTTGCAAAAAACTTTTCTTAATTTTTTTCGGCTCTTTGTTTTCGTCCTAGTTTCTTTCGATTCAGTTTCCATTTTTAACGCCATTTTTTTGTCTAGTTTTTATTGGTTTTTTTTTAAATTGGCTTCTGTTCCAATGTAAACAGTTTTTACTATAACTGAGTTTCCCAATTTTTTACATTAACCTTGTCTGATTTTGAATTTTTTTGAAAATTTTTTCGTTCAAAATATTCAAACAGTTTGTTTATGTTTTATCTACTTAGTTAAATTGTTTTGCGTTATTTCGAGGGCAAAATATATACGTCTAGGATTATGTGTTTCAAATGGTTGGGTCGTAAACACAAACTTTATGACATTTTTTATGACGACAAATTTTGTTTTCGGCTCAACAGGTTTTGACCCAAAGTTTCTCGCCTTTGTTGCCGCTCGGTAAATGCTTTCTGTTTTAAGGGCTGTTAATGAACTCAATCTGAATCAAATATGAATTTTTGCTGCGGTAATATTTCAACTTTTGTCTTGTTAACTTTTCAACTAATTTTTTCCAACAATTTTTCAGAACTTTTTTTTACTTATCTTTTTTTTTCTACTATTTTGTACCGCAATGTGTAATTTGCATCGCAAGAGTTGCGACGCTTCGCCTCTGTGTATTAAAGCTCTTTCAATTGTGATTTGAACTTTAGAAAAATTTAATGTCGAGATAAATCGGTATGAATCTTTTGATTTTTGTTCTAACTTTTTTTGGAAAAAAAGGTGATTTTGGAAAAAAAAGGTGAGCGAGACAGCTTATTTTGATTAATTTTCAACCAATAAGTTTACCACATAATCATCAGAATGGGTCGATTGATATATCATATTGCAGATCTTTCAATGCCTATTCGAATGAAATTTTAAAAAATTTCGAAAACTTGTCCAAGTCTTGAGAAAAACCTGTTTGAAATTTTGAGTTTTTGTCCAATTTCCAGCGATTTAAGCAAGCGAACAGACTTGATTTTGTTGAAATTGTTGTTTTTGAATTTTTTTCTCTAGTCACTCTTCGACAGAAACCGTTGGCTGATTTGACTATTTTATTGTGACTGTCGAATATACCTAAATTTCAGGTTTTATTCAGATCTTTTCATCACACCACGCTCAAAAACAACCTTAATTTGAAAAAAAAAGACAATGGTCGGTACATTTTATGCTAACTGAACAGTAACCGGCTATCATTGTTATAATTTAAAAAAAAATCAAAAAAAATTGTTCCTTAAGCTATCAATGACTGGAAATTCAGATATCAATCCAACCAATGAGGCAGGTTTAGGGGTGTGGACGCCCCTCCTTCAGTGATTCGACCCCTGACTACTCTAAAATGTTTTAATACCTCCGTTTTTGGCTGGCTGACCCTAGGATGCTTCTAAAGGTGCATTGCGCGCCAATTTAAACTATTTGAGGAGGGACGTGCGCCGATAAAAATAAGTTTTTGGTCTTATCTGTTCAGAAAGTGCCGCATAAAAGTTGTCCAGAACAAGGTACTTTTAGTGATTTGGGAGGGTGGAATCCCTCTCATGCGAAAGACCGAATGCGCGAAAATATAAATCTGCCAATCAGATTTCAGTAGTCTAAATTTTGGAAAGAAAACGTGAAAATCTGAACAAAGTAAACATTTCCAGGGACTTAATTTTGATATTGGCCGAATATAAAAACGGCAGAAATATGCAAAAATTTCAAATTGTCACTGAACGCCGCCAAAATGGAACAAATTTTATATTTCAAGGGTTTCGTTATGAAAGATGCAAAATATTGCTACATTTAATTCATTTTAATTGAATGGCAATTGATTTTCGGCTAATTTTGTTTGCGGTCCTTCGCCCACGACTTTTTCGGCTATTCGGTCCTTCGCGCTTAAGAATAGCTACCATTTGGGAGAGCTCGGAAACTCATTTTGGTGGACCTAAAAAAAGATCGACAAATTGTTTGAAAATGAGCCCCACCCCACGATCGAGAAAAGCAAAGATCCGCCCCTGTATTTTCCCCCAAAAATGTGCTGGTGAAGTTTCTGCATAGAAAGTTTTTTAGAAGTCTGAGTCGGAATATATGGACGAGAAAAAAATATTTTCCTAAATAAAAAAAAACATCTTTTCCATCTTCCGTCTTGTTTGCAACTTTGCTCATAGATTGTTCGTATTAAGGTTGTGGCTCTCATGAATTGTACTTTTAAAATGGAACCTCTGGCTTTTGCTACTCTCGTATGATTGTTTTTAACTAACAAGATTTTCCTTGAACTGTCCACAAAAATTTTTTCAAGTATATTTTTGTTCTTAAGTTTGTTCATAATGATTTTATTTGATTTGAATACAGTTAGCACTTTCCGTACAGTTAGCATTTTTGATGTTCATCGAATTGATCGTTTAAATGTATATTTGTTATAATAAATTAGATTGTTTGGTGCCTTGTATTAACGTATAACACTTTAGGTGTACTGTTCAATGATCCTAAGTTACTCTGAAATCTTAAAGACATGGCATCTTTAAGGTACATGGGGACAGATTCGATGCCATGTCTGTAGCCATATCTGCAGCTGTGATGAATGTGAGGGTGCTCCACCTGGAGGGAGGGGAAGTGAGTGGAACTATCGATGACGTCATCCGCCACTCGATCACGAAGCTCGCCCACTACCACATCTGCTGCACCAAGGGCGCCAGGTGAAATACGATTTACAATACTTACCACAGTTTAGTTATTTAAGTTGACATAATTCCAGCTCTATTCTTGAATCTTAGATCCCCAACCAAATTCAGAGAAATTCCTAGGATCTCAAAATTTAAACGTGAGAAATTGAAATTGTTCAAAATTGAATTAAATGGTTTTTAGTTCAGTTTCACAAACTTATTTAAAGTGAAAATAGCAGAATTTCACGATTAAATTTTTCCCGGCTACAATTCCTCGTGGAGTTAGATCACAACAGTGATACATTTTTAAGTATATTCTTACTGGATGTTCTATAAGATGATGTCGATTTGTTAGAGAAAAATAATACAAGCTAAGACTGAGGGAGACAGTTAGGCCTGGAAACAAGAAGTTGAGTGCCAAGATTATCTTGATCATCATCGCAGAGATCTGCCTTTATTTTTTCTGCATTCCTGTATACTGGTATTCTAAAGTCTGTATTGTATGCCTTCTTCAAGTATAGCATCATTTCTTGCGTCCTTCTGATTGATCATAGGAGCATAGAGTTTGACTTTTCTAACTTTAAAGGCACTTAGCATAAAGGTAAGGCGTTCACTTCATGACCGTCAGATCGTGGAATCGATCCCCTGACATGGCAATGATTGTATGTGAAGACGAGCTCTAACTTGACCATCAGCTTCACGTCTACCATAGCTTGACGGACTCGGCTGCAATAGTGCTGCCACGTCAAAGTTCTAGATGCAAAAAAAACGACCTTGAGTGGCAGAAAAAGCTTCGCTCAACAAAATAACTGTCTGGAATGTGGGGAAATAAGAGAAAGGGCCTACGCCTAGACAGGCTGCAAAGCTTTTCATAGATCCTCTGCGAATCGTAGAAACGAAAATTATTAGTATTAACCACTGCTAGTTTTTGCTGCATCTAGTAAATCTTGGTGAAGCAAGCGGATGTTTCAGACTGCGAATTGAGAGCATGTGTGAGGACTCTTCGCGAGTTCTTCTGGCAGGATGTCCAGCATACGACGAGCTCATTCACACCGATGTGTCCAAGTACCACGAGGCTTTTGAGAGGTAAAGAGCCACGAAATGAATATTCATATTTGACGTTTTTCGAAGTGTTTGTTCATTTTTGCTTTGTTTTCAGAACTGGAACTGGTAAAACTAAATCACAAAGTGTGGCATAGCCTCTTTCTTAGTTAATTTGCTTCTAGGCAGTCTTTTTTCCAGTATCGATAAGATATTTTTAGTAAAGTTAGTACTGATTTGGTTACGGTTAGTGGTGTGTGAAATGTGCTTAGAAAAAGGCTGTAAGTTTCAACTTTTTTTTTTGAAAAGTTTCTCGTTAAAAAATTTCGTTTAACCTAAGTATTTCAAAAGTCGTGTGCTCCTGGTTCTTGCAATGTGTTGCTGTCTTCTTGTTAGTTATATGAAATTTTTCGTATAGCTTTTTTGCACATACTAATACATCATAGTTATTTCGCTCCAATGTTCAGATGGCTACCGAATCATGTTGGGACCAAAAACTTCATAATTTGCGTTTATCATCCGGTCACAACTGCAATAGCAGAGAGCATTCAACATTTTGGACTTCTCCTGGACGCCCTTCTTCACTTTGACGTCAGAACTGTCATCTTGTTTCCGAATGTAGACGCGGGAAGCAAGGAACTAGTTCGCTGTATCCGCTTGCGAAACTTGGAAAACCACGAGAAGATCTCGTGTTACAAACATGTACCCTTTTCGGAGTTTGTATACCTAATGGGTAATTGTGGACTGATGATTGGCAACTCAAGTGCTGGAATACGAGAGTCAAATGTATTCGGAACTGCAGTGATTAATATTGGAACTCGTCAACGCGGGCGACAGTCGGGAGCGAATGTCGTGCACGTTAAGAACCCGACAAGTGCGGAGGACCTATTGTGGCATATCAGGAGCCAGTTTGGCAAAGTGTACCCAAGGGATTATATTTACGGGGATGGACGGGCGGTGGAGCGAATTGTCAAGTTCATAAAAGGTAATTCCTAGACTACAACTTGGTCCAAAAAGTCCTAAAGATTTTGCAAAACAAACCCACAAAAAATTACAGGTTGAAAGTTGTCTTGAACTACAAGAACACTAATATCTCAATTTTATGGCGCTTGTACTCATTATCTGAAAAGAGCTCTGAAATGAAAGTTAATTTACAGAAATCGACTGTGACTCGCCAGTTGAGAAGAGCTTCAATTTCGACCGCAACTCAAGTGGTTTACGAGCGCCTTCCAAAGCATCCTTCGGAGCCGAGTTTCCTCTTTCTCGCCAGGCACACTCCCTCCAACTGGCTCTAGCCGTGGATCTAGGTACAAAACCGAACGGAACATACCAAATAAATTTTATGCCATTAATAATTCAATTCGCACACAAATTTTTATTCTCACTTTTCTAAAATAAAAATTACTTTCCATTTGTTTATGCGCTAAGACGATGAAAGTGAAGTAATTTTAGTTCAACTGTTATAATTCAACTCCTCCAATAAAAATCATCTCCTCTAATATGAAATAATGTATGTTCTCAAAAGTGGAAACAAAGCCGGATTGCGAAATAGGGCTTCAAGTTTTATTTTTAACTTAGGAGGGAGTTTCATCCGAGTGGCTCTAGTGGATGACCGGGGCAACATTGAGAGAATGAGAAGGACTGAGATGGTAGATTGTCCCGATGAAAGAATTGCTATCATAGTTCGCATGGCTAATGTGAGTGGCTCTTTCCATAATTCCATACGTGAATTGGAATAGGATTTCCATAGGTTTGTTTTCCAGAATCTACCAAAGTACATAGGGCTTGTCGTGGATATGAAAACAATCTGAATGAGGCCAGGTGTTTTTTTTCACACCGCCAAGCAACCCGGAAACACAGCCGAGTGAAGCAAGGACGTGTTAAAAACAATCTGAATGAGAACTAAATGTGGTACAACATGTCTGTCCTTGCGTCACTCGTTTGTTTTCGAGTTGCCTGACTTAGCGTGAAAAAAAAACACCTAAGTCTAGCCGAAGTGGTCATCAGACGGAACAACAACCGAAAGTCAAGTCTACTTGTACTTTAACTATGTATCACTTTCAGGATCTGCTGGAAAACAAGCGAGACTTAGTTGTTGGTGTAGGAGTGTCAACGGGCGGAAGAGTGAATTCAGAAACGGGAGAAATCCTGTTCGCAACTAAAGTGCTGAGCGGCTGGGGCGGAGTGGCTTTGAAAACTCGTCTTCAAGAGCAACTGGGACTACCGTGCTACGTCGAGAACGACGGAAATTGTGCTGCACTAGCCGAGGTATTTACATTTATGAATATATAACTTTTTTTACACAAGCAAGCAAAGCTTGTGTTATAGTATGAACTATCCTTTTTTTCCAAGCTAAGTCGCAAATATTGTTGCGGCAAAATGTGCTCATTTTGAAAGTGTTCATTTTGATCAATAACCAATTATTAAGTACAGCCAATGCTAAAGATATTAACACAAACTATTATATCACTTATAGCACTTTAGCTTCAAGGTATCATGGATCTGTAGCGTAGAAGTAGGGAAGGAGAACCGCAACAAAAGAAGAGGGTTCGAACCTGGGCAGGGTCGGATGTTTTTAATGAACTTTTTCGTATACGCGTTAGTTGGTAAATTTCTTTTTTTTTTCAAATTGACTGGTACTGCTAATGCGTCATAATTGGCTTGCGTCACTTAGCAATTATGTAGACGCATAATTGGCGTGCCTCACTTAACAATTTTTGTTGACTCAATTTTTTAATCAGTTTTTCCCACTAGCGTTATCGGTCATATTTTTGCTTGTGCATGCGAAGTGAAACTTTGCCTCTGTTTAAAAATATTGTGTACGTTATGCAAGCACTGCAAGAGTCGTAGTAAATTAACGATTTTGTTGCAAAATTGTCACCTATTGATTGCAGGTGCACTTTGGATTGCATAAGATGGAAGACATGGTCGTTTTGCACTTTGGAACTGGGATTGGAGGAGGAATAATCCAGGATGGGTGTCTGCTCAATGGCAGCAGCTACTCGGCAGGCGAGTTTGGCCATATTGTGGTCTGTTTCGACGATGGACCCGACTGTATGTGTGGCAACTCTGGATGCGTTGAGGCTTACGCAGGAGGGTGGGCGTTGAATAAATTGGCCAAAGAAATGGAGGTGATTGGTTGTTTACTTTTGCGAAAGCAAGTGTCTTGTAATCGGGAACTAGACTTTTCCCGGAAAAGAAAACTTTTCTTTACACTTGCGACCAGCTTAGTGTATTATTACGAACCTTCTTTTTTTAGCCGGACCTGGTTTTGTTTTCAGTATGTCCTGTAAAAATTGATTTTCGGACTTTCGTTTATCTGCTCAAGTATAGTCGGCTTAGTTTCCACATCACGAATTTTTCTTGCGCTGTAGGCAAGTATCATTGTAGTTGCAATTTTTGGTCACTGAAGTTTCGGGTGGACTTGAAACTTTAAGAAGTGTGTTATAATATATTTTTTCGGCTCAGCCGATGTCTGCTCAAAAATGTGTCATTTTTGTTTCCGCTTCGTTAGCTTTGTTCTGTTGCTAATTCAAATATTTTACTTGACATTTTTGTCTAGAATTCCTATTTGGTAAAAAAAAACAGGTATTATGAAATTTCCTGTTTGATAAAAACAGATATTGAAAAATGTATGGGATCAGGTTTTTTTAAAAAAATTTTTGAGACTCTTGAAAATTGGAAAAATTGCCGTCGTAGTCTATCATTCCGAACCGTTTTTCCCCATTCTAACTTGCGTTTTAATTAGAAGAGGTTATTTAATATTCCAATATCTCACAAAAAGCAATGATTCTCGGCTATTGATTTGCTGACCATTTTTCGGACTTTTCTTGATAACTCTCCTGCCAAATCTGATTTCATAGGTTTAATCGAAACAACAGATTTTTGAAAGCTTCCCTTTATAATTAGCTGTGCCCAATGTTCTTTTAAAAATTATGGCCTTCAAACTGGTCAAAGTTTTGAAATTTTGCAGGTTTTTTGAAGCTTTTTGATCTAACCTGAGAAAAGGCTCGTGCTCAAATAAGAAACCCGGTTTTGAAAATTTTGTATTTCAATCTGAGATGGAAACTTAACCGAAAGATTTGGTTGCAAGATTTTTTCCAGCATAAGCGGCGACTCCTCATTTTTCGTAAGAGAAATATTATGTCCTAAGAGAAATATTATGTCCTTGAGAAAATTCCAACATCTCAAAAATTTTCATTCTTCTTACTTATTCTGGTAGAGAAGCAACTGAGATTTTAGGCGAAGTCCAATTTTTGCAATTACGCATTTCGTCCCGCATCAATATAGCAAATTCAAAAACCAAAAAATATCAAGTACGTACCTCCAGCTTTAGGTGGCCCCTATTTGTCTTTTATCGAGACATCTGAGAATTTTGGGTCATCCTTTTTTTTCAATGTTTTTATGTCTATGTTGTGTCGCAAGAGGTGCGAAGCTTCGCGTCGCCTCTGTTTATGTACTTATCATCTCGAATTGTTATTACCTTCGTTCATCATAAGAATTGGATGACAAGTGTTTCAGAATATAGCTAAGAAACTTGGTCTGTGTTCATTCAGGATATAGCAAGGAAAAGTCGTGAGCAGGATTATCTTACTGATTCAGTGCCTGTTACAAGTTTCCTTGATTGTTTTGCTGAAAAAATGGCATTGGAACAACCGTTTTTCTAACCGTCTATTTTTCTGTGTGCATGAGCAACAACTTCATAGGGATCACTTTTCTTGAGAAAATTGATCGATTACGTATTTTTTTTCCAGCTCTCATCCAATTGGAGAAAAGAAGGCGCCGATGATCAAAAACCTGTCACTCCTGGTCAACCGAATAAACCAACGTATCTAACCGACTTGGCCAGCGACGGCGTCGATTACGCAGTCCAACATATTAACCGAGCAGTGCGTGCAGTAGCTTCTGCGCTTCTGACCATCTACAGCTCATACAATCCACCAGTGGCGATACTGGCTGGTCCGCTGGCACCTGTCTATTTCGACGGAGTCAAGAATAAACTGGAAGAGAGATCGGCTATCTTGGGTCGCAATTTCACCCTGTTGCAATCAGATATGACGGAGATGTCTCTGAAAGGAGCAGCTACTTTGATACTCAATAATCCGAGCAGAGCAGTGCCTCAAAATGCAATCGTTTGATATTTGAACGATTCTGCCTGCAAAACTTTTCGGCCTGCAAAACTTAAGGCTTAACCAACCGAACGGATATCTAGGGTTCTCGAATGGGTCAAAATTAACCAATCATGGTGATCCATTAGATAATTCGCTTTCGACAACGAACCTGTGTATTTGTATAACAGGAAAGACCGGATTTTGCGATTCTTTTAAAAGTACGGTCTTTCAATGATCTTGACCGTGGCTGTTTCAGCATGTACTCTTGCTATTTTAGTGGAGCAGGTGTTAGCAGATGACAGCATAACTCTAAGTTGACCGAATATTATGAGGACCAATTTTAAATTATCTTGTTCAACCATTGTTAATACAACCGGAATATTTTCGGTGTCTGAATAAGTTGCAAATTTGGAAAAACTATAACTGATAGCATTTTCCTGCCTTTGTGTATGAGGCTAAGCTTCGCCTCTGTATAATACAATGATGTACAGTAATTCTATTTCTTATCATTGCTTTCCTGAATGTACCATATAGTCATAGTGTAACATAGTAGATACCTTTGTTGCTAAAAATTTAAACTAGTGGGTGCTACTTGGTCAAACTAATTTATCAAATCACCCATTCAGTCGCATATAAAAAAATTTTGCTCAGGGTTGGGCCGCCTTGTTCTGAAGAGTTCTGGAGAATTAACATATCATAAAATTTCGCAGATGACTCATTTTCAGTATGTATTTACTTTTAGTTCATTTTTTCGTATTTATAGAAAGTAATTTTTTGAATCTTCAATTAACAATGCTTAAGATATTAAATTGTTTTTCATCCGAAGGACTTGGGAAGAGTCCATCATGAAGCACTTGTCTTTGAAGGTAAAAGGTGAACGAGGCGGTAGGTGAGCATCAACAACAGTCGGGACATACCTCATACTAATGTCCAAAACATTTGTGAGCAATTCCAAATTTAGTATCCGAAAATCTGAGAGAAATAATCTGAATTTAGAGCTTTGATTGTTTGTTAAACTCTCGCGTATTCGTTCTTTTTTTTTGAAGGTGAATATTGCCCCAACAGGTTGAAACTTTTTTATGCGAATACAAAGGATACGCGACATGCGAATTTTTGTGAACCTTGTCAAATTGCTTCAAAAGTTTAATACGAAAGTAATCATTATTTCTTCAAAGGATTTCCTTTTGGTTTCCAAATTTTTTCAAAATTGAGCTGTAAAAACTTGAGCCCGGCAAAGGAATTTTGATTTTAAATAATGGCAAAGAAATCGTATTTAGTTTGCGCTTTTTCAGAGTTGTACTATTATGGCGTTGAACCCTAGAGACGTCGAATTCGAAATTTCACCCGGCAGAAAAGTGGGAGACAGACATCCGTGTTTCATCATAGGTAAAGTTACTCGCAATTAGTGAAAGAATTTTTAAAAGTCATAGAACTTAGTTAATGTAGTTCGTAGTAGTGAACGTAGTTAAAAATTTAAAATTGTTTTTTTTTGCTCTTGACTTCTGATTTTTTTACGCTTAGCAAGCGTTATCAAATCCGAAGATAGACTTTTTCGGGTTAGCAATTAATTAAACAACACATTTAATAGCTTGATTGATAATTAAACTTGCGAAGCGAGTGTATTAGTACGAAACTTCTTTTTCCAACCTAAGTCGCTAGTAAAAGTGCTTCTTTTGGTGGCTCTTTTGAATCGGTAGACTGCGGTAAGGTACACTGTCATATGTGCTTTAACATTTGATAAGGAAAAAGTTAACAAAGTTGATGCATTTTTAATTCATTAATTGAACCGAAAAAAGTTAATTGTTTCAAACAGCAGTATAATGATAGTAAGGTCGATTTCAGAAATTTTTCTTCTCAATGTATCTCGCAATTTTTGGAATGCATAATTTATACATAATGTGACTTTATGCTTTACGATTTAATTACTTGCAAAATTGTGTCTTTTTGTATTTGGTGCCCCTTTTGCTGCATAGAATTGGTAATTTATTAGCATATGTATCTTGGTTATTAGTAGCTAGTTTGGGGAAATTTAAGCATCCGGGGATGAGTGGTTAGTGCGTGAGTCTCAATGTTGTAAGGTCGCAGATTCGAATCCTACACGTAAGCGAGTTTTTACTAATTCGAGGCTTATTTCTACTTTCTTATTTCACTTGATAGAGCTGCTTTTTGGTCCTGTTCTCGCTAGTGTTTTTAGCGTTTCTGGCTCTCTTGAACTGAAGGTAACGACTACGCCAGGGACAGCTAGGTTCTAATGCTGCCCGGACCTGTTCACCGATTTCTCTTGTGCCGCTAGCAGATGTTGTTAAGAATCGATGAACGTAGCAGACTTATATAACTCCACTATCGAGCAGCTAAAATGTAAAGATCACGAAAAACGTGAACAAATTTCAGCTAGTTTCGAAAGAGCAATTTAGTTTTCAGATTTCCCAGCGAAATGAAATTTTAACTTATTAATCCTCAAACTTTTCTTTCGCTATCAAATGTAAGTTTTAGCAAAGGAGTGCCAATCATTAATTGTTCCAGAAATTTAAAGAGCTTTAAGGGAATCTGTTTTTTGTCTCGAAAGCTGAGATGTTTTTCAAAAATCAAGTCAGTATTTTTTTTTCTGTTTGCTTGCGTTCTTTGGTTCTTTTCCAACTGTCTGTTGGCTATGTTTTCTATTAACTTGCGTTCGTTGACTCTTTTCCAGTTGTCTGTTGGCTATGTTTGTCATTGAAAACGTTTTTGGTTCAATTCTGTAATTTTTAAAATTACAAACTCTCTCATTGCATGTTTTTTGTACTTGAAATTATTTCGGCCCAAAGTGTTACAGCATTTTTTATCGGCTTAGTCACTTAATTCTGCGTCTTTTAAAAGGAAACTAGAATTAATCATTTTGTCAGTTTCGGGGGGAAAGGCGTTAAAATTTAGAATCTAGGCATTTAATAGCGTATAGTTTTTCATGACAACATTTTTTTTTGTTTTCGGCTCAGCGAGTGTTTACCTACGTGTTCTTAGCGTAGGTGCCGCGTTATAAATGTTTCTGAATACTTCCTTAGCAGCGGTTGTTGTGTTGCTGGAGGTGTTTAACTCAAACTTGTCATATACGAAACAAAAAATTGAAATTTTTGAAGAAATAGTTGTTTTCGTCATTTTTTTTCAAGTTAGCTTTCAATTTGTTTTCTGTCTGCCAGGTTGCAATTTTATGTTTGTTTAATATCGCAAAGGTGGGAAGCTTCGCTTCGCCTCTGTGTTTTAAGTTCATTTCTTTTTCTTGGTTTAAAAGATGGCAAACTTCTCTATCGAACAGCAAAAATCAAAAGCAGAAAAACGTAATCGACTTCTAGTTTCGAAATTGGGTTGTTGTCTTCAGATTTTCCAGCGGAATAAAAAGTTCATCTTTTGATACAGTTTTCTCACTTTGGTTTATTTTGTTATCAAAAGTTCTCAAAATGTTCTTGAAATTCAAAGAGCTCTAAGGACATGACTTTTTCTTCAAAATTCGGAAGTTGAAGTTTTTTTGAAACTAAGGCTTTGTTTCTTTGATTTACATGTGTCCTTTCCAACTGTCTGTTGGATGTGTTCTCTTATCTAGGACGTGCAGTTTTTTGTCGTGATTTTGCATTAGGAAATTTCAAATCTAGTTCATGCTCAAATTCATAGAGGGCCGTCCTTTAGCAGATGTTGGTTACCATGCCCATGTACAAAAATAGAATTGATTCTATCGCTATTTTATTCAAATTTGTTATTTTGAACAATTTGATGCTCGTCGCATTTTTAATTGGTATCTTATTTTCCGCCTTTATCATTCTTTGATATCTTTATAATAGATACATGCTTATCCACTATACTTCCAATTTGTTGCTGTTTGATTGCTGGCTTGTTATCACATTCACTTCAAGTTAATTTGCTTACGGAAAAGCTTTTAAGCTCTTCAGTTACAAAAATGCAAATTGCCCAAAAATTTTTCATCGGCTTAGTTTCGACTGGGTGTTAAAATTAAATTTCGTGCTGATCAAGCAATTACATATTGGTCTAGTTCTTTCAAATTGGTTTAATTTTATCTACAAGTTTTGTCCATAAAATGTTTAAGCGTGGCGTGAGTGAACATAGCGAAGAAATTGATTTAGCTGGTGTTGATTAATTCTACGTTTTTTAAAAGTCTTTTAGAAGTTAAGTTGTTCACGCTTAAGTTTGAATTTTTGCGCTCAAAAAAGTGAGTGGCGCAAAAACAAGAGTTTGAATTTATAGGTTTCCCAACAGAGTATCAATTTACCCCTTGACCCAGTTTTCTCTTAATTTCCTTAGCTTTTTTTTAAAAAGTGAGTCATAAACGAATCTTGACAGTCCAAGAGCTCTAAGACCATAATTTTTTCTTTGAATGTTTTTCTTCTTTCAATCAATTTTTAGTTTCCTTGATTTTATTGACACTGTTCCAATTTTTTGTTGGTTATGTTTTTAAAATTGAATTATTTTCCAGGTGACATATTTTTTGTTGAAACTAAAATTTTGACAAAATAATAGATCAAAATAATCATTTTTTGGTCTCCTTGAGCGCATTGAGACTTTTCCAACTGTCTGGTCGCTATGGTTTTGCGTTTCAGCCGAGATTGGACAGAATCATCAGGGGGACGTAGATATAGCCAAACAGATGATTAGGGTGGCCAAAGAGGCAGGAGCTGATTGTGTCAAGTTCCAGAAGAGTACAGTTTTGGAGAGATTCAACAAGAAATGTCTGGCCAGGTAGGCTTGGAGGCTGTAATAGGCTATATTTGATGAGACAGAAGCATGCCATCACATATGGGCATTAGGAAGCAGCTATGAGTCTATCACAGACAGTAGTGCAAGTCAATTTTGGGCAGTGTTTTTACGATTTCGACCTATAAACGCTCGAGAATTTGCCGGAAGACTAATAGAGTTTTTTGTACAGTGGCGCACTTCTTTTTTTGCGAGTTGCGGATAGATATTTGAAAAAATTTGCAGATTGATGCGGTTTGTATTCCGAGCTCTCCTAAAATACTTATTTTGGCTAGAGTTTTTGCCCCTCGGGTAAATTGTTAAAAATATTGCCAAAAGCTCTGGATCGCGCGGTTTGAGAGGCTTTTGGTACCCTCCAAATTAGTATAGATTGGATTGCGCACGGCAGTTTTGGAATTGTGAGGGTTGGAAAATCAAAAGTAGCTGCTTTTACATAGAATAAATGTAGATTTTAGGGCGTAGAATACCAGGATGGCGTCTTATACCTCCAAATCTGCCGCTGCTTTCGTAAATGCCAATATTTTTTGAATATTTTAGTTACCCAAATATGTGACTTTTAATTATCTTGTACGTCTATCTATATTTCTAGCCTCTAATCTGCTCCTCTTAATGAAATGGGAGCAAAAGGCATAAAGGTGAGTTCAAGATTCAGTTTTTGTCTGCTTTCACAATCAATTGTTTGTTAGCTTCGTTTAAATGATTTTTAACCGGTTAATTTTGTGACTAACTATGTTGCCAGTTAACGTGGAATTGAAATATTTAACTTGAATGAAAGCCGGATTGTTTGTCTGTTAAAAACACTATCTTTTAAAGTCAATATTTGAAACTAAGTGTTTGTAATTGTAATTGATAGTGGTTGTTTAAACCTGGAAATTTTTTGTCAGTGCGCCTTCTAAATTGTTATCATTAACATCTGTAACCAAACAACCAGTGGAGAAGTTTTGAACTATTTGTTTAAATATTACAGGCCGTATGACGTGCCTCAAAGCTGGGGTAAAACATATGGAGAACACAAGCTGTTTCTGGAGTTCTCAGAGGAACAATACGTGGAACTGAAAAAATACGCAGAAGAGCAAGTTGGTGTCATTTTTTCAGCTTCTGGTTTCGACTACAGAGCGATTGAGTTCCTGAATAAAATCAGTATACCCTTCTTTAAAGTGCCAAGTCCAGATGTGGGGAATTTGGACTTCATTGAGTTCATGGCCAAGAAACATGTACCAATGGTTATCAGCTCAGGTGTGCTAGCAGTCTATCTGTAATTACGGATCCCAAAAGGCTAAATGATGTTCTTGACTTAGCCTCTGTTAAAAAATCTGTTCTTCGATTTTTGATACGAAATCTGAAAGTGTTAAATTGTGGGTGATGTGTTACAATAGGTGGTAATTTTGAGTATAGTGCATGTATTAATTTTGAGAACTATAATGCATAATATAGTCATTTCATTTTCAATCAATTGTACATGCTAATGAGACAGTTTTTGTATATACATTGCTCTGTCAGATGAAATGTTATTCAAAAAATCAAGTTTCAATTTTTTTGGCCAAAAAATGTGGCTTTTGAAATAAATTACAAATACTATTCGAATTATAACAAAGAGCGATCCAGCTATTTGACTTGAATCTGTCACCTATTGTAGTATATCACCAAATAGTGTTGTGGGCCTATAATGCGATGTTTTTGACAAGTTGGATGCTACAATGGCATATGTCGAAGTTCTTTTTGTACCAGGATTTTCACAGTGCTTTATGGGCCTCAGTAGTAACCCATAAGCAATTTTTACAAGATTTGTTCATAAAAAGCGAATCGGTCTCAATTAGGCTTAGAACGCATTTATAGCTCAAATTGAAGATTCGATTTTTGCCATGAATTTTATTTTTTCTGCTGATGCTTCTATTCATGTATCGTTATTAAGGCTCAGCATATTTATTCTTAAAGAAAAAATGTTGAGCGAGTTTCATTTTTGCGTTTTCAATCCGTCCAATTGAACCAAGATTGTTCCTTATAGGGATGCAAGACATGGACACTATGCGACGTGTATACCATACAGTTAAGAGATACCACAACAAATTTGCTCTACTCCAGTGCACTTCAGCTTACCCGGTCACTCCAGAAAGTGTAAACCTAGCAGTCATTCAAGCTTATAAAGAGAACTTCCCCGATATTGTTGTCGGTTATTCTGGACATGAAACTGGAACGACAATTTCACTGGGAGCTGTGGCGCTGGGAGCAAAAGTTCTAGAACGTCACGTGACGCTAGACAAGACGTGGAAGGGTTCTGACCACAGCGCATCGCTTGACATGAACGAACTGGCGAACCTGGTTAAACAGATAAGGATTCTGGAAGCATCAATTGGAACACCAGAAAAATTCCTGCTACCAGCAGAGAGGTTTGTAAAGAGGAAACTGGGTAAAAGTGTTGTGGTTTTGGGGGACATGAAAAAAGGCGAAATTTTGAATGAGGATAACATGGCAGTGAAGAATGCGGAACCGTGTGGTTATCCGCCTCATGATTTCCACAGACTTATTGGGGGAGTTTTGAAGCGAGATTTGGAGGACGATGAAACTATTTTGGAAGGAGACGTGGATTTGAAACAGACAGAGAAGGGAGAAAAGAAAGTGGCTGCACTGATACTCGCTAGAAAAGGTAATATCGAATTTTTAAATGGAAAATTGAGACATTTTTTAGTCATCGTTAAACAGGAATCTGCAATTAAAAACGCTATTGTTGAAATGTCGAGCGTATCACGCAAAGAAAAGTAATAGACATGAGCCTAAGGTTTCTATCAGATTTCATATTAATTTGAATTGCGATTCGATTGTGGGATAAGTTACTTGTTTTTGAACTGACAAGTTGAAATAAAATGGTTATTTGTCTAACCTGTGACTTTAGCTTAATCTTTTTTTTTATTTCCCAGGAAGCAAAGGGGTTCCTGGAAAGAATATCAAAATGCTGAACGGACTTCCTTTGATAGCCTGGACCATTTTGGCCTGTGAGAGGGCAGCCTGCTTTAATGAGATATGGGTATCAACCGACTGCGACAAAATAGGCAACATATCAGAACAATTCGGGGCCAAGTAAGTAAGCTCTATTGAAGCGAATTAATGGGATCCCAATTGAGTTTTATGCTTGAACCATAATTAATGCTTTGGAAGTCTTAATTGTAAATTTGTAAGGCTTGTTGTATTAGTTTTTTGTTTTTAATATCAAAAGCACTCCTAAAACGTTTCTCTTGCAGTGCTGTTTTTGTGTTTTCACATTTTATATTAAACTATAAGATAACTTGAATTGAACTGGTTTAGATATCATTGTCGTGACCCCTTAACGGCTCAAGACAAATCCACTAGCAAAGAGGGCTTCCTGGAATTCATCCACCATCACCCAGACATCTGGGCAGTATGCAGTCTTCAGTGCACTTATCCAACCCAGAACCCAACCCTCATTTCCAGAGCAGTGAAGATGATCAAAGAGGGTGAAAGGGACTGTGTGTTTGCAGCTGTGAATAGTCACAAGTTCAGGTGGGCAAGGGTCAAAGAGGACAGAGGAGGGTGTACTCGACCTTTGAACTTCGACCCCTATAATAGACCGAGGAGGCAAGACTGGAGTGGGGATGTTGCCGAATCAGGCAAGTGAATTGAATAACGATAGAAATAGTTGCACTTATTGGAAAATTTTGACAAAAAAAATGCGTTTTTTTGGCGCACGCTTCACCCTCAAAATTAGTATATATTGGCGCCAAGGTGCCTTTAGAACAATTATAGAGTCGGTTGGCCTAAATGGATTTTTTTAAAAGTACCGAAGGGGGACCCTTTGGTTCGGCAGGGGGTCGAATCCTTGAGGGGAGGGGGGCGTCCCCCCGTAAAGCCACCCTGCTCTGGCCTCTTGTCTTTCTAAGGAATTCAATTCCTACTTAACTCATGAAATGGGACATTTTTGTTTCTTTTCTCCAGGTGCCTTCTACTTTTTCACAGTGGACCAGTTGAAAACAACTGGAAGCTTCCAGAGTGGAAGAGTAGCCTACGTGCTGGACAGTGAAGATCAAGGTGATCATGTAGACATAGATACTCAGGAAGACTTTGTACGAGCAGAGCTGATGATCAAGAAGCACTCTGCGAAGTTTGAGTTAAATCAGTTAGTCCCAAAATCAGCCAACATCCCAATGAGTGGCGATTTTCGGAGTGCGATAAATGGATTTGTAGATCATGGCATATCAGGTGTTGCCAACGGATCTTCGTAAACTGAAATGAAAAAAACTTGCAGTTATATTATGTACATATGAAATCAATTTAAGATGTATTTAGTTAAACAGACTTGTCAGAATTGAAACCCTGATTTTATTTAAAGCAGTGGCATTGGCGAAATTGCTTGCTCAGTAACAATGTCGTGATCAGTAACAATGTCCAAAATACTGGATAGTACGGCTAATTAGTTTTATATTTCGCCACATGAAATAATGTTAGTTTCTCGAGTATTTTTGATGCATATCGCTGTTTTAGCAAAATTAAATCCATTTGTAAAATGTTTTGAATTTATCAATTTATGGTACGAAAACATATCGAAAACTTGCAATAAAGTGGTATAATATAAAAATGCAATTATGTAAACTGTCAGATACTTTTTAATCTAACAATAAAGTTTTAGTATTCCTTTTTCAGAGCTGTTTTTGTAAGAGAATAGAATAAAAGAAATACAGGAAGCTTTTCCTGTTTTTTTTACTTTACCATTACACTATAAATAGTATTATGTTCAGGCATACCAGCTATTGTCAGTTATGCAAGATATTTTTTTATATTGAGTACAAAGTAGCAAAAATGGCACTTATTTTTTGTTTCTCATTTCTAATACTGACTCTCTTCTATCTCTTAAAAGGAAATTAAATGACCAAATATATAGATTTGAATGCAGTCTTTGCTCGTGAAAATTTTGTTTCGAGTTTAATAAGTGCTTTTGAATCATTCAATCCCTGTATTCAATTTTGAGTTAAAAAAATAACGACATTGCCTTGCAAACATAAGATCATTTATCCACGCGGGATAGGACCAACATACGAGCTGTACAGCTCATCACGGCGAACCGCTGTTGTGCCCCTGCGAACATTATACGCTGATTGAAAATGATTACGGGTGAGTTTGTAAATTTTAAAAGATTTATGACTATCTTCAAATTTTAAGCAGGCCTAACAATACGTGCTGTTATGGGCAGCTACCTTTCTGTTGTCTTAAATTATACTATCGATTTGTTGCTGAAAAAACTTTGTAACTGCTGAGTGCATCTGTGTTTAGCCATGTCTTGCCATAATTATCGAAGTCTGACCGTAAAACATATAATCGTTAAGTTTTTGATAATTGGCAAATAAATTAGTAATTCTTGATTAATTGCCGCTTGATGTAGTGCAGGCCGTCATTCATAGTAAATCCTCTTTTTGTTTTGGAGTTTTGAGCTTCAAGTATTGTTTTTCAAGTTCATTTCTAACAAACAAAGAATTTACATTAACATTTACCCGCAACCGTCCTTCGAGAAGGAGAAGCTAGTTCAATTATTGAGTAGATTAAGTCAGTAGAATTTTCGACCAATCAAAATGCTGCAAAATTCGGAATTTAAATATAACGCTCTGGCTCTTGCGTACTGATTATTTTATGTTAGTTGCAATTCTTCAGTAGATAGCCTAGGGTGGGAGCGATTGTTAAGTAGATCCTAAAATGTTTTTTTTTGTCTCTGCTTTTTTTGAATTGGTTTTGTTTCGAGTTAACAAACAATCAAAATTTGTATTCCCAATCAAACAAACTATCTTTTTTGTTTTTGAGTTAATGAAGTGTAATTTTTGGCTTTTTCAGTTATCCGCACGAGAAACTTTTTAGTGGATGGTTTCTGATTATTTTTTGTTTCTTTCAATTTCATTTACTGAAGTGGTTTTGCAGCGAAAAATAGACAGGCTCTAAAAAAGAACAAGTATAGAGTGTTACTGTGCAAGTATCACAGGAACGTTCTTTGCTTCTTGCACAGTAACCGGTTAACCTTGTTGTTCCGACCATTTGAAAAATTAGGAGGAAGTTTGTATTCGTGTGTGTTTTAATTTTTTTCTTTTTGTTTTCCACGCATAACCAGATACCCGGCGTAATCATCGGACTAGGTTGAGTGATATATTATTTTAAAACTCTCTCAGTCGTGATTCGAACCACATTAAAAATTTCCAAAAAAAAATCCAAAAAAATTTCGAACCACATTGAATATTTCCAAAACAAATTTGCACAGTAACCGGCTATCCTTGTTCTACTTTATGGCTTGTCTACTTTGCGCTACGTAACCCCTGCACCAAAGAATTCGAAAAGAACAAAAAAAGCAATCAGAAGCCATCTGAAAATTTTCTAAAAGCGATGAGTACGCATATACATATCTGAATTCTGTTTGCTTTCGCTACGCATCTAGCAAATACTAAACAAATACCAATCTTAATTAAACGAGTTTCAACTGCATCAGTTTACTAAAAAAACAAAGTTGATTGATCGACTCAAAAAACTGAAAGTTTTGTTACGTTTTATTTTGAATAATTTCGCATTAAGAATCAAAACGGTGCATTTTCGAACTGCTGTTAAAAAAGTGTAAATCATGAAGAAGAAAAACATAAAAAACTTTGACTGAAAAAAAGCAATTTTGGTAATTAAATTTGTAATCTAATAGTTTGATAATTATTTGTAATTCAGCTTGAAAGTTTTTGATTATTCTCTGCTCAAATAGAAATTATCCAAATTTGAGAACATTTGATGAATAGTTAAATATTGGTGTCATTCAAAATTACACATGATATGATTAAAATAATCGTATTTGCCAGCTTAACTCCGGGCGGCGGGAGGGTGCGGAAAAGAACAGGAGCAAAATGTTCTAGAATTATGGTTGTTATACGTTCGATCCGTTGCTCTAAGCATTTGCTACCATACATTTCCAGCTGGAAATACCCATGCTTTGTTTTGCAACCCAAACTTCTATTTGCATTTAACTGGTACAAATGCAGGCACTCATATAAGTCGTTCGATTCAATTTGGGCAAAAAAACTATTAAGCCAACATACATTTTTTTCTCTCACAATCGGCTTGAAGTTTTTTTTTAGATCAGACTACACTTTATTGTATGTGCTAAATTTGCGCGTGATAAAAACTTGGATACATTTGCACTAAGCATTTTTTTTTGCCCACAATTTTCAGCAAATGCCTGAAAATTTATTTATAATTTGAACAACTTGATTTTTTTTCATAGATTTGGCGCAAATTTTTTACTTAGTACAACTGCACAATCGTTGAGCTTTTTCGCTTTAATGAGTTCAAGCTGAAAAAAAATTTATTTGGATCAAAAGGAGATTTTTTTAAACGTTTTTGGTTTTCTGCAGTTAAACTTTTTGTCTGTTCGGTTTTTTCTGTATCGTTTTTTGAAATTTTTAAATGCAATGTTTAAAAAGAAGAATTTGATTTCAATTTCTGGAGTTCTAATTTAAAAAAATTTTGAGAAAAATTTTTCTTACAAATTTTTGAACAATTTTTTTGCTCCGCTTTTTGAAGAATTTAAAATACTTTTGCTTGGGGTGATTTTTTTATTCAGATGGTTTTCTAAATACAATCAATTTGAAATCAAATAGATATTGACTGCCTGAAGTCACTTAAAAAAGATATTTTATCTCCGATCCTTTTTTGCAAAGGTCTGAGAGTTTGAAGTTTGCCTAGTTGGCCATGCTCTGGACTAATTTATGCGCTTTTTGAACAATTTGTTCATAATGCTGAAAGCGTAATGCAAGTTTTTGATGTATGGAGAAGTATCCCTCATAACATAATTACTCCCAAATGAATTGAGGCTTGCTAATCAGTCGTATTAATTTCGTACGACTCCAAGTTTACACTTAATTTTGTCCAAAACTTTTAGTTTTTCAAAATTTTGTTTTCCCAATAACTGTTTGAAATGGATTAAGAGGCAGTCGGAACATTCAGGGCTTTCCCTTGATATATGACTAGTCTTGTGGTGTTTTCTGTCTTCATGTCTGCATTTTTCTTAATTTTGACAAAATTAACTAAGAGCTATTCAAATTCAAAATTGAAAAAAAAATTCATCTTAGAATTTTTTTGTTCTTGAAACTGTTAATATTTTTTCGACAAAATTGTGTTTTGTTCTTATTTCGAAAACAATAACAAAAAATTGATAAAATTTACCATCAAGTGGCGAGACTAGCAAATTTATCAAAACTTTATCATGAAATCAAACAAATATGCTTCTTATTGTTTCTCAAATTTATCTTATGCAGAAAATAGTAACTGGGGAAGAAAAATTGTAAGGACCGCAATCAATTCAAAGAGAAACTTGAGGATTTTTGCATTCATGCTGAGCTCACGGTTAAATTTCTATCAGAATAAAAGAAAAGAATTTTTTTCGACCGTTGTTCAATATTTGTAAATTAAATTCCCTGTCCGGTACTACGTATAAGCCGTAGGCTTGTATTCATTGTTTGAAATTCAGACAATTCAGCCAAAAGTATGCAGACAATTAAGCCAAAGACAATTCAGCCAATAATAATGACAGCCGCAGTCACGCCAACATGTTGCGAGCTTGCCAACAGAGAGTACGACTCTATATGAAACTTAGAGCCGGTTATCGCCACAAAGCGGCGACGCGCGCATAGAGCGCTCACCGGCGACCTTAAAACGAGAAAAATTTACAATTCAGATTTTGTTCCGACTTCCGATACGAAAGTAACGGAATATTTGTGCTCGGGGTGGGTTTTTCTTCAGACAAGTTTCGACTTTTTAACTAGCAATTTTTGAGGGAATTTTAAAATCATTCAAAAGGTATTCTTGTCTTGAGCTTAAATTTGAAAAAATATTTCACCTGTGGTCATTTTTTGTAAAGTTATGGGGTTTGAAGATTGCCCTTTTGGCCAATATGAGACAATATTAGCGCTTAAGCGGAGATTTAATCCGTCTTAGAAATCGTCCCAAATTGGTTGAAACAAATTTATTTGCCATAATTAAATTGTTGCAAGTAGCAAAATTTATCCTTTTGTACTTAATATAGCGTCAGGGGATGATTTTTATTTTAAAAGTTTCAAATTTTAGAAAAAAAATGTATCCTTTCATTTTACTACATTTAACTTTTTAGTTGATTACTGCTCCATAAACTTTAATAGGCAGTCGGAACATTCAGGACTTCACCGTGATACGATCAGTCTTGTTCGATACGAAAGTAAGGGAATATTTGTGCTCGGGGTGGGTTTTTTTTTCTTCAGACAATTTTCGACTTTTTAACTAGCCATTTCTGACGGAATTTTTTTATATCATTCGAAAGGTATTGTTGTCTTGAGCTCAAATTTGAAAAGATATTTGACCTGTGATCATTTTTCGTAAAGTTATGGGGGTTTAAAGATTGCCATTTTGGCCAACTTGGGACAATTAACGCGCGATATATTTCGCGCTATTAACGCGTAAGCGGAGAGTTAATGCGTCTTATAAATTGTTCCAAATTGGTTGAAAGAAACTTATTTGCCATAATTAATTTGTTACAAGTAGCGAAATCTATCCTTTTGTACTTTATATGGCGTGTGGGGGGATGATTTGAAAAAAATTTCATTTTGTTTTATTCTTTTTAATTTTTTAATGATATTACTGCTCCTTAAACCTTAATGGGCAGTCCAAACATTCAGGGCTTCACCCTGATACGAGCATTCTTGTTGTTCTGACTTTCGATACGAAAGTAACGGAATATTTGTGCTCGGGTGGGTTTTTTTTTCTTCAGACAAATTTCGACTTTTTAAGTACTCATTTTTGACGGAATTTTTTTATATCATTCGAAAGGTATTGTTGTCCTGAGCTCAAATTTGAAAAAATATTTGACCTGTGATCATTTTTCGTAAAGTTATGGGGGTTTAAGGATTGCCATTTTGGCCAATTTGGGACAATTAACGCGCGATATATTTCGCGCTATTAACGCGTAAGCGGTGAGTTAATCAGTCTTAGAAATCGTTCCAATTTGGTTAAAAGAAGCTTATTTGCCATAATTGGTTTATTACAAGGAGCAAAATTTATCCTTCTGTACTTTATATGGCGTGTGGGGAGATGATTTTCAAAAAAAAATCAAATTTTAGAATTTTTTTTTCATTTTGTTTTATTCCATTGAGTTTTTTAATGTTATTACTGCTTCATAAACCTTAAAACGCAGTCGGAACATTCAGGGCTTCGCTCTGATACGAGCAGTTTTGTTTTCTTTCAAATCTAGCGTTTTGTAAAACTGGCTGAATTGCCTCAGGCTGAATTGCCTGTATATTTCTGGCTGAATTGTCTGAATTTCAAATTGGCTGAATTGTCTCAGGCTGAATTGTGTGTATATTTTTGGCTGAATTGTCTGAGTTTCAAATTGGCTGAATTGTCTGTGCGCCGTTTGCAATATCGCTGTAACATCACGGACAGAACAGATGACTAAATGCTTTTTTTCCCGCTCAAATAAAGACGGCTAAAGGCGGTTTTTGAGAGGGTAAAATCAAGTTGATGGTCTCATAAAGATATTGCTTGAAAAGGTTCTATACTTGGAATGGATAAAATCTTTTTGTATTCTGCTGCACGCGAATTCATTTTGTGCGCTTCTTCGAATATTGCAACGTGAATACCAAAATATAGCTCATATTTTATAAATCAATTCGTTTCTGCGAGTCTATTATGTAATTTTGAACCATATATTACCCTTGAAACCACAGTTTGTGAAAATACATGAGTGAAAAGTAAGGCTGCAGACACATTCCTAGTTCCTATTTTATTGCTCATGTTCGACAAAGGAGTTTCAAAAAACATGCCAGAAGTCGTAGTGACATTCCAAGAAACAGGTCAGTAGCTGGTGTCATAGTTGAGATTTTGTTCAATAATTAATTGATTCCACTCACATAATATCTAATGTTAAAGACGATTTTTTTCGTATCAAAAAAGACAAAGTTTTGTTTTTAAGATGTCTTTGAGTCAATTGATAAAAACTGGTTTGAGTGCTGTCATTCGTGCTGAAACAATTCGTAGAAAAGGATTTGATTTTCCGGTCTCAAATTTTTTCTTTGAGAATCTAAGGAGCTTGGCTATCCCCTCAGTCGCATGAAAAGATATTTAAAAAATTACTAGCAGCTTGTAAGACGAAATAATAAAACAATTCATATACCTGTTCAATAAATAACTAAAGCCTTAAAATCGTCTTAGTTTTGAAATTCAGTGAGTCTATAAATTTTTTTCTATTGATAGTGAAAATATATGATGGTTTTTAAAACATGTTTTGTGTAAGAACCAGGTGAATATTTAGGTTTATATCGTGCGGCCAGGAGGTTTTCGGGTTCTTCGAAAAATTTTCAATATCCCCCCTCCTAGATCCGTGCCTGATTTACACCCTACCTCGGCTCACTGGCTCAGATGCAAAGCGCTAAATTTAAAAAATAATTCAATCGAACAATCTTTCCCCTAAGTGACAACAGAAATTTCCTCTAAATAATAATTAACCTGAAAAATCAGATGAAAATAAATTATGCATTTCATAAACCAGTGAATTTGAGTGCTCATTGGATATTAATTACCAGTTGATTAGAGTTGATTATGGGTTGATTCAAGTTTTTTTAGTAATACGTTGACTAAAACTAGTTGAACATTTGCAATTTAATACAAATCTTACAGTTTAAATGTAAACAATGCGAGTTTTTCGCCTAAATCGATAACATATAAGAAACTGTTGGGTTTGCAATATTGTCAGTACGCTTGCGACTAACAAGTGTTATCAAATCTGCAGAATTTTTTTCGGGTCAACAACTTGTTTAACAAAATCAATTGAACCGCTATACTTCATTAACGTGCGCTCCATACACATTCTGTCTTGCAGAAAACTTGAAAGCTTGAATTAAACTACTATTTTGCTGCTACTAATGACAGTACGTTTAGGAAGTTATACCAGTACTCTATAATGATAATAAAATCAAATTTCTTGGCTTCTTGACTAAATCAAATTCAAACTATCCTAGTTTTTCTGGCACACTTTATTTTTGAGAGAAGAAGTACGCCTGACATGTGTGTTTGCTTATGCTGATTAGTCGAATTAGATGCCTTAATACTGATTTTTGCTGTTAAGTAATTTTTGTTGTAATTGAAAAGTTATGATTTGTTACTGTAATTTATGAAACCACTAAGTGTGTATTTTCGGTAATTTCGTTTGGTTTTTATTGCTTGTAAGCTTTCTTTGACCTCAGTTGCTTCTGTTTAAGTTTTATCGTTTAAATGACCAAATTTAGCGTTGCCTCAAAAAAAATAGTTTTTATGCTTCTGCGTGTTTCCGGAGGGGGAGCGTTAAAATAATTTTTTCAGAATTTTCAAAAGTTTTTCAATTGAACATAGTTTTGCTCACCAAGAATCTTACTAGCTGTTGTTGGCTTAGTTTCCATTTAATTCATGTCTCTGATTACTTTTTAAACGCCATTGATTGTGTTTGTGGTCTTGTTTTGTAATCATTAATTCTTCATGATTTAATTTTTTTCAATCCTTATTTTTTTTTCTCGATTTTGTGGCTTTTCCCCAATTTTTGTCCCCTGGTTTGCAATGTTATGTCTGTGTGGTATCGCAAAATGTGCGAAACTCTTTTTTACTGTTTCAAATCACTGGTTTGTGCAGTTTTTGCTTAAACAGTAGAAAAGCAAATCAGACTGAAACTATGCGTTTGTTTTGGGCTATTGTTCACTTAGCCCGACAAAAATTTATCAACGCTTGTTCTTTTTGTCCAATATTTTTTGCATATTGAAAAACAGTTAAATTGCTAGAAAGCAATAGATCTCGATTTCGTTTTTTGTTTGTTTTTTTTTTTCAATCAAAGGGTATTGAAAACTTTTTTTTAATGTCAGAAATTGTGAATTTTCTCGACGCCCTTATAAACTCACTAAAGACGGCAAAAATGTTTCAAAAATTGATGTTTGCCTGGAATAAAATGAGATCAATTGCTGGCTTGGGATGTGCAAATTTTTTTTCATATGCATGAAAAATTTGTCTCAACAGAAATATTGAGTTTGCTGTTGATTTGTCTTCAAAACTGATTAGGAAAAAGCTTGCTGCATAAATATCATAGAATTTTTTTACTTCAATTTTTTACTATTGCGATAAGCAAGGGTATAGCAAGCAGGTATTAGTCGTTTTCCCCGTTAATGACTTTGTCTATTGGACTCATCTGGATTCTTCGTGGTACCTTGGTTCTTAATGAGTTGAAAAATTTGTTTGTTTCCTGCACACTTAGCGTGAGTTAACGAATACGCCTGAAGTGATAAAAGTCTTGTTTTTTGAAATTGACCAGGATCTCTTTTTTTAAAACGAGAAATAATCCGGTTCAAAACAAATTACCGCGTATTATTTGTCTGCTAATGTTTTGTCAGCTTAGGTGCCACAATTAAGACTCGTATATAGATTCTTGCAAATCAAAAACAATTTTCACTGCAATTGTTTTTAGCGTTGGAACTTTTTAAAAATCCGACCGATTCGATATTTGTTTTTACATTGGTTGTAATTTTATCAACTCAATGTTGTGAAGTTTTTTTTTCAGTGTTTTTTTTTGAACTTTTTTCGGCGTTCTTGTATTTGGCTGATTTGTATCAACTTTGTGGCCTCATTTCGCGTCATTATTTTAGGGGGAAATTTTGCGCGTGCGTGATTGTTTTAGAGGAAAAAGACTAAAATTTGATTATTAAGAATTTTTGAGTTTTTCGGCAGCAGGTATTTTCTGCCTGAGATATTTTCTGCCTAAGTTTTCTGCCAAGGTCATTTCGGTTCTGTTACGGCTCGGTAAGTTTTGTTCCGATGTTAATTTTGCATTTTATTGTGTTTGTAAGTTTTCTTCGAAAAAACGGGTTTCAGCAGCCTGTGTAATTAATTAACCTTCTCATCAACAAGGACTTTGATGACATCTGAAGATATTTTGAATGGACTCGAAAATATCAGAAAGCTACTTTGCTTACTCGGCCACGATGCCGCGGCTTCAGGTATCCTTCCGATTTTCGCTAACTAGCGATTTGATTCGAGTTTTTACACGAAATTCGTCGACTTACCTTGATGGTTATTTGCAATTTGATTTTAATCTCAAACTGTAGAAAATGCAAACTTTTCCCGTATATGGTTTTGATCTAGAAAAATCTTGGGTTGGCTCAATTTTGTTAACAGTTGTTCACTGATTCAAACCACTGGTATGTGCAATTTTGACTGAAACAGTGAAAAAGCAAAGCAGACAGAAACGTTGCGTTGGTCTTTACCTATCTTTCACCTAGCCCGACTAGGATTAATTGTGTGAAACGCTTATTTAAAAACCAAAACAAAAAACTTGTTTTGAATTAAGCTTCCGGATTAAGCTTCGTTTTTTTTCACCCATTATATTTTTTTGCGAATCTGCCCAGGATTTGCTTTCTTTTCGGTTTCATTCGGCTCAATAATGGTTTCTAATGTTTTGTTTAACGCAACAATTGTTTGTTGATTGTACGTTCATTAAGTCGAACCTCATTTCAAAATAGACTTCAATTTTCTTGCAAGGGTTTTTCAAAAAAATTTTTGCTTTAAGTTTTTTTAAGAAAGGCTTTCTTTTAGGCTTCTGCAAGTTAAGTTTTCAGTTTTTTCAAAATTTTTCATGCAACAGTTGGAAAAATTTAACGACCTTATAAGTCAGGTGATTATATTGCAATTGTTCAGCGCAATGATTAAATTGATTATTTAGTTTGCGTGGTTATTTTCGTTACAAATGAGTAAATGGCGCAAAAAAGTACCATTGATTTTTAAAACATTGATCCAGCTATTTCGAACTGACTCATTCTTACAAAACAGTGTCAATCATACGGTCCGAAAAAAGTTAGAAGCCAAAGAGTTAACCCTCTCAGCAACAGGACTTTGATGACATCCGCAGATGGTCGAATGGACTCTCAGTTATCAGAAGATTACTACGCTGTCGCGGCTCAAAGGCATTTTACCCACTATTTTTCGGCACACGCTTTTTGTGCTCGAAACATGCTTTTTGTTACTTATTTAACGCTCTGATTGGTTTTCGGAACGTTTTTTCTTCAAATAACCTAATTTCAAAAGAATAATAGTTATTTTTTAATGGTTTGGATATTTTTAGTGTAATGGCTATCCTTTTATTTACTGCTTTCGAAAATTTCCGAATCTTTGTCGAAACAAGATGTAAAAGGTTTTAAAGTGATATATCATTTGATCCGTTCTAAAAATAAAATTATTTGTGGTACATTGCAATGAAAAAACGAATAACAAACTGAAGTAAACTCGAAGACAAAGATCTTGCCTCAATCTGAGAACAACAAACCGGAGAATCCTCAAGCCTTTTATTGTATATACAATCTCCCAAAATGTTTTTAGAGCAAGAACAGCTAATTTTTTAATTTGAAGCGCTAGAAATTTGCTCTACTAGATTCATACAACAGTGGACTGCACAAAACATCATAATTCGTAGAGAGCCAACAACTGTTTTTGTGGTAGATAAGCAAATGGTATGTCTTGCATCAAGAGTTTTTGCGAATCAATCGAGACACGCAGAGCCCAGAAAGTGCACAATTTTTAAGAGGCAATATAAGCTGTTGCACCATTTTGGACAATATTTACCATGAAAAAAAAAGATTGGTAAACTTCCAGGTACATAGAGTCCAAAATTGTTATCAAAATTAAAAATTTTAGAGAATAAAAACGGAAGTTTGCGTTTAATTTTGTCCACTAGTATAATTTTTAAGTCCCACTTCTTTCCTTAAAGAAGATCACTTTATAATGAAATTTGAAAAAAAAGTTCTTCATTTAGTAAAGAGACAAATTTTCTGATAAAGTCGGAGCTGTAGTTTTGTTGAATAAACATCATTTTTATCTTTTTTTTGTAGAACATACTTGATAGCTTATTGAATTGACTAGAACAAATATGTCTACTTATTTTTACTTATTGCTAAAACTACAAAAGGGGCCTAGGAAAACAGACGATAAGCAAATTAGACGGAGGCTACAAAAACGAAATTTGACGTAATTTATTTTTTACAGATCTGTCATTTTAAACGAAAAAGCAATGAAAAAGAAAGGGCTGACAAAATTTTTTCTTTGTAAACAAGTTTCATAAATACAAAAAGAACATAAAATGTCAATACCTATCAAAACTATTGTTTAAATGAACAAAAAATGTCAAATCCGAATTTTACAGGAGAGTTTTGAATTGAATAAGTTATGCATGAGTGAGTTGTAAAATTTTTGACAACCGAAATTTAACTGCTGTCTGCAATCAACTTTATTTTTCTCACGCAATTTGTCTGCAAACAATTTTAACCTCTCTCACTTTCGTCTATTTTCTCACAATTGAATTTTTGCGAAATCGTCAATTTTCTTTTTAAGTACTTACGTCTATCTTTCTTATCGTCTAATTTCTCAACCCCACTACAAGTGGAAACCATTTATTACTGTACTGTTCGATAACGTTTTCTGTGGTTTGACAACCAAAACCAAGCATAGGTTTTTAGGGTGGCCAGTCATTGAGCATGAACATTTAAGAGCATAAAAGGTCTAAGATCGGAGAAATAGACAAACAATGATTTAAGTTGGCCAATCAGTAAAACAATTATTAGAGCCGTCAATACTACCAAAGAAATGAAAACATTACACATGAATTGAGTAATTTTAACAAGTAAAAAACTGCTTGATCAAAATACTCAATTTATGCATAATCTGTTCGTTGTTTTTTAATTCTGACAATGCTGATGCTCGTCTTACCAATTAGCTTATAAAACTAAAGTTTTTCAGTTTTTTGCTCCTAGACCCTTTCTGCTCTTAGACCATTCTGCTTATTGCTCTACCTCCGGTTTCGGCTAGCTTTTATTCTCGTTCCTTTCCTAGCTTTGTATACGTGCATTATCAAACGAAATTTCAATCATTGGTCAAAAAATTCCTAGTAAACAAGAAAAACAAGGTTAAATAGTGTCCGGCAAATAAGACGATATCTGTTAAGACGACAACAGGTTTTGATGGAACCTTAAAAAGACTTTCAACTTTCCACTTTTTTGTGAGAAATATAAGTCACTTACATTTAAACTATTCATTTTAGTTATTTTATAGCTCAGTTGTCGTCTTAATGTCATGTCCAGGGGCGGATTTATGATATTCTCAGAGGAGGGGGCAAAATAAAAATAAAAATTTTGCTAATTTTTTTGTTTAGTTTGAGTAAAATTTGATTTTTGAGCCCTCCCAAATTACGATAACGACCCCATTTTGACCAACTTTTTGCGCACAGGCAAATTTGTTTAAAAAAAGGCCAAAAAAATTGTTTGAAGCACTTTTTGAAAAATTTTGACCAAAAAATTGCGTTTTTTTGGCGCGCACTCCCCCTAAAAGTTAGCATGTTTCGACATCAAAGTTACCTTTAGAAAAATTTTATGGTCACTCAACTATCAATGGATGCCTCATATTATGCTGCCGCCTTAATGTCTTGTCTTCTTATTTACCTAATACCGATTTAAGTAATAAATTAAACTCGATTTTGTAGAAACACACCAACAACTCTTGTAAACGCTTAAATCCGAAAGACAAACAATTTTCCTGGCGCTATAAGAGGTCATGACCTGTAGCGAATTTAGGGATACCTCTTTGTACTATTTTGAGACAATCGTTTTTGGATGGTTCACCCCGAAATTTCGGGTGTTATAAGTGTGCTTCTCAAAATCGAGTTTATTTTATTACTTAAATCGCTCTCCAATTTCAATTATCTCTGCTTTTTACCACGCCATTTACTTCACCATAAAAGAAATGAAAGGTTGGTTAATTGTCCTTGAATGAAATTGTCTGATAAGCAATTTTTTTGAATTGTGTGATAGGCATTTTTTGAGGTCAAATCGGGTATGTGTTTGAATTTTAAAAATGTTTTGGGCATCATTGAATTCAAATTTTGCAACGACTTTAAAGTCTCCCTACCGAAACTTTTTTTTCTGATACGTTGTTGGCTTTTTTTGTTTGTTCCTTTTTCTGTTTCTGAGGTGCCACTCTTGGTAGCCTCCCAAGTGGCGTTCGTACATTTTTTTTCAAAGTATGTATCTTTTATCTTCATATTCTATAGAGGCTTAAAAATAAACACTTTATAAATTTAAGTATTTTTGCATCTAATCGATGTTTTAGCACCGAAGACTTCCAACCAGCAATTGAGAGGAGTATTTTTTATGGCTGCTAATGCATTCCTACTAGCTGTGGTGGGTATACTATTCGAGTTCAGTGGACTGACCGGATCCCAGATGTCCTTCGCAACTTCGGCTCTCGGAACCTCTTTAGCATTCGCCGCTATCTGTGCTTCCAAGGGTTTGACGTAACAAAAAGGGGTTAAAACGCAATTAAAATTGAAACAGATAAAATGTATTTCATAAATTTTTCTTATTATAGTCTTAAGAGCTATCCGTTTTTAGAACTAAATTTTCGAAAAATCCACTTTTTTCCAAGCTTTTCCAAAAAAATACACAAAAAAACTTTGTCGACCTATTTTTGAGAGACATAATGACATTGGAAACAATTATATCTTTCCAAGAAACTTCACTCTTGGAATTTTTTGTCTTTATAAAAGTTAAGCCAACCCCTGAGGCGAAACTACTCTGACTAAATATCACGGACTAGCACTGCTCAATGGTCTTGTAAACGGAGGTGCCACTATTTTCTTCCTCTACCTATCGATCGACTTAATTGACCCGGCAGGAACTACTGTTGTCCAAATTTTCATCTGTATTGTCATTGCGCTAGCCATTGAGAAGTTCAAACTGAAAAAAGCACCCCACTGGTTATCAGTTATCTCTATTATAACTGGATTTGCAGGCATGGCTACAATGTGTCAAAAAGATTTCGCCGGCACTCGGATAACTACAAATTACCTTGTTGGCATGTTTTATGCATTGGTATCAGGAGCTACAGGTGTCGCGTACTTTATCTTAATCAAATTGAGTGCCAACAAAGTACCTGAAAGCTGGAACTGGATGTCTTATATGTTAGGATGCGCCGCACCTAGCGTACCTTCGTTATTCCATACATACCATTTACCATCTTGTAGTTTGAGGATAAAAGCTGTTGGGCTACTAGCTGCCTTCACCCAAACCATTTCAGCCCTTATGGCGGTGAAGGGTTTCATGTTAATCAAAGCGTCCGCAGCTTATGTGTTCCAGTTTTTGGCATCTGTGTTGGCGTTTGTGCTCCAGGTTATTTTCCTGCCCAATTTATTCTCTTGGGTCTCTTGTATTGGCGCATTATTAATCATAGTGGCAATCGGAATTCAACTGTTGGTGATTTTGAAGTTTGAAACATCTGAACAAAAGCATGTCGAAGCTGAGCTTCAAGAAACAAAACTTCAATGAAGAGTTTTAAATATCTCATGGTATCAAAAACCTTCAAAACTTTTGTTACCTGTGCTACTCTAACAACTCATCACTTTGATAATTTTTTTGGAAAAATTTGATGGTAAATTTGATGATTTTTTTTGGAAAAATTAAAATAAATTTTTATAATTTTTATACATGGTCGAGCTATTGGAGTCACTTATACAGATCTTGTAATTATTTTTCTTTGTTTTCAAATACAATGAATGAATCGAATAATTTGAATGAAGCGTAGTTTTTCTTTCGCATATGTGGAAATGGCGAAAAAAATGGCTTTGACTTTTACTTCCAAAAATGGATTTCAGCGGAGATATATCTCCGCTGAAAACCATTTTTGGAAGTAAAAGTGAATAGCATTTTTTGACTTAAAACTATAGCATTTTTGAAAAATCTTGTGATTTGAAGTTTTGTAAACTTCAAAACTCAAGATCTTTCAAAATTTGCGTTTGAATTGTGTAGTTGTTGATTGTTTTTTCTTGATGAGTTTATTCACTCCGAACTATGAACGCTTTTGCAGGAGTAGTGGAAGCTAAATCTAAAACGGAACTTAATAGTCTCATCAACAGGTTCTGATGACGTCCGTAGATGATTTGAATGTGCTCCCAGTTATCAGAAGGCTAATACACTTTCTCGGCCACGATGCCGCCGGTTCAGGTGTCCCTGGGTTCAGTCTAGCTAACTTGCGACAGGAGGCCACACAACAGTTGTGCTCAATTTAAAAAATCATGCCACGCAGTTGACTACAGACAATAATTTTCTCTTATGCGATGAGCCGTGGAAGCTTTGTAACCACAAGCTATTACCAGAACCAATTGCTAACGCTTGCTGAAAATGTTTCGAGGTGCAACCCTGATTCATATCTTATTTGAGTCAGCCGCATAAGCAGGAAAACCCAGCTCTGCACAAGATTTACCGATAGAAGTATGCAGGCGCAAACAGTACATTCGAATCGAAATTTTCAACAGAAGTAATTAAATCAATCAGGGGATTGTCGGCTTGAAAGCCAATCGAGAGAACCGTCTTCAACGTCTTCAGGAGTTTTCTTACCATTTTTTTGCGGATGAGGTTACTCACTCCAATTTGCATTAAAAGTAAGCGCTCTTCCACCCTTTACAGCTCAAAAAATTTGGTTGTCTTATGATCAAAGGGTTGATTGATGGGATACTTGAAAGACGATTGAAACATCGACTAACAAATTTTAAATCTTTTACGTGATCTCATATAAAATATAAAGCATGAGAGGTTAACCTTTTCAGTGTAAGTCAAAACTGCTTGTAATCGAAGGCTGTTCCAGCTGAATTATTCATTTTATCAGCTGGCTTAGGGTTACCTTAAGACTATTGCAAGTGTAACACAACTTTATTTTATAAATGACGACAATAATTGATCGGAGTTTCTGAAGTAAACAAAAAGGAAGTTTCCAGATTTCCTGCCCGGATAAAAGTTGATACTTAATTCGGATCAAAATTGACAGATGCTATCGTCGAAAACATGTTAGCAGTTGCTATCGTCGAAAACATGGGTTGTATAATAAAAAGTTCCGCACTCAATTTTTTTCGTCATTTAATGATATAATAAATTTTTATCCGGCTCACAAATTTGTAAACTAGTTTACGATATTGGTAACAACTTTATCCAAGAGAAGCCCGAGAGAACTTCTGTCTACAGCCTGAGAGATAACGTATTTCCACATGGGATCTTCTCTAATCTGGATAGAATTTTCTGTGTTTTTTGTATAAAAGCTATTCACTTTTGATCTGACATTAAAAATATACAATTTTTAGCAAGAATAACGTACAACCAGTTCACTGCTCAACGACAACAAGTTATAGTTACTTCTACCTGCTTTGAGCATACTAAATAGAGAGCCATTATTAGAAAAATTATTACTACTTAAGTTTTTTTCTAGCTCGTAATTCGGAAAAAAAGTACTCAAAAACATATAATTTCTTTGTTGGTTTTCCCCAGAAACAACAAAGTTTTTCAAAAATGAACAATAAGCTAGGGTTTGTGTTGAAATTTTTCTGCCAAATTCCTCAAATCTCAGATAAAATGTTCAATATTGAATCATTTTTCTGTATTTTGAAGCAAAAATTGTGCGACTGTTAGAAAATACAGATAAAAAATGTGCCGAAGAATTGGTTTGAAACAAAATTGAATGTTTTTGTATTTACTTTGTTTTTCCAACTCTTTGAGGAATTTCTGCGTTAGTTATACGTTCTTTTCAAAAATAATTTTCGGTCAAATTTTTATATTAGAAGCCAAGTTTTTCTTGATGCAATTAAAGTATTTGTTCAATAAGGGGTACTAATGCAAAAAATTTGAGTGAAAACTATCAGAGCGTTATACGGTACCGACATGCTGAAATGACTAGTAGCTATGTTTGTAAATGCAAAATTTGATTGTACAAAACTCATCATAAACCGTGTTCATTTGGTTTCTTTTTCTTAAAAGTTTTTTAGCTGTTTAATTTACACAATCAACGTTATTAATGAATGTAAAAAACGCAAACAAGACGCCCACCAGTAGACAGCTTGAAAACATCTCTCAATACGGGCCGACTTATATTATGACCAAATATGCTTGAACACACAGATAATGTTCGATCCAAATCCGTGGTCGAAATCAGACCTTTTAGTTGAACACAGATTAGAAACATAGTCAAAATTATGATCAAAATATAGTCGAACACTATTTCCAATCATAGTCGAACACTAAGTCAAACATAAAATGTAGTCGAAACTTAATCGAACACAAAAATAGTCAGTATTTCGAATCGTTGTCAAACACAAAAAGGGGTCGATATAGAAATCTAAAATAAATCGAACACAAAATTGAAACTTAATCGAAAACTAGAGAGAACCATACTCGAACACAAGCTCCAAACACAATCGAACACTATCTAAAATAGCCACTAGGCCTATTTAGTGTTCCCACGAGATGCCATTTTAAAGATACATTTTGCAAATGATAAACATCCTTACCTTTCGAAAGTATATTTGCTGTTATCAATTGTTTTTTGGTTGCTTGTCTAAGTTTTAATGACAGTTTTTTACTTAAAGTTATAATCTGATTTTACATATTACATTCTTTTTACCATCACCTCCCTTCTGATTATCCTAATTTTAATTTAATCATTTGGTCAACGATACCAATGCTTAAAACAATTTTTAAAGGCTTAACCGAAAACTTAAAATAAATGCACAAATTGAATTCATTCATTGACATTTCTCAAGCTATTTCAAATAGAAATAACTCTAGATTTAATTTGATGGCTCCAAATCTTTTCTGAATTATTAGTGTTGTTTTGTTGCCTAATTGTTTTTTCCTGCTATCATCATTCATACTTATTATCACGCTATTCCTGATGTTCGCAGTTAACCAGGCTGAGGTGCTTGGCTCATGGTTTGACCTGAGTGGTCGATGAATGAGTGTGTTTTAGATTTTCTGAGCTAAATGATGTCCGTTTCAAAATTTTGAGTTGAATGATATCAGTTTTCATCTTTTCAAATGAAAGGATGTCCATTTTTGACAGAATAACTGCTTTGAAGTTTTGAAACTTAGTTTTCGGTAAGCATTTCTCCTCAAGTGAGGTCAGCTCATGGGAACACCGAGGAAGATTTCTCCTGACTATAAGTTTTTCTTAATTTTTGTGATAAAAGGATAATCACTTACGTTTTGATCGGTTTAAGTTGAATTTGTTACGACTCCTATACAGGTATTTTCGAAACGTGTTTCTGTTAAATCGTCTCTCATTTCACGTAATGTTTGTCAATAAGCAGCAAAAATTCGTCGATTTCTGACGATATAACTCAATGAATTGAATCACTTTTTGTTCACGCATGTTTTAGCGATTGAATAAAATATCAGTGCATTTTGTGCTGCACACGCTACTATTGGGTGTTTCCAAACCGTGTTTTGCACTATTTAAGTTTTTGGATTGTTTTTTTTTACAATAGGCTGCAAAAACTTGCCAATATCGAGTTGGTTTGCTTTTGTTCAGGACGGTTTTTGCGGTTCGATGAAATTTCAGTGCAGTTTGTGTTGAACAATTGACTAAAGACTGAATTGAAACAACAGGATAAAAAAACTAAACAGAATTTTGAAACTCATTTTTTTCAAAGTTGATTATTTTTGGCAAAAAAAAAGATGAGATCAAAAATGGCTCGGAATCTTACGCGCTTTTTTGTGGTGCGTTATTTAAGTCAAAATTTCGAAACAAAATTACACTCTTAAGACGGGTCAAATCATTTGGTTTAAGATTAGGGAGCTAAACAGGGTCAATTAGAATTATTTTTACCCATTTTGACACTGCTTACCTCCCTATTTTTGAATCAAATGAACAGACTTATTTTATGGGTGTAAATTTGGTTCAAGTTTTTGCCAGAAAAGCTGGTAAATCTGCGAGTAAGCAAATTTACTCTCATCATTTCTTATTTAAATATAACCGAAATTGAAAAAAAAATGAAAAAAAATTTCAGTTTTTGTTCATTTTATCCGGTTGCTCGAACTTCAGCACTATAATAGCTCGATCAGCACAAAACGCAGTAAAATTTCATCAAATCGCAGAACTATGGGCGTTTAAAAAAGTTTCCAACTCATTGAATTGTATCATCAGAACTCGGCAAATTTTTGCTGCCCACAACAAAAATCTAGGAAAAATACAAGTAAAACGATAAAAGATTCTCAAAAATTTTTTCGAAAACAGCGTGTTTTTCGAAATAAACCGGGATAAATTGATCTAAAATGTTTTTTTTTCAATTCTTTTTTCTCTAGATTTTCGGTTATATTTGGCCTACTGGAGGTTTACCAGCCTACTGCAAAAGAAATTAAAAATCCAAATACTGGTGAAATAGGAGCTGATTTTTAACCAAACAAGGTATTAATTTATAAAAGGTGATTTAAGAGGTGATTTATAAAAAACAAGGTATAAAACTAAAAAAAAAGTTACCATGTAATTTTTCAATACAATAAAACAATCAGCTCAATACAGATTTTTTCTACATGTTTCTTATAGACTATCTCTAGATTATAAAAAAGTTTTTGATGTATAAAAATTATATACTGATTATATG